TGTCTTTTCACCAGCAGGATGAAGTCGCTCTGCCACGACGAGAATACCTACAGTAATAGCGGCACGGGGAGACGCCGGCTGCTTCGCTGCGAACACGAGCGGTAAAGTTCAGCTCCTCCTGCTGTGCGAGAATATACATCGGTTCTGCAGCCAATTGCAACATTGCCGATGCTGTATATATGAGGATGGAGAGTCGAAAATGCGGTTGAGCACTTGATTCTGGTGACGCCGTCCAGATGTATGCCATTGGGAGGACCAATGACAAACAGAGGCCAAAAAGAACGGGTAAGGTTGCTATATTCGAGCTGAGGACGTCTGCAGAAGCTTTATGCGTCGATAGTTGATCCGCTTGTGGTGATGTGTCCGCCTTGCCACCTTTACGTTTGTGCAAGTTGGAAGGTGTAGAATCTATTTTAGGAGAAGAGGTTATTTCATTCGTCTCGGGCGTCGTTTCATCCTTCTTGTCTGTTGAACGGAGGAGCGCTAACCGCACGCCCTCTCTGGAGATGAAGAGGATGGAAGAAAGTAAAAGTTCGAATTGGATTGACGCGGTCCCAAACACCTGAGGTGTCGAAAAGCGCACAAGGGCCTGGTTCAGGACAAAGGTCGCGACTCGGGTCAAAACTTGGAGCAAGACGAGTGACGAAGCACCCGAAAGGAAACGGAATGCATTGGGTGCATTTGGAGCAGAAGAAGGAGTGTCTGCGGTGGCCATGGTCCTACCGCTCGTGGAAGGAAGGGACCAAGGGATGCGCTGGCGTTGAACTCCCAGGCTGTCCACCAGCGACTAAGGATACGTCGAGGGGCCCACACAAGAGAGATAGTGCCATGTCGGGAAACAAGTAGATGTATTACAACAAGGAGCGGCCAGTCGACAACAGATCCAAAGAGGCCGCAAATATGTCGCTGAACCTACTTGCTTTGAACTCGTAGCGACATATAATCTAATCATCTGTTCCTATGACATCTTCGGGAATCGTCCCACCGTCCTTCACTCGCGTCCACTCTTCTCCGTGCACAAATTGGGTTGTATCGACACTCAACCTCTGGACCCGGCCTATGATACGAACTCCTGGTCGCTCAAGCCCGTCACGAAACTGAGGCGGGGATCCAACAGAGTCGTTGACCATTTGGACCCAACAACCATCCATCATTGCCCACCCGACAGTAACGATTTGGGATTGGATGCGTCTAGACAAATTAGTATATTACCAAATGTTGCATCGATAATACGCACAGATCCTTCTGTTGTGATGTTCCATATACGTATCGTGTCGACTGATCCAGAAATAATATGTCGGCCATCCTGAGAAAATACCACCGAGTGGACCCAAGCCGTATGTCCTTCGAGCGGTAATCCAATCTGAATCCCTGTTTCTACGTCCCATAGACGCACTGTCTGGTCATAGGATCCGGAAACAAGGCGCCGACCATCTGGCGAGAAAGCGACTGAGGTAACGAAACGCGCATGTCCTCCCAGCGGGGATCAATTTGCGCCCCGTCTCGACATCCCACAGGCGTATTGTCCTGTCATCAGATCCAGAAATAACGGTTTGACCGTCAGGCGAAAATGCGACCAACCGAACCCAATTTTTATGTCCTTCGAGTGGTGACCCTATTTGTGCGCCTGTATCTACATCCCACAGGCGCACCGTGGTATCAGAGGATCCAGAAACAACGCGATGGCCGTCTGGCGAGAAAGCGACCGAATTAACGGAACGCTTGTGACCTTGGAGCGGGGGTCCAATCTGTATCCCCGTCTCTAAATTCCACAGCCGCACTGTTTGATCATCGGATCCAGAGACAATTTGGCTGCCGTCGGGCGAGAATGCGACAGACATAACCCAACTGGTATGGCCTCTCAGCGGGGTCCAATCTGTGCCTCGTCTCTATATCCCAAAGCCTTACCGTTCTGTCGTAGGATCCAGAAGCAATACGGCGGCTATCTGGCGAATGTGACCCGACGTAACCCGATCTATGTGGCCTTTGGTGACTAATCTGTGCCCCGTCTCCCACATCCCATAGACGCACTGTTTGATCGCTAGATCCAGAAACAATGCGGTCGCTATCTCGTGAGAGCAACCGAGTTAACCCAACTCGTATGGCCTTGGAGCGGCGACATAATCTGCGTGTCTGACTCTACATCCCACAGCCGCGCTGTTGCGTCATCAGATCCAGAGACAATCTGGCGACCATCTGGCGAGAATGCGACCGAGTTGATACAGTTCGTGTGGCCTTCAAGTGGCGATCCAATCTGCGCGCCCGTCTTTATATCCCACAGATGAACCGTTCCTTCTTCGCATCCAGACACGACCAAGCGGCCGTCTGGGGAGAATGCGACCGACGTGACGCTACTTGTGTGGCCTTCGAGCGGGGATCCAATCTGTGCACCCATTTCTACATTCCACAAACGCACCGTTTGATCACTAGATCCAGAAACGATATGGTGGCCCTCTGGCTCGAATGCGAGCGCCATAACCCAGCCTGTGTGCCCTCCAAATGCCAATCCAATTTGCGCGCCTGTCTCCCCATCCCACAGACGCATCGTTCTATCATCGGATCCGGAGGCGATTCGGTGACCAGCCGGCGCAAATGCGACTGAGTTGACGGAGCCCACGTGGCCCTCGAGTGGACCTCCAATCTGTGCACCCGTTTCTGCATTCCATAGACGTATTGTCTTGTCACGAGATCCAGAAACAACGCGTTGGCCGTCTGGCGAGAATGCGACCGATATAACCCAATCTGCATGTCCTTCGAGTGGCATTCCAATTTGCGCTGTATCTACATCCCATAGACGTATTGTTCTGTCATAGGACGGAGACGATGCTGCGACCATCTGGCGAGAATGCGACTGAGCAGACCATACCCGCATGTCCCTGAGCGGCAATCAACCTGTGCGCCTGTGTCATCCCACAGACGCAGCGTCTCATCATCAGATCCAGAGACGACTCGGTGGCCAGCCGGCGAAAATGCGACGGCACCCACAGCACTAGTATGGCCGCGAAGCATGAAACGAGTGTGGTGACCGTTGATATCCACCTGCATGAATGAGAAGTGTACTTGGATACTGACGGTGGTACCTCTGGCGCACCTCGGATCGTGGAGGAGACAACGGTAAAGCCGAGAGGTAGATACCGGGGACGCTTTGGATCACCTCGATAAAGTGTACGGTGAACTGGCGCATGTCCTCTGCAAGTGATACCAGATCGAGGCTACCATTCACCTAAAAGAAATCAATCAACCAGTCTTTGGTCGCATTAAAGTTACCTTCAGCCACGCGCACGAGGCAATAAGCATAGAGGGACCTCGTCCACAAAACTTAGGCTTGCGACTTCAAGCCACGAAAGGAAGTGAAGCTTGAAAACATATTGAATGAGGCGCAGCGTTTTCTCACTTGGGAGAGTGTAATGTAGATGATCCGCCCAGTAGCGCGACGCATACTGTAAATGGCGGGGAATGTACGTCTCGATAGATGAGAGTCCATTCAAAACATCCCGATTGAGTAAATAGGATGATGAGATCTCGCAGATATTGAATCGTAGCCTCTCCTTCATGATCCGTAGACATTGGTCTGCAAGAATCCGGTGGGAGGTGTCTGTCGTGATTCCAGGGACCAAATATGTCGCATTTGGATTTAAAAAAAAGTCCACAAAGGACTGGTGGCGGAACCGAAGTCCCCCGTCAAATTCCAGCACCGGCCGTAGCGCACTGCATATGTATTCGACCGTCCAAGGATCCATTACGAGGAGATCCGTTAAGGTTTTCATGTCTAGAGTCTCTTTAGCGACAGCAAGTACGCCCAGAATAGTTCTCATATCCTCCAGGAGAGTTGGCTTTGGATTTAGAAACGCAGTTTGGAGGACCGTAGTGTAGAGTGCGTTCATGCCTGTAACATGATCCTCCTTTAAGATATCCTCTAAAAGTTCCCTCGGATTACCAGCACGGAGATACTCTATCACCGTCGAGGCCCAGATAAATAGCCCATTGGCCTTGATCGCCAAGGCTTCGATAGTCGTTGTTTGAGGCCATTCGATGGATCCTATGGTGAACCTTGTGGCAATCTTCCTAAGCTCCTCAGTCAGGAGTGCTTGAATGTCTCGTTTGGACTGGCTGACTGTCTCCTGTGTAGCGAGCAGGTCGATAGTATGCGGAGGGTTGAGAGCAAACATTCTCGCTATGTCGTCCTCCTCGCGACTGGTTACGATCAACTTACAGTTGGTTGGAAGACGAGACCAGGTGGCGAAGGTTTGCAGAAGTTGTCGAAATTCAGTTGATCGCGCGCCGAGCAGTCCACCATACTCGTCCAATGCATCAATGATGATCAGGGGTGATTGTTCCTGCGAGAGGTTGCTGATTGTAGACAACGGCATTTCAATCAATTGCTGAAAAAGAATCTCGATATTCGGTGTCGTCAAGTCAATCTCCTCGTTCCTCATCTTATCCGCGAGGTATTTGCGAATGGTAGGATGTCGCGCAAGGTCGTACGCAATCCCCTGCCACAGTGCGCTAGCAGTCGTAGTTGCGGTCTCTTGTCGACGGAAGAAGAAGCTCGATCCTAGACGCGTCTTTTTGATGCCGAGTGTAGTCACCAAGGTAGAGGCAATGGTCGACTTGCCCGCTCCTGGTGCAGCTTTGATCCAGAGGACGTTCGGAGAGTCTGGGTTTTTGAACCAGGCTTCGCATTCAGCCAATATTTCCGCACGTGTACCCGACTGGCATTCCTGCGGACGTTGGCGTTGTTTGGATTGGAGTTCCTTCAATATGTCCCTCTCCGCCGTAGCTCTAACAGACACGGTGACATAGAGCATCAGAGCATGCTGGAACAGAATAAGCTTTGGAGCATGTCTTCCACGCGGAATACGAACCATCAACTCGTTCCTTGCGTCCGTTAGGCGTTGCCTGTATCCGTTGATCGTGTCCGCCTCCAGCTTTGTAGTGCCTATGCGCTGAACCAGTAGTTTCAAGTGAGACCTTTGTCAAACTCGGATTCATCGAGCCATCTACGCATATCTCCCATCAACTCTTTGAGGGTACTATTCGAGGTGAGACTGTGTCCAATGGACGATGATGGGCACACATGGAGTAGTTTGTAAGTGGATCCTTGATAGATTCCTCGCACTCTTCGAGTACATCTTTGATACCTAGCTGATCTAGTTGTCGTTGAAACGTCCTCGTGTGCTCTTTAATGGTCTGCAGGAGCTCTGACCAGGCGTATTGATTGTCTTTGATAGCCTAGAGTGTTCTTAGAACGCATGTAGTGCATCGGATCTGAAACCTACCTGAACGGAATCCAAAATTGTGATAACAGCTTCGCAGGCACCCTTCAATGGTGCAAAATCGGCAGCATCTGCAACACTTTTTGTCAAGCTGAGCATAAGAGCTACACGAGCGAGCCATCTGTCCATTTTGGATCGTCGCATTGGATGGTTCGAGCCCGGAGATTGTTCATCGTCCACAGATTGTATCTTCAACGGCTGTGTTGTAGTGATCACAGGTCCATCTTGTTCAGCAGCAGACGGTTCCGTACTAGCTTTGACTAGGCTCGTAGATGGACTGGGCGTGGTAGCGGGCAAGATCGTATCTTGAGTTTTCTTAACTTTCTTGCGTAGTTTATGGATTATATCCATGGTAGGATTCTCGAAAAGTTGGGTGGTCGAAGCTAGATAGAGCGGCCAAACAGTTTGGCACTCGCTCCTAATAATGCAAGGATTTGGTGGCCGGTTGTTCTGAGGATAGAAACACTATCGATCGTTTTCGGGATCTCAGTTGTTTTACTCTGCAGTCTCTTCGACGTGTCGAGAGCCAAGCGTTGTGGCATGGATCTAGTGTGAGACAGAGCAAAGAACTACAAGCGTGAGATATATCTGTATACCGCCAATTCATGATTCACTTCGAGAATTTACTTTTCACCAAACGAGGAGTGCAGTCTGGATTATGCGCTGGCAGTACTGGAGATCCGTAGGAGAACTTGCTTAGAATAGAGATCAGGCACTACGCCGGGAGGATTACAACAACAGGTTTACCGGCCAGTCGAGAATAGGATGGGGCGAGAGAACAGCAACTACCCATCCTTCAGATCTTCAGGCATCTTTCCACCTTCCTTCACCCGTGTCCATTCTTCTCCGTGCACAAATTGAGTTGTATCGACACCCAGCCTCTGGACTTGACCCATGATGCCAACTCCTGGCCGCTCGATCCCAGCACGAAACGGAGGAGCGGTACCCAAAGAGTCGCTGGCTAGATGCTGGACAAACCATCCATCGTCGCCCACCCGGCAGTACTGATTTAGAAGTAGAATGTACCTAGACAAATCAGAATGTCACAAATTTACAGATCGATAGGACGCACACTATCTTCTGTGGCGCTGGTATTCGTTATGCGTATAGTTCGGTCTTCAGATCCGGAAGCAATGTGCTGGCGATCTGGCGAGAATGCGGCTGAGTAAACCGGAGTCGTGTGTCCTTCAAGCGGGGATCCAATCTGTGCGCCCGTTTCTACATCCCACAGACGCACCGTTCGGTCATCAGATCCAGAGACAATGCGCTGGCCGTCTGGCGAGAATGCAACCGACATAACCAAGCCTGTATGTCCTTCAAGCGGGGATCCAATCTGTGCGCCCGTTTCTACATCCCACAGACGCACCGTTCGGTCATCAGATCCAGAGACAATGCGCTGGCCGTCTGGCGAGAATGCAACCGACATAACCCAGCCTGTATGTCCTTCAAGCGGGGATCCAATCTGTGCGCCCGTTTCTACATCCCACAGACGCACCGTTCGGTCATAAGATCCAGAGACAATGCGCTGGCCGTCTGGCGAGAATGCAACCGACATAACCAAGCCTGTATGTCCTTCAAGCGGGGATCCAATCTGTGCGCCCGTTTCTACATCCCACAGACGCACCGTTCCGTCTTCAGATCCAGAGACAATGCGCTGGCCGTCTGGCGAGAATGCAACCGAGCGGACATAATCTGTATGTCCTTCAAGCGGGGATCCAATCTGTGCGCCCGTTTCTACATCCCACAGACGCACCGTTCGGTCAAAAGATCCAGAGACAATGCGCTGGCCGTCTGGCGAGAATGCAACCGACATAACCAAGCCTGTATGTCCTTCAAGCGGGGATCCAATCTGTGCGCCCGTTTCTACATCCCACAGACGCACCGTTCGGTCATCAGATCCAGAGACAATGCGCTGGCCGTCTGGCGAGAATGCAACCGACCAGACATAATCTGTATGTCCTTCAAGCGGGGATCCAATCTGTGCGCCCGTTTCTACATCCCACAGACGCACCGTTCGGTCAGAAGATCCAGAGACAATGCGCTGGCCGTCTGGCGAGAATGCAACCGACATAACCAAGCCTGTATGTCCTTCAAGCGGGGATCCAATCTGTGCGCCCGTTTCTACATCCCACAGACGCACCGTTCGGTCAGAAGATCCAGAGACAATGCGCTGGCCGTCTGGCGAGAATGCAACCGACATAACCCAGTCTGTATGTCCTTCAAGCGGGGATCCAATCTGTGCGCCCGTTTCTACATCCCACAGACGCACCGTTCGGTCATCAGATCCAGAGACAATGCGCTGGCCGTCTGGCGAGAATGCAACCGACCAGACATAATCTGTATGTCCTTCAAGCGGGGATCCAATCTGTGCGCCCGTTTCTACATCCCACAGACGCACCGTTCGGTCAGAAGATCCAGAGACAATGCGCTGGCCGTCTGGCGAGAATGCAACCGAGCGGACATAATCTGTATGTCCTTCAAGCGGGGATCCAATCTGTGCGCCCGTTTCTACATCCCACAGACGCACCGTTCGGTCTTCAGATCCAGAGACAATGCGCTGGCCGTCTGGCGAGAATGCAACCGAGCGGACATAATCTGTATGTCCTTCAAGCGGGGATCCAATCTGTGCGCCCGTTTCTACATCCCACAGACGCACCGTTCGGTCATCAGATCCAGAGACAATGCGCTGGCCGTCTGGCGAGAATGCAACGGCATTCATACTCCCGGTATGTCCTTCAAGCGGGGATCAATCTGTGCGCCCGTTTCTACATCCACAGACGCACCGTTCGGTCAGCAGATCCAGAGACAATGCGCTGGCCGTCTGGCGAGAATGCAACCGAGCGGACATAATCTGTATGTCCTTCAAGCGGGGATCCAATCTGTGCGCCCGTTTCTACATCACACAGACGCACCGTTCCGTCTTCAGATCCAGAGACAATGCGCTGGCCGTCTGGCGAGAATGCAACCGAGCGGACATAATGTGTATGTCCTTCAAGCGGGGATCCAATCTGTGCGCCCGTTTCTACATCCCACAGACGCACCGTTCGGTCATCAGATCCAGAGACAACGCGCCGCCCATCTGGAGAGAACGCAACTGCATTCACACTCCCGGTATGCCCGCGGAGTATGAAAAGGAGTGGTGACCACCGTTGATATCCACCTGAGTGGACGAATAATGTGTTGGGGTATTGATATCTGTATTGTTGATGCACCTTCGAAACCGCAGGCGATAATGGTAAAGCCGACAGGTAGATGCCCGCCACGCTTTGTGAGATCACCTCAATGAAGTGCACCGTGAACTGGCGCATGTCCTCTGCGAGCGATATCAACTCGACAATATCATTCTCCTAAGAAATTTCAACCAAACAGTCTATGGCTGTGTTAGATTTACCTTCAACCATGCGGCCAACGCCGTAAGCATAGACGGTACCCTGTCCACAATCCGTAATAAACTTGCGACCTCAAGCCACGAAAGGAAGTGAATCTTGAGAACATATCGAACGAGGGTGATCGTTTCCTCACTTGGAAGATTCAAATGATCCACCCAATACCGCGACGCATACTGTAAATGGCGGGGAATGTAGGTCTCAATAGATGAGAGTCCGCTCAAAATGTCCTGATTGAGCAAATAGGATGACGAGATCTCGCAGATATTGAATCGTAGCCCCTCCTTCATGATCCGTAGACATTGGCCTGCAAGAATCCGGTGGGAGGTGTCTATCGTGATTCCAGGGACCAAATATGTCGTATTTGGGTTTAAAAAAAAGTCGACAAATGACTGGTGGCGGAACCGAAGTCCTCCGTCGAATTCCAGCACCGGTCGTAGCGCGCCACAGATGTGTTCGACCGTCCAAGGATCCATTGCGAGGAGATTCGCTAACGTTTTCATGTCTAAAGTCTCTTTGGCGACAGCCAGTCCGCCCAGAATTGTTCTTATGTCCTCCATCAGAGTTGGCCTCGGATTGGGAAACGCGGTTTGGAGGACTGTAGTGTAGAGTGAATCCATGCCTGTAACACGGTCTTCCTTTATAATCTCCTCCAAAAGTTCCCTCGGATTACCAGCACGGAGATACTCTATCACCGTCGAGGCCCAGATGAATAGCCCATTAGCTTTGATTGCCAAGGCTTCATTTGTCGTTGTTTGAGGCCATTCGACGGATCGAATGGCTACTAGCAACCTTCCTAAGCTCCTCAGTCAGGAATGCCTGAATGTCTCGCTTGGACTGGCTGACTGTCTCCTGTGTAGCGAGTAGGTCGATGGTATGTGGAGGGTTGAGAGCGAACATCCTCGCTATATCGTCCTCCTCACGACTGGTCACGATCAACTTGCAACTGGTTGGAAGACGAGACCAGGCAGTGAGGGTTTGCAAAGTTGCCGAAATTCCGTCGATCGCGTGCCGACCAGTCCACCACATTCGTCCAATGCATCAATGATGACCACAGGTAATTGGTCCTGTGAAAGGTTGCCGATTTTGGACAACGGCTTTTCAACCAACTGCTGAAAAAGAATGTCGATATTCGGTGTCGTCAAGTCAATCTCCTCGTTCCTCATCTTATCCGCGAGGTATTTGCGAATGGTAGGATGTCGCGCAAGGTCATACGCAATCCCCTGCCACAGTGCGCTAGCAGTTGTAGTTGCGGTCTCTTGTCGACGGAAGAAGAAGCTCGATCCTAGACGCGTCTTTTTGATGCCGAGTGTAGTCACCAAGGTGGACGCAATGGTCGATTTGCCCGCTCCTGGTGCAGCTTTGATCCAAAGGACGTTCGGAGAGTCTGGGTTTTTGGACCAGGCTTCGCATTCAGCCAATATTTCCGCACGTGTACCCGGCTGGCATTCCTGCGGACGTTGGCGTTGTTTAGATTGGAGTTCCTTCAATATGTCCCGCTCCGCCGTAGCTCTAACAGACACGGTAACATAGAGAATCAGAGCATGCTGGAACAGAATAAGCTTTGGAGCATGTCTTCCACGCGGAATACGAACCATCAACTCGTCCCTTGCGGCCGTCAGGCGTTGCTTGTATCCGTTGATCGTGTCCGCTTCCAGCTTTGTAGTACCGATACGTTGGACCAGTATTTTCCAAGTCAGACCCTTATCAACCTCGGATTCATCGAGACCAGAATCGACGCATATCTCGGCTATCAACTCTTTGAGGGTACTATTCGAGATGAGATTGTGTCCAACAGACGACGATGGACACACATGGAGTAGTTTGTGAGTGGATCCTTGATAGATTCCTCGCACTCTTCGAGTACATCTTTGATACCTAGCTGATCTAGTTGTCGTTGAAACGTCCTCGTGTGTTCTCTAATGGTCTGCAAGAGGTCTGACCAGGCATATTGGTTATCTTTGATAGCCTAGAGTATTCTTAGAGTGCATATAGTGATCAAGCTTTGAAATCTACCTGAATGGAATCCAGAATTGTCACAACAGCTTCGCAGGCTCCTTTCAATGGTGCAAACTCGGCAGCATCCGCAATGCTTTTTGTCAAGCTGAGCATGAGAGCTACACGAGCAAGCCATCTGTCCATTTTGGATCGTCGTGTCTGTTCATGATCCGGGCTCGGAGATTGTTGATCGGTCGCAGATTGTGTCGTCGATAATGCTGATGTGGTGACTACGGATTGTTGACCAGATGGACCTTGTTCAACAACAGGCGGTGCGACGAGCCTCGTGCTGGCTTGGATCAGACTCGCAGATGCACCAGACGTAGTGGGGGTCAAGGTGGTACCCTGAGTCTTCTTAGATTTTTTGCGTATTTTACGGAATATATCCATCGTAGGGTTTATGAAAGACAATCGGCTGGTCGAGGCGAAAGCAGGTTGACACTCTCTCCTCCCCAGTTCTTCCGATGATAGAGCCACTATCAATAATCTCAGATCTCAGTCGTTGTACTCTGCAGTCTCTACGTGTTGTTGCATGGATCTTGTACGTGACAGAAACAACAGAACAAAGAACTACAAAGGTGAGTGAGATCTCTGTATATCGTAATTCATAATTCCCCTCTAGAAGCCTACTTTTCGCCAAACGAGAAGCGCAGTCTGATCGCCTACAGACTGTGCATGCTTGATAGCCAGTCGCACATACCCACCTTCCACATCTGCACCGCCTAGATGTGCTCCAGCCTGTAGCAGCGAATCAACTATAGAGCCGTGGCTGTGACGAGCGGCCTACTAAGAGTTAGTTAGCCCTAACCGCTTCCAAGCGTACGCACATAGTAAAGTGCAGTATGGTCCAGAGAATCTCGTATATGAACCAATGCTCCAGCTTCCAGTAATACTTGCGCACACTTGACGCTCCCATTAAGCGCAGCAACATGCAATGGCGTTCTGCCGGACGCAATATCAAGGCAATTGGCGATTCCTCCTTTGACAAGGTTCCTATTGCTGCTGCTGATAGGGAAGCTTTCCGTCACCCCCATCTCTTCCATTGGCGTTTGAGGGTCAATGACGGGGGAGGTGGTTTTGGTCTCGGATATGCCTAGGCAGAACTTGAGCGTCTCCACGTCGTCCTTTGCTACGGCTAGGTGAACAAGGAATGGATATAGAGCCGCTTCGGCGGTTGCCGTTTCCGATGCGGTGTTGGACCATGAACTCGCCGCTTCGCGAGCAGATTTGGAGAGTGCGACGGTAGCTCCTAGCAGTGTCAAAGAATGTGCTGGCTTGGGCCGTTCTTCTGCGTTTCGAGGAGGCGCAATACGAACGGAGGGCACAAGACTTTGAGGCGCAGATAATCTTGTGATGTGATTGAGAAGATTCCCGAAAGACTCTGGCGTTCTCGCTGAATCGTTGGCGACAGAGAACGAGCTGGATGCCTGAACGGCGTGGCTTGTTCGAAGGGTCAATTCTCCGCGCAATGGAATCGACATTAGCGCATGCACTTGTGACGTAGACAACCTTTCTGGTTTCGAGAGTAGATATGCGAGTTTTGCAAGAGCGCACTGTTATGTGCTCCAGCACCTGTTGGACAATCGAAGGATGCACTGACCTCTGTGGTCATATCTCCGCCCGAGGCGACTCCAGCTGCTTGAAGAGTCCGTCCAGTTTCGTAAGCATCGGATACGCTTCCTTTGGCACATTGAGAAATAGCGACAATAATCACACCCCGTTCGCATGCCGCTTTCATTGCGTCCATAAGGTCGGCACGCTGAGGAGCGTTACCGGCTCCGAATGTCTCGAGTACAACACCTTGTACTGGAGGAGCAAGAAACGCTTTGACAGTTGCTGCGGTGATGCCCGGAAACAGGCGTAGTGTAGCTGTGTCCATTAATATAAGTAAGATGCTTTTGTTGAGGACTTGCCAACATTGGGGCACATTTCTAATCAACCGTGAGCAAAAACCTGATTCGAATCGACAAACTGACGTTTATGAGCTTTGAATGCGCGCTGGCTGATGGGGCGCACAACGTCCGCCCAGTTGATTTCAATATCAATTCCGACTCAGCGAGTGTCAGCAACGTAGCGGTGTCGAGTGTGGACGTACCTTTAGCTAATGGGAGGAAATTGGGACTGTCAAAGGCGTCAAAGTCCGAGGATGAGACTTTGGACACTCTGTTCCCTCGATATAGAGTGTGGTTGAAGAATAAGCAGCACTCTGTGATTGATCAGGAGGGACGAAGTAATCCGCGTGTTACTGACCTGGAATCAAGTACTGCCCAGCAATCGAGAGAGCGCCCAGGAGATTCTCCACGGCATCATTTCGAAGCTGCGAGAGAGGGATCTGAGCACCAGTAAGAATCTGAAGAAAGTTAGCGCGTCGCCATCTCCATCTCTCCTTGTACTCACGACTGTCTTTCCAAGGTCCTCTAGCAGAAAGCTCAGCGCACTGGAACTGTAGCACATAGTGTCGGTGCCATGCAGAACAACAAATGCATCAAAGAGATGATAGTTGAGCTCAATCTCCTCGGCGATGCGGATCCAATCCGCAATCTCCATATTGCTGCTGTCCAGGAGCGGATTCCACTACAGTCGTCAGTCGTGGAATTACGGTCATCTTGACTACATACTTCGAGAACAGCATATCGAATCCGCTTCACGTTACCCCCCGGTGCCGTGCTCAATACCGGGGTGACCAAGCTCGGAAGAGCCGCCTCGTAGCAATTGTCGCGAATTTTTTTGCACTTGTTCATTGAACGCCCCCTACCACCATCTTCTTCATCGTCACCAAGAGGTGGAGGGACCTGAACAGGTCTCGTAGATCTAACGGGCAACGTCGACGAAATCTCGAGCGGCGAATGCGGTGCATCCACAGACTCTATATCTGACGACGCCTGCCTTGAGTGCTCCTTCAACACTTCGTGAATTACAGGTGTCCTTCCACTCGTAATAGACGGGTCCCTCCGCTGCAAACCTCGCGGGGGGTTCAATGAGGATTCCGACGGAGAGAGGGGTGCTCGTCCGCCCCGCTGAGGACTCGTAGCACGACTTCGACTCTGATCTCGACTCTGATTCTCCGACCACGCTCGAAATCCTTCGACACTTCTGCCTTTGGACAACAACGAGTCGCCGAGCGGGTCATGGAAGCGCGATGTCTGTGAACGAAGGGTTTCGAATAAGAAAAAGGGCTCTGGAGTATACCCAGCATCGCTACTGAGCATACCTGTGGCGAACTCCATCAGTCGAGTGTCCAGAGAACGAGGGAGAGCACGGACCGATCGTTCCGCCGGTGTAGAGCAGCAAAACTCGAGATTCCTCCGATGCGAATGCCATCGTACAAAAAGTGCGAAACCGGCAACGTCTAGAAAACTTTGAAAGGTCGGGTCTTAAAAGGAGCACCGTGCTTCCGTCTCAATTATGGCGTTCCATCGAATAGAAACGCGAGCCGAAACACCGAAAGAGATCATCCCATGCTCCGAAATCGGGATCGAGAAGCAGTTTACGAGATCCAGGACCTGTGACCTGGGAGAGAATCTGCGGATCTTGAGTGGCGATGGTGGCGGCGGACAAGAGGCAGGTGATATCCAAATGGGGTGGCATCAAGTAGAATGGCTCAAACGGTCTAATAGGCAGGAGACTAGGATACAATGCAATGCAACCTTACGCTCTGGAAAGCTCATCCGGCCATACCGAGTCACACAAGAATGCAGGGATAGTCGAGCAAGTGGGGTTGATGGTGTGCAGAATAATATTATAATTACTTGCCCAGTCTGCGTCGCTGAGCACGTTCCCTCTAAAGGATCGTCAGTCACACGTTGGAAATGAGCGGCGGGAATCACCTTTCTACGCTTCTTGTAACTACGCACAGAGTTAGCCACAAGTAAGAAACGAACGGATAAAGACGTACATATGCTTGTTCATCTTTTTCTTCTTCTTCCGCTTGACGCTATCCATCGCCACATCAGGCGACATATCCGGGTCAGCACTGACCTCTGCAGCAGCCGTACGAATCGTATCCAAACTCTTTTGTGCAGTCGCATCACCCAGGGTCTTGAGCGTACCCTGCCAGTCGACAAAGCTTCCAATATTATTGACGATGAAGCTCCTCCCGAGTAGCCGTGCCGCATCTGCATCTGCTTCTGGCATTTCCTCATCCGACATCAATCCCTGCAACGATATGCCATCGTCATTTGGCAATGGTCTACCAGAACCCAGTTCGACCTCGAAAAGAGGCTCTACCCTCGCCAATTCCTTCTTTTCTCGTGTCCTTGAATCCTCTTTGGACGCGTCTAGACTGTCGAAAATCGTGGATCGTCCCGTGGTCGGGTTGAAGAGGGGTTGTTGGGCATGTTCGGGGAGTAAAAGAAGCGGTCGATGGAGTGAAAAGAAAGAGTGTAGCGAAACAACGTCTTTAGTCGGCTGTGGGTGTAGTATCGGTGCCCTTTCGTGGAAATGGTGATGGTTCACCGACGAATGCGACCGCTTTTCGACACCAGAGCTCGCAAACTGCGAGTCGTGTTCCTTATCAGAGGATATGGATTCATCAGCGGCGGTGGTAGACTGCGCCCGGACCGTAGTCTCAGGTGTCGGGTCTGCAGGAGACGATGACTGGCCGTGTTCAATGTCGTTGCTCGCAGTAGTCGGCTTTTCGGCAGAGACGATAGAAGAGGACGATTCTGGACCTCTTATCGCCACCGCCGTGCTGTTTGAAGAGCTAGTGCTCGAGCCTTGTGAGCCCGTTGGCGTTGTTAACGCCCTTGGAGTCTTTGCGTTCGCAAAAATGCGAGTGTTTCCAGATTTGCTGAAGAATGAAATAGTTCTCCTCGACGCTATGCGTGCTGGTTGCGACGTGGGGCCTACCAGACGCGACAGGCCAAGGGTCATTGCCAGCTCCAAGTTTTGTAATAGTCAGGCGCTGCCACTCTCCCAAGACAAACTGGAGACATTGGTTGCGTACATGAATTAAGATTAGTTATCATACACAGAAATACATGAAATACACGAAAACAAAACCACTCGGGCTACATTCGCGAGTTGAGTTCATATGCATTGTCGCCGACCGCAAAACTCGCAGAAGAAAATGGCTGACGGAGAGAATCCCTGGGCGACGACCTTTGCCCAACCGATACGTCGTCTCGATTGGGCGAGCCATGGCTCTCGACGTCAAACGGCTGTGGGACGATGAGTCGAGAACAAAAAGAATAGATAGAACAACTTACAGCATCCGAAAATTTGGTAAATACCATGCTACTCTGCCGCCGGCCATCCTTCATCGTCAGAACATGGTGATCATCCGCGATTGTCGTTGTCTGCACTTGCATCTTGATACCTCCCAGTTGCGTCGCTGGTGCGAATCTGACACGTGAGACCTCGGCTGTCATGTGCTCTGACACGCCTCGCGCGAGGAAGACGAGGTTTAGATACACGCGCGTGCTCAGAATGGTCATCGTGGCCCATAGCAAGTAGATGCCGAGATAGGATGCAGAGGTGGGTTGGGTAGCATACTAGATTCTGTGATGAGTAGGCACATAGAATGGCTCAAAGGACACTCACAATCCATACGTTCCAAATGCGAACTCCAAGCATGATCAAGAAGCATATGCACCCTTGAAGTTGTTAATTAGCAATCAGATAAGCAGGGCCGAGGCGTACCATCTGAAAGTCAGTCAGCAAACCAATCTCATATCGCAAAGGATGAGCTCACCTCTATAGAGGACGGTAAGGAATGGAGCACTCCCAGAAGTTCTAATGAGTTTCGCGTCATGAAAGGCTCGGACTCCAGTCATGGTAAAGATGGTAAACTCGTAAGCTGCCGGTAGAAGAAATATGGCGGGCATGAGGTTCGATTTCGTCGTTGATGCACAGGCGTGGACTATTTGCGAGTAGTATAGTCCACCTAGAGATAAACATGAGTGGCAAATAATAGACCAAATTGATTGAACGTACGTCCAAAGGTGTGGAGAGTATAGACCACCAACCCTGCCGTGATGAGATATGAGATGGTGAGGAACGAGTACAGGAACCATGCGATCCACTTCTTGCGCTTGTAGAGCGCCACCAGCCGGAGAGTCAAAAGGAGATTACTGAGGAAAAAGGAGAAGAGTAGGACGAGCGAGTTGACATAGTTGTAGATAAGACAGCTATATGTGCATGTGTTAGTCCCAATGTCCATCAAGATGATTAGAGCGTGCTGACAACTGTAACCGAACTGTTAGCGCTGGTACCGAACCTCTGAGAAAGAGCACACCTTGGCAGTGAGTGGCTTTGAGCGTGGTTGGTCGCTCAACTCTGCAAGCGACATGTCAGATATTTGCATAAGAAGCAAGACTTTGTACGTACGATAGGCGGCAGTCATTAACCCTACAGGTGTAACGAGACGGTTCTGTTGCAATCAGTCAAATGCATGTCGGATCTTTACGGCTCCGGCGTACAAAATAGTAGATTGATTTTGGCAATGTCCATCGCCCTTGCCAGACGGTGCTAGATTCTGTCAAGGGAGTAAGCAGGCGTACTCGTGTGGAAAGACGACAAACGGACCGTCACCCAGTAAGATGAGCCAGTCGTAGATGGAAATGACCAAGGCGGCTCCTGAGGAAGGAAAGGGTGGACATCAGCAAAAGCCATGTTTACAAAGACTGAGAATGGCAACGCACCTCCGAGATATCTGGAGAGGTTGAGACGCTCAAGGGCCTCGATTAGCTCCTCCATCATAGGGTTTGGCGACACCATTTCGAGCCTGCGAGATAGGAGGACCAAGGGAAGGGAGGGGGGAGGAGGGGAAATGAACCTTCTTGCAGATAGCTGAACGGCGATTCATTTAAGTATTGTCAGGGGTGGTCGGCGGGCTTGACCGAGGTAATTTAAACGCTAACGTCCAGGGCAAAGAGTATCCTGGTGGACGGCCACATGCGACATTGGCACCCATATCTCCAAAGTTGGGTCGGGCTGTCATCTAAAACACCTGTCACGCCCAAACGATCATCCGCTGAAACCGAAAGATATCAAAGGATCTCTGGGGCGCGTCGAAAAAAAGAAGAACCAGACATCTACCACAGTTCCACATCGGCTCCAGTTACAATGCAAATACGACTTGAACCCGAGATATCCGGCGAGGAGGGGAGGCGTCGGCTGTATTTGCTACCCGAACTACTCGTCTCGCTCTCCCATACGCCCACTATCACTGCTGCCCACGTGGTTCCCCCAAAAAGTCAAGTGGACACACTGCTCGGGATTCGAACAGTCAGTGGTGCTCAGAAAGTGTCATAGCGACGACCAGGCGGCGCATCCTTGAGCAAGCGGCGCAACCTAAGTATATCTCATCTTCTCCAGTAAAGAAGATGTTTGAGATGTCCGAGGACGGCAAATCCACGTGAGAGCGGATCCATGGTTGGAGTCCAAGGTTGACCTGTGCGTAACAGCAAGAGGCGCATTACTTTTAACAATTGTTATTATCATGGTAGTGTACAATGTTTACTCCGTGGTCGCGGGTAAACCAAACCACATTGATTTCCTTCCTCCAATATAGATAATTCACACCTCTAGGGTGCGAGAACAACGGGCGGTGGAATTCGAATCGGTAAACGGGCCGACACGACCAGTCCATCCTCGACTCCACCGGAATCTTTTTCACCTGCTGGCTGTGGTGTGTGGGTTCTCGACGTCGAAACAGAACCCGACACAACGATAATCTCGTTTGATTGGATCGAATGAAAAGTAGAGCCCTCGTTTGTCGGTCGCCACCTCTCAAAGGAGACAAGTCCCCGACAGCCGCGGTCACAGCCTGTCTGGGAATGAGGATGTCTTCGCATTCGAAAGATGTTGACGGTTGTGCATGTTCGAATCTCATTCGAACCTCCACTCTCGTTCTCCGCCGGGGTGAGAGCTGGCTTTTTGGCGAGCTAGCATAGGTTCATGTACACTCGCGTGATGAGGACGACATTTGCGGCCCACATTAACCTAGAATAGCGGTTCAGGTTTGACGCGATGGCATTCACTCAAGTAACGTACTGCGTTCTCATATTGAACGTACTAACTGGCTGGGTAAGATACTGTACATACGGCATCAGCATAGCTCTCCATCGTATATACCAACTCACTATCCAAATGTTCCACACTCGCAAGCCAGCCATTACGAGGAACGCCAGAATCCCGTCACGGTAGAACACGGTCAGGAATGGCGTACTACTTCCACCAACACCAACCGCCATAACCAGTCTGGCATCCTGAGGACGGAGTAAGCCGTGAGCGAGAACAGGAAAAGCTCAAACGCCGCGGGTGCGTAGAACACTGCTGAAAGCGTCGTGGACGAGACAGAAACAGCACAGGTGTGCACGATGTCACTGTAGAAGATGTCACGTCGAACAGGTCCCAGACCGTCGAGCATAAGGCCCAGGGTAAGGCCGTAGGATATGATGAAGAAGCCAGCAATAAACCACGACATGAATCTCTTGTGTTCGATAGAGAGCCATTAAACGAAGGGAAAAGTAACCCTGTGCACATTCACGAGTCAGCTACTAGCCATTATCAAGCCATACCTACGAATACACATCATTAGCGGCAAACATGGCCATATAGATTCCCATTGTTTGTATGTAAAGCCATACTGCACAGCTGACGTCTTGTTAGAGGGGTTCAGCTCACAGATTCTGGATGTCGCACTACTACAGAGACGTCAGCACATAAAGTGAAAGTAGAGAAGACATACAGAAGAGGGTAATTCCGGCCGAAGGTCAGCGAGGGCTAATGCAGGTGAATACCCATTAGGCTTGATTGACCCGCGAGGGTACTGACTGAAGGCGGTCAGAATTAGCGTTGGTGGGCTTGCTATGCGAATCTTTAATCGAACTCAGCAACAAAAAGGTGATTTGATGAATCAGACATATGTATAGCAGCAGGCCTTTGGCGAGGGTCCATTTCGACAGGTAGATGGTGTCGTATTCTGCAGCGACGTATTAAACTCAAGGTATTTACTGTTCATTCGCACACACCATCTCCTAAGACGAGCAACCAGTCGTATACGACGAGGGTCACGGCAACTCCTATCACGATCCCATCAGCGGCGGAGGCTTATACTTCTCGACTAATGCTAACTAGAGAGTAATTTAGAGACGTAGAGGTCGTGCGCAACGTGTACCAACTGGTCCAGCGTCCTGGGCATCGTCTCGGCGCCCATCATCTGTATCCCCCCGGACGGGGAGCGCAGGAAACGTGGGGTGAGCGTGCAGGGACTGATGGTCCCATATAAGTCGACCTAGATGATTGTTACCCCACATCCCTTCATCCAATGACATGGTCATACAATTACTGCGTCCCTGTTCTGTTCCCCCGGAATTGTGCTCTTTCATCTACTTCTGCGACTCGATGGAAGCAGAAAGTTGGACAGCGGCGGATGCATCGTCGGTCGGGACGGCTAACGACTATCCCGGTCAGTCTCGCACCCCTCGCCTCGGACATTGCCGATCTGCGTTTGCGGGGTATCACTCGAGCCAAGTAAGGTTCGTGATCGACCAGCCGTCCAAAAAATGTGGCATACAGGCAGGCCAAGAACAGTGCACCCGACCTCTTCCGACGACAACCCAAATAGCAATTCATACTTTTAGCGCACGTCCACGGTTTCATGGCGACACCAGATTTCATTATACTATGTACATCTACAGACTAGAGCCCCAACAAGTTCTGGACCGAAACAACAGACGGAAAGGTCTTCCCTGCTAGCTACTTGCGAATGCCACTCGGCGGGTTGTCTTGGACATGAATTGCATCCAAGGTGGAATTCAAATAGCCTGTTCCGACTTCCGTCGAAATCAAATGGTGACCATATTCATGGGACATGGTTGACCTGAACATATTCCTCCGTGGCTGCATCGCGATATCGATACTCGGCCCAACTTCTTGTCCTGATGTTAGAACTGTGAGCGGTGGCTTGCGAGCAAGTTGGACGAGGTTCATGTACAGGCGGGTCGTCAGGATGACGGTGATGGCCCACATTAGCCTATGGTACTGATTAACAGTAGATACAGCAGACATTGGATTATACTTACGGTGTACCCATGTTATAGCTATCTGGTGTCTGGGTCACATACTACGAACTATCAGTATCTGCAATACCGACGTGGTGAACAGCTCACGATCCAGATGTTCCATGCTCTGAGACCGGTCACGACAAGGAAAAATGCTGCGCCGTCTGAGCGATATAAGTACTTGTGCATCCACTGGTATTGAGAGAGCGGGCTGACCTCGATAGAAGACTATGAGGAAGGGTGTACTCGATGAACCTAGCATGCCTTTGGTATCTCTCCAAGCAGACCATACTGTCAAGCTGAACAGAAAGGTTTCAAAGGCCATTGGAGCATAGAAGATGGCCGCCACCGGCTTGGATGCCCAGACTGCCGTACACGACCGCACTTCTTGCGAGTAGTAGATAGTACCTATAGTTACTGAGCTATGGCGGTAAGCAGAACAAGGACGGTAGTACCATGATACTTTTCAAGCAAATAGACAATCAGGGTGAATGCGGTGATGTAAGACAAGCTGTAGAATATGCCGATAAACCAGACGACAGGCCGCCGCCTTCGGTAAAGTGCCATTAGTCTAAGTGATAATAATCCTACGATTCCGAAGCATCAGTAGTTTCATCAGTGGGCTTCAATGTTACGGACCATTGGTGGCGCATAAGGACGTAAACATCCCCAGCGTATGAGAGTATATCCATAGTTGACATCTATTGCAGTTTAATGGTGATTACAACGGTCGGGATTGGCACATACATCTGTTCTCGATTAGCGAAGAGTTAATCGATAAGAATTTGTTTGGAACTCGCCTTGGTATTTAGAGCGGGTCGAAGATCTGAAACGGCTACTTTTTGGTTAACATCGAAGGTAGCAGAGAAGATCAATAATTTTACCAAATGCAGTAAACATTAGAGTCGGAGGCGTGACCACACGAATCTGTGGCAATGTCCGGTTAAGATCCCATCTGCCAGAACCATGAACCTACATATATGAGCAGGAATCTCGGTATCGACCATTCAGCTCGGTAAAATATCTCGTATTCTATGTGCCAGGACTGTCAAAGTCATCGAAGCCAAGAGAGGGATGCCTACCATCCAGGAATACGAGCATCCAGTCGTAAAGGAGGAGCGTGATTGCTGCACCTATCGTAGTCTGTCAGTCATCTTTGTAGTAAGTGACGTTGTAGCAGACCTACCGGAAGCCATCCTGCCAACATATAGATTCCTGAGTATAGGAATCAGGTGCGCAATGGCGCTGTCTGCAGTCATGAAATCGAGCAACAGCGAAAGAGGTGAGAAGAAGAGGGACCAAGTGAAGGGCGCCCCCCGAGTTTTATGAACGCTGCTTTATGAAACCGAGAACGAAGCTATTGCTCGGTTCTCGTAAGTTGAATGTCAATATTGATGGTGCCCTAGTTCCAGAATAACGGACCATGAACTTGGCATGGCTTGTAACCAACCATGCCGAATGCGGGGTACGGTACTAAGCGGAAACCGGAGGTACCTGAATAACCGGATAAGTGGAGGGCCTCTCTGGAGCACAAAATGAAGACAGCACGCTAAAATGAGTTCAAAGCAACATCTGCATCACTTGGCGACAGGGTTAGCGATTAAAGTTGACGATCACAAGGAGCCGATGGCTCGCTTGAGGCGTGTATCAAGACATGGTCATGAGATATCAGGATTCTAGCTAGGAATCTCGACAATGTGACAATCCTGAGAGCGCTGCTGCCCTCCCGCCGATGCATTCGAGACTGGCCCAGATCCAACTGCATTTTCGTTCTCCCTTCAAAGAATGGCTCTATATAGACTCGTTTTGCCTAGCAGAAGTTCAGAAGAGAAGTTCTATCTGCCTCTTGGTCGGTTATCCAACCTCTTATTTCAAGGGACTCCACCAGCCGTCGTGGCACCCTAATTGAATGCAGCGATAAAAGTTCATATAAACACCCATTACGAGAACGGCAAATGCTGTCTCAAGTCAGAAGGCATGGATGACGTTCTGTCGAAGACCAGACAGGTACCGGTTTATCCCAGCGCAGTGCAGATGCAGGGAACAGTCGGCACGCCCATTTATCCATCATCCGTGTGACCTTCAATTAGTGTTGTTTCCTATGTACATACAGATGTAAACGATCTACCAGCGAGGTTTAACTCGGAAGTTGTTAGAAAGGAGTACAGTGAATCCATACGTTGCATTGATGCGTAGTGTCCTTGTGTCGTCAACCCCCCTCTCAGGCCATCTCTACTTGCTATCTTGTCCGTTGTCGTCAAGGTTGATGGTATGCATTGCCGAGCTCAGATAACCTGTCCCAGTTTCTGTCGACACCGGGCCGTGGCCATACTTGTAGGATATAGTCGACCTGAGCATGCTCCTGCCCTGCGGTTGCATCGCGATGTTGATACTCGGCCCGACGTCTTGTGCCGAGGTTGGAGCCGTAAGCAGCGGTTTACGAGCGAGTTGAACTAGATTCATGTATACACGTGTCATGAGGACGACGTTGACGGCCCACATGATCCTATACGACTCGTCAGTCAAGTGTACGGCGAGATAGAGGTGAGACTTACGGCGTCCCCATATTATAGCTATCTGCTGTTTGCGTATCATACTACGAGTGTGAATTTCCCTGAGGTAGGTTATAGTATGGGCAACTTACGATCCAGATGTTCCACGCCCTAAGGCCAGTCATGACGAGGAAGCATGCTGCGCCATCTGAGCGATATGAGTGCCTGTATATTCTTTGAAACAGGGACTACTGACCGCGATAGAGAACAGTTAGGAAAGGTGTACTTGATGGCCCAAGAACAAGCTTCGCATCCTTCCAAGCGGACCACGCTGTCAAGCTGAATATAAATGTCTCGAAAGCCATTGGGGCGTAGAAGATTGCAGGCATTGTCTTGGAGACCGCAGTCGTCGCACAGACCCGTACGGCTCCATTGTAGTAGATTGTGTCTGCGCGTGAGTGAGTTATCGTCTAGCCAAAACAAATGACATCGTACGATGATACTCATTGAGCGAGTAAATGACGAGGGCAAATGTGGCGCCGTAGGACGCGCCGAAAAATAGGCCAATGAACCAAACGATAACTCGTTTCCTTCGATAGAGAGCCATTAAGCGCAGAGATAATAGCCCTGGTATATCGAAGCGTCATTTAATAATCATTAGCGATTGGGAGTCACGGACCACTTGCGGCGCACAAGGACGTGAGCATCCCCATGACTTGAACGTATACCCATGCTTGGCATCTGCCGTTGTTTGAGACAAAAACAGTGCTAGTTAAGAGGTACGCACATCTATTATCTGTTATTCTAGTTCATCATCTGAGTCGTTCGCGACTCACCTTGGAATTTAAATCTGGTCGGAGGTCCGAAAGTGCTATTTACTCATCAATACCCAAGCAAAGAGCAGTAAATGAGTCGTACCAAATGCGGTAAAAATCAAAGTGGGAGGGGTGATTGACCGGATCTGCCACAAGATTCAGCCGCGATATCATGCACCAGAATCATGAGCCTACATAGATGAGCAACCCTTTCGGCATCGACCATCTCGCCTGGTAAAAGGTGTCATACTCTATGTCGACCTGGTCAACCAAGACTGAGTCAAAGAAACCGGATCCCTAGCCTACCATCCCGGAATACGAGCATCCAGTCATAGAGAAGGAGCGTGATCGCTGCTCCTAGTATAATTTGTTGGTCAACATGTGAGAAGCGAAGGTATCGTGGACATACCTGAGGCCATCCTGCCGATATAGAGATTCCTGGCGATATGAACCAGCTGTGCGATGGAGCTAACCGCCACCATGCTGAGGGTAGCTGTTGGAGAGAACAGGGGAGGAAGGGGTTCCCCACTATTCCATGAACGCCGCTTTATGAAAACCGAGGAAGGGATCTCTCCGTTCCTCTGGTCCTGCGTCTGGACAACGATGGCACCTTGGCCACCGCGATTGACAGATGAGAGCTTGGCTGTAACTAGAAGCCACCCCGTCTCATCAGACCAAACCGGCCGGGGACGTGACTGAGCTGGGGCGCACGGGTGCCTTGATGACAGGGCGACGTCGGATAATGCCTGTCGCTCTCCTGAATTCCCGTCATCCTATCGAATGGCTTCCGAATAATATGGCGCCGCTCGCTGGCGATAGGGCTACCGAATAAAGTTGGACGATCATACGGCGTTGGTGGCTCGAGTGCCTCGAGTGGATAGGACAACGTTACGTGATTCCCGGATTCTACCTAGGAACTCCAATAGTTTGAGATCCCTTTCAGAGCTGTACGTGCCCTTTTGCCCACGTATTCGAGGCCATATCACTAGACAGCCCTACCATCAGCCTCCTCGGTCTCCGTAGAGTGTCATGTAGATAACCCAGTGTGGCTCTCGATCGTACTTCGGAGCTTATTTACTCCCAAAAGGTCCTTGTGTCCATCACCGACGTCCTCGGATCCCCCCTTAGTCTCTCAAGAGTTCCTTCTCGTAGCAAGTTCTACGAGGCATCTGCCGTTGGATCATTCTAAGCGAGGTCGAACGCGTCGCCGGCTTATGGCCAAGCTACAACTTTTGGTTCGCCACCCTGTCCATCACCAAAATGGTTAGCCTTTTTTTCAAGTCGTCAAGCCGTGAAATAATATTTTTTACAGAAGATCTCACTCCTTCAACATGCTACAGCGTCGACTTCGACAGGTTCTGGCCCACCACCGGTTCAACGAAATCTTGATCCATTGGTGCACCCTTTATCGCGTGCTCGTGAACGTAAGCGGGCGCTGAACGCAAGTAAAATGGAAAGGATGTTCAGCAAACCTTTTGTGGCCGCGTTCGAGGGACATGAAGACGCGGTTTGTTCGATGGAAAGGATCAGAGGCCAGCTGGGATGCATAGCGAGCGCTGGTTTGACGGCAGTACGTATATATTCCACTGAGTTTTGTGATTTATTCCCAGTATATACTCTTTGCGAAGCGTCTGACCGTTTTTCACCAGGGATCATTGTACATTCGCTGTCAAGACGAGACACGATTCAAGCTATACATGGAGCCCATAAAGGCAAGACATCAGGACTTGCAATGGCTTCAGGTGATCGGCTGCTTAGTGCCTCACACGATGCAAGCATCAAACTTTGGAACTTACGATTGCCAAACACGGACGATGAAAATGACCCACTTGACCTGGAATCGATGGGTAATGATGACCGGGAAGACCGAATGCGTGTTGATGAGCCTCCACCCACCGATCCGGATACTCCTGTTATGGTGTACCAGGGGAAGGTACCCTTCAAGTACGTTGCCAGAAGCCCAGTGGCACATTCTAATCAGCATGTAGCTCAATACATCACCATCGTCATCTTCCGCATTTTGCAACGGCCTCCAACGGTGTGCACGTCTGGGACGAGACAAAATCAGCACCAATCACAAACCTCACCTTTGGTCAGTGACACTCTATAATTAACGATTGTCTCATTTGTTTCAGGTGGCTCGGCTGAAACTGTCGATGTCGTGCGGTTTAACATGACAGAGGCAAGTGTGCTGGCGAGCGTTGGAAGTGACCGGTCAATGTGTCTGTACGACGTCCGCACCGGGAAAGCGGAGAAACGGGTCATCATGCAGGCGAGTGTTGCCTGTCTCTTTCCTCACGCCTGACCATCAGTAGATGCGTTCTAACTCGTTGGCGTGGTCCCCAACAATGCCCAGTGTACTATTACTCGCATCCGAAGACCATAACCTATACACGTTCGACATTCGCTCACTCTCTACTCCGACTCAAGTGCGAATCTTATGCCGTCTGTACACCTGTCTCTCACAAGCCCTCCAATAGATTTACAAGGGACACGTCTCTGCCGTCATTTCATGTGATTGGTCACCTACCGGGACAGAATTCGTTAGTGGTGGATGGGATCGAACGGTGAGGATATGGAAGGAAGGAGACGGCAACGGCAAGGAGGGACAACTGTACCACAGCAAGCGCATGCAACGGTACGTAGCTGAGGCTGTTACACACGGGCATTATACTGAATCAATCTAGGGTTCTAACAACTCTATACACCATGGACGCTCGCTTCGTCCTTTCTGGCTCTGATGATGGCAACGTGCGGTTATGGAAAGCGCATGCGCACGAACGACTGGGCGTGCTGGACACGCGCGAGAGGAACTCACTCGAGTACCGTGAGGCACTCAAGCAGCGGTGGAAGTATGACGAAGAAATTGGCAAAGTTTTGCGGTGCGTGCTTCCTCGGTTCTCAGCATAGGCGCGCCTGACATGAGCGTCCAATAGATCTCGCCCGACACCAAAGGCGATTCGAACGGCAGCGCAACTTAAGCGCACGATGCTCGACGCTGCCGCGGAAAAGGAAGACAGACGACGGAAGCACTCACGCAGAGGCGAGACAAATCCAAAGGCGGAGAGGAAAAAGGTTGTCGTTGTCACACAAGATTAATTCTCAGTTCCGGGGCAGAATTTTCATGTGTAGGTATGTCTCCAATGCGACGACTTTTGCCAAGCAACAGCGGGTACGCCCGGTGGAATGGCATTTGAGGTGTTGCGTATGAGCTAAACCTTGCTCTCCGGGCATTTGGTTGGTTTTCGATCAGTGAACGTAGGGCCAATAACAGTCCCCGCTACCACGGTCCACAAGTAACCGGTCACCCGAAAACGTCATGCGCAAAAGGCGAATCAATTCCAGATGACAGTACAGAAATGATGGATAGGCACAAGTTATGCAATGGCCCCACAAGACCGATGGCTGGCGGAAATGAAACCATTATAAAGGCACGGACAGTCTCCTGGCCGCACAGTCGACCAAGTTTGTGGGCAGGGTTCGTCTAATGGGCGTGGCATCCCCCATAACGGCAGAGAGCTTGGTTGAGATCGCAGACGATCTCTATATCAGCAAACTTCTATCAGGTATGTCCATCATACCTTCCCACGTCGCTAAATTTTGCAGGTGTCGCAGTCACATGGGTCCTCTATGACTGGATCCTCGTTTTTGAAGATGGTCCGCTTACTGCCTGATTACGATACGTCGAACTGACCGAATTTGGCCTTAGAATTCTCCACAGTTTATCAGTCTCGCCTCTCGCTTGCCAAGTGTCTCCTTCTTTACGTGTGTTTGTGTAACCCGGCGTAGTTCGTCGGACTGAAGGCCCTTCAGATAAGATTTGTTAGTCCCCCTTGCTTGGTCATAATCACGTTTAGTCGGTAGTTCATCCATTGGAAGACTTGTATTGATTCTCCTCAGCTCTTGCCGACTTTCGACCAGAATTGTCGTCTAAGGTACGTCGTATCTAATCCAGGGGCTTTATTGTTCTTATTACTTTTAGTTGTAAGATAAACTTGGTTGAAACTTTGCCTTGTTCTTATCATTGTGTCTAGCTGCGTAGCGTGGCTCTACATCCTTACTTTCGGTATTTATACAACACTGCTCGCCTCTAATGGTATATACAATATTCTTCATTTTCCGCTCTCACGCTTTATAGGTCTTCTTTCCCTTCGTCTGGTTGCACTTTACCGACGGCAACGACTTGTTATTTGGTTCACTGGAGGCTTCTACTTTGTAACCTATGCTGCGACTCTGGGGCTGATTATCGACGGCATTCCACCCGTTGGGAGTACGTTGAAACTTTACTTAATCCGATTTCTGACTGTTCGTCTACGCCAGATTCCATGTTCTACAGCAAAACTGTCAACATGTGCTCTCCAACAGTAACGACCAAGACACTCAAAGCAGTGTTTTATGCACCAGCAGGCTTTGAGATCTTCCTCTTTGGTCTCACAGCATGGTCCGTGCTAGCGGATTCATCGCTCATCATGGCCGCAGGTGGCATCAGCAGTACTCCCTTTCTCACCGTATTTTATCGAGACGGTATTCTATGCTTTCTCGTCACCGTCGCTTTGCGTATATGGAACATCTGGATTGTGAGCACCCACAATATGTCCAGAACATTGACTGATACGCGATAGTATTTGACGCAGCATGTTAGCACGTACAATATGGGCACACAGTCAGTCCTGTAAATTCTCCGTCGTTTCTCGATCTCACCGTTCCCCCAGACTGATGTGGGCCGCCAACGTCGTTTTGATCACTCGAGTCTATATGAATCTAGTCTGGCTTGCCAGGGGTCCTAAACCCACGGATACGCATATGGGCTTTAGTACGGATTCGAACGAAATCCAGACACGAGGGACGACTAACATATTCCGGATGCGAAGACAAACGCAACAGCCCACGACCTCGTTTGGTATTGATACGAGCGAGATTGGGACTCGGTATCCTGGTGAGGTACCAGATTTTCAGATATTGTCATCAACAGATGAGGTCGCAACGACACCTCGGAAACCTGACCTCGAGGGCGCGTAGTATGCGCGAGGACGATAGCTTACTATCCTTTATGTTGACGCATAACGTCACAGTTCAGCCCCGCTGTATAGACACCGTGTAATATACTCAGGGTCTTCACCCTCTTGTGACACGGTGGACGCAGCAAGATTGGACGATTGCACTTTTAATTCCAGTGAATTATGCAATAAGATGTACAGAGTTAATATGATCGTAGTATAGTTAGGGTGGTATCGAAATAGTTCTAGACTATGGTCCTTTGGCAGGTAGCGACGAGGACGAGGGACGGGTGAATCGAAGAGCCGGTGTAATGCCTTTTAACCGTGGTGTCAATCTACCGTCCCGATCTGACGTGCCCTTTTGACCCTCCAGGGGATGGAAACTGAGTGGAATCACTTCTCCACCGTCCGAATGATGGTGACTGCCACCGACACGAGGTAAAAACGAATTTCGTGTCGGGGATACGGGAGAGAATGCGACTTTTGTCTGCGAGAATGCAAACGAACTTCGAGTAGGAGATGGGCCATGAGGATACGTCGGCGCGTGAATGGTCGCAATTAGGTGGCTTGGGTCACTTTGGTGTACCGGTGGTATTCCACTGGAACCACCATAGGTCGGTTGCTTAATGAGGAAGACGAGGTTCAGGTAGACGCGGGTAGTGAGAACTGTGCTGGTAGCCCACATAAGACTGTAAGGATATGTCAGTAATCGAAGATTCGGAAGCGAGGATAGCGAACCAGGTCCCCATATTATAACTACTCAACGGCTGTGTAACATACTATCGACACTTGTCAGCAAGGTGCGATTCGAACAAGAAGCAACTCACAATCCAGATGTTCCAGCCTCGGACTATGACCATGACGAGGAAGCTGACCGCTCCGTCTGCACCGACATACGTTAGCACCCTGTAACCACAGCTCGTCTATTTACCTCGGTAAAGCATTGTAAGGAACGGCGTTGAAGACGCGCGTAGATGAAGAACATTGCTGGAGAGCTTGTTGTCTTGCCAGGCGCGCCAGGCAGTGAGGGCGAAAATGGTGAACTCATAAGCAGCGGGGGCGTAAAAGATGGCTGGCATCATCGCGGAATGACCGAGGGACCCGCAAGTGCGAACATGTTTGTCGTAGTACATGGTATCTTCGTCGCGTCAGACGGTGAGAAGAGACAGAGCGACGACGGCTTACCTCCGTATGTGTACATTGAGACACCAAGGAACGCGAGTGTTGCGCCATAGGAGAGGAGGAAGAAAACGCGCAGGCACCAGACTACAAATGGTCGACGGGCGTAGAGAGCTGTGAGTCTGAGCGTGAGGAGGACATTGGAAGCCATAAGGCAGGAGAACATGAAGAAGACATTGACGTTTGCCCATATAGAGCAAAACTAGATGCATGTGAGCACATTGGTAACACCAGAGAGTAATGATCTACCTTGTCGGAGAGGTCGAACCGTAATGGTGACGCGAGCTCTGCCAAGGGTCAGTCTCGAATGTCTTATAATGTCAAACACACATACGAAAGGTGTTGAAGATGACGCCTGGGGGTGTAATGAAGCGTATCTGCAGTATATTAGACAGATGTAAAGTGCCGGAAGATGAGCTTACATAAAGATAGAGGACCTTTGCAATGGACCACCTCGACTGGTAGATTGTTTCAAGTTCTGGAGTAGAGTGAGACCCGCGTACAAACAAAGGGCTCGTCTTTAGTACCATCGTTGAAAAGGAGTGACCAGTCGTAAACGACGAGGCAAGAGGAGACCACTAGAAGAGGTACCATTAGTAGGAGCGGAATGCAGGTTCTGTAACGTACTGCCAAACAGACCACTCAGATACAAGTGGTCCGCCACACTGACAATCTCCTGGGGAGTAAGAGACATGGCGGCAAAGGGAGGGAGCGGGTAGAAGAGAGACCGGCTCGGGAAAGTGGCTAATGGTTAGTTATATGCGACAACCCCAAGGAAACGATCACCCGCGCCCTTCGTGGCTCACTAATCTTTTCAGAGGCTCTGCGCATGCTCAGGGTCCTGGGCACGCCACAGCTAGAATGTGCCAAGTTGCCTGAATATTTTATGGTTGAAGTAATTAATCCGCCGCAAACAGTTTTAATGAGGGCCTTTCGGTCAACGCCATTCCGGTTACCGCGTTAGCCGACTTGCACCCATATGCTTCGCTACCGTCTGGCAGAATTTGCGCAGCTCTGGCCATATCCGGTCTCCAAGTGTTGAGTACTGGGATGTCTTTTGACTGCTGGTAATGAGAATAAATGTCGGTGTAGCCATGACGGAAGATTCAGGTCGATTGACAGCTCGCCGGGAGCAAGCGGGTGAGTCTGTGACAGGACAGGATTTACGTTGGCCACGCTAGAAGGTTCCTTAGCCAGGGTTTTGTGCCCCAATGTCCCCAAGAAGCAGCTTTGCCGTTCTTACGAGTACCGACGAGTGTCAGAAGATCCGAACGCTTGTCGGCGGATCTATCTTCTCGTCGCTTTGGTTGACAGTCTGTTCAGTAACAACCTCCGCGCTGAGGATGGCAGCAACCGAACCTCTCCTGGTGTGCGTCCTCGGTCTTCCTCCTCCATCAGCACGTGGACCCTGACAGTTTTGCTCGAAAGATGACAGCTACATTCAAACAAGGCGAGTGGAAGAGGGAGAGCTTGGGCCCGTCGTCCTCGGCTGGCGAAAGGAATCAAGGTTTGTGATCGACGGTCGCGGTTCAAGCGGAGACTCAAGCGCGATGACTGGATGCAAAATGTCATAAAACACATTACTGTTACGTCTAAAGCTAGAAAATGAGGAATTACATGAACAAATTAGCAAAATCCACTCTCCCAAGCGTAGTAGAAACGTGTGGAAATGTCCACAGTGGGGAATTTTACACTCGACCTAGACAGGTGACTTTGTTGGGTTCGAAAGCGACTGCTCAGAGTCAGTTGGACTCTTCTTGTCTCCTTCGCGTGCATGAAGCATGCTCGGGTCGATTCTGCTGGCCTTGTACGGCGTAAATGCGACCGACCGCTCCTTTTGGGCCCCATATCCATTGAAACCACCGTCAAATGCGTATTGGCCCTGAGAAGATGGCGGTATCTCAAAGGTGACTGCACCCCCGCGACTGAGTCTGTTGTCCCCGTTCGTCGGACCACGACCAGTTGGAGCAGTATAGTCGTCCTCTTGAACGCGCACTTCGGTAAATGTATGCACTTTCATCGCGATCCCGGCCCCGTTAGTATGTGTCGTCGGTGAGACAAACTCCTTTTGTGTCGAATTGGTGACGACTGGCTTCCTGGATAAGTACACGAGGTTCATATATACTCGGGTCGTCAAGACAGTGTTGATGGCCCACATCAGTCTAGACGGATTCGATGAGTGGATTATCACGGGACAAGGAACAAGACCGACGGAGTGCCCAAGTTGAAGCTGCTGAGTGGCTGCGTGAGATACTAGAGACAATTAGATTGCTTCTAAACATCCCGAGTTGACACACGTACGATCCAAATGTTCCATATCCGCAACGCAAACATTACGCAGAAGCTCAAGAACCCGTCTACATACGCATCAGTCCCGAATCTTGATGGAAGCGCAAACAAATTACCTCGGTAGAGAACGATGAGAAACGGTGCGCTCGACGGACCCGCCAAAACCTTTGCGTCTTGGTACGCGCGATAGGCGGTCATGACAAATACGAACAGTTCAAACAAGGATGGCGCGTAGAAGATTGCTGGCATCGTTGCAGATTTCCCGAGCGAGGCACAGACCCCAAGCAAGTCGGAGTAAAAGATGGACGCTGGCAAAGGTCAGAAACATAAAGAGGCAAGGATGTAGAGCCTACAATGATAGGTGGCCAAAGCAGCGATCAACAGTCCAAAGGTTGCAGCATAGCTGGCAATGAAGAATGTGTTGATGAACCAGACCATTTTCCGCTTTCTACCATAGAGAGCGGTGAGACGAAGAGCAAGGAGCCCATTTGCAGCAACAAGGGACGACAGCATTCCAAAGGTGTTGATTACGGCCCATGCTCGACAGCTAGAAGCCTTGAGACAAGGTAGGATAGATAGGACATGATACGTACAACTAGAGACATTGTGTCAGATAAGATTCGGCTGAGAATAGAAACGACTCACGCTGGCACTCAGAGCTGGTCTCAAGTCTGATAGCTCTGTGCACGAGGTGAGACAGTTCGCAATACGCTGCTATAAACGTACGAAAGGCGCCAAAGACGAGACCAGGAGGAGTAACGACACGAATCTATTCGACAAGTTAGTCATGAAATAGAATAGAGCAGCAACAGCGCATACAAAGACGAAGAGAATCTTGGGTAGAGTCCATCGAGACTGATATATCGTAGCGTATTCTGAACGAGTATGAGTATTTGGTATAAGACGTCTTGTTATACCCTCACCGTCCGCGAAGACTAATACCCAGTCATAGATGGAAAGGGTCGCGGCAGCCCCTTGAGACAGTAATCAGCAAGGTTGACCTTTCGCTTTGCAGTTTGTGCTTACCAGCGAGTAGCTTGCTGACGTAGAGGTCGTTGAGAGCATGTAGCACCTCTTGAGGGTCGAGCAGACTCGTCTGCGACATCGGATCCGGAGAAATGGGGGGGAAGCGGGGGAAGGTACGGAAAGATGGGATCCAGAAGGAGTGGAGCATATAAGACTTTGGCCAATTTTAAAGGTTCCTTGCCCTTTGCTTCATGTGTAGGCTAAGTTACGCGTCGCTGCTTGACAGCGTGGCATGAATTCAGGAAGCTCTCATCATATTAACCCATTTGAGTTCGTTAGAAACCCTTGATTGTACCGAAAAGCGCCAGGCGAGTTTTGCGGAAGGGGAGAAAAACTCCATGGCAGCACTTTGCCGAGGTCGCCACACGGCTACCGGTTACACTCTTTCCCGACCCGTTATAAAACGTTGAGGACTTCTACACCGCCAATCCGCCACGGAATAGATGAAGGGACCACAGATTTGGGGGTCAAATGAAACGCCGCGTCCTCTCTGGATGTCGGAGATGAAGAAATCGCGCGGCTCGGTCCATGCTCTCGCTACCATTGTAAATGTCGGTGTCCAAAGCACAAAGCAAGTTCCCACGTTGAGGATAAACTGGTACCTTTCCCTCGAAACGAAATCTTCGCTGCCGACTTGTGCGGCCCGGCGGAGAGACGCTATGAAGAGGGCGCAATTTTTTCGTTTTAATTGAGAATCCTGCTCTGGTCTTGCAATCTGAAACCGGACATTCGCGAAGAATGGACAATGCTAACCTGCCATGTGTCGATAGCTAACAATCAATCAACCGTCAAAAGTGTCCACTAAAATCCCAACCGTACCTCCCGTCAACGTCAAAGTGGAGATTACGCATTGGATTGGTGGCCGATGCGATACCGTCGCGCTCGTCTTTTCCAGCCATTCTCAAGAGTCATAGGATGTTTATCGAACGTAAAAGCCAATATATGCAGAGTAAAAGCGATTGGACCGGGTTATGCACGCGCTGCCGACAACCTGGTCGGGTTCAAGGTATTGGTATCACGCAGGGATCGTCCACTTGGTTCAAACGAAGGAATCTACAACCATGATCTAGGTATGGTACAAATATATGCATAAGTATCGACCAATCTCTGCGTCGCCATCTTACACTGGCGTCTTTGAAGTACTCGTTCGGGATTCGTCAAAAGTGCTCCCCTGTAACCCTTCATGGTCGATGGTTGTGTCATGATAAGACGAAAAGGCAGTAGACGTCAGTCGCGCCGCGCCTTCCTCGTGTTTCCCAAGACGAGATTCGATGGGCCTCTTGTATGAATGCCGTCTGCGTCGGTTTCCATACCAAATGTGCTTGCTTGCCCCCGCTTTCTATTTAGTGTATTCAACCCAATTGTGGTGTGTCCCACTTCGGGCTCTGTCACCACAGTTAGCTGTGGTGTCTTTGCTAGCCAGACCAGATTCATATAAACGCGTGTCGTCAATATCGTGTTGAGCGCCCACATGAGCCTATGGCAGCCTGCGTCAGGAATAGAGTAAGCGAGGCGAGTGCACGTACAGCGTGCCGAGACTTGAGCTGCTGAGTGGTTGGCTGAGATACTATAGACAGTGAGCCACAGAGTCCTCCCGCTTGCAAAGACGTACAATCCATATATTCCACGCACGAACGGCAACCATCACGAAGAAGAAGATAAAGCCGTCTGTACCACGAGTCAGCCTTCTCGACAGGGATATGAACTGTTGATTACCTCTGTAGAGCACAAACAGAAATGGTGTGGCTCCCGGTCCAGTAAGAAGTCGGGCGTCACGCCATGCACGATAGGCAGTGAGCACAAAAATAAAGGTCTCAAAGCCCGCGGGAGCATAGAACATTGCTGGCATGAGCTTGGACGAGCTCATTGATCCGCAGGTCTGGAACATGGTTGAGTAGAAGATGGTGGCTGCCGGGACGATTAGGCTGTTGTGAGACATTGGAAACGCAACCCACAGTGATAGATATATAGAGACACGATGACAATCACTCCGGTCGTAATATAGGTCACAAGAAAGAACCCAGTAACAAACCAGACCATCTTCTTGTTCCTTCGGTAGAGGGCGATGAGCCGCAAGGTCAAGAGCGCATTTGCAGCGGTAAGGGATAAGAACATTGCCAGCACCCCTACGATAGCCCAGATCATACAACTAGATTGGGGTTCAGACGAGAAGGGTGTAACAGGCACAGTACGTACAACTATGAACGCATCAGGTTCTGCAACGACAAAGCAGAAATATACGCACTCTAGCGCTGAGCGCAGGTCTCAGATCCGAAAATTCTGATGGTGGTCTCAGGAATTTGAAAACATGAAACGGGTATGGACGTACGAAAGGCCGACAGAAGAATCCCAGGAGGGGTGATGGCGCGTATGAAGACGAACAATGCTTTTGGTGCGGTCCATTTTGACTGATAGATGGTCGCAGTCTCTGTAGTAGATGAGCAAAGATGTAGTAGATGAGCAAAGTTTTGTATAGCGGTGCGCTAGACGAACCCGTATCGAACATCAACAGCCAATCATAGACCACAAGCGTGGCCGACACCCCTACAATGCCATGTGAACTCGATGACGACTGCAAGATGGTCCAAACGTACCAGCTAGCAACCTGCTCAGGTACAAGTCATGCGAAATCTCAACAAACTGGGATATGGCTGCTGCGGACATGAAATAGACCCGCTATACGGTCGCGAGCATGGAGGAGGGGATGCCAGGTAACCGGCTGCATGGACGGAGACGGCGACTTTATATACACCACCGCGGGACCTGTTTCCCATCATCATCGGTGGGTTGTCAAAATAGGATTTGTTGCTGTCCATCGGACGGCGACTAAGGTACGCTGTGTCAGTGTACGTGAATGCCGCTTGGTTGTCGTACGTACGTCCTGACCAGAAATGAACAAGTCTGTTCATTTGACTCATGATTTCCTCTACGCCCGACATAATCGCCTATACCGGTCTAGATTCCCGAGCACTTCAGGCACATATCTAGCCTCGGGTCCGCATTCTTGAATAACAAAAAGCCACCTGATGCGATGATTTCGGGATGGGCAAGCTGTTTCGCACCCTAAAGTCTAATGTTGGCCGGTATGTCTGGCGAGGTCGAGGACAAGTGACTTGGTCCCGGCCTTTACTCTACCCGACACGCGTTTGCGTCTAACTTATTGTTAATTCCGCCATACAGGAAATGTCGCATCCTTGTAATCCTTCACTCGACTCCTTGCCAGATGTTTTCGTCGATTCTGGGTGCGTGTGCTCGTCAACATACCAGCCAGCGCTCAATTATACTCCTCTACGCGCAAATCAACAGATCATCGTGTAACAGGCAAAATTCAAAGGCGCCTAGCAACGACACACCCGCCGATGGTTCCCTCGAAAGCCGCGGCCCGGGCTCTGATGTGGATAGCAGCCTGCCTACGTTTGAGGATATCGTAACCGCGCCTCCAAATACGCCTATGAATTTGGAATCTCAATCAAAGACGAGCATCTCGGACGTCGACGACTCGTACAACACACTCAACTCGCGTACCGTCAAGCTTTCGAGACTCTCTGCCGAACTTTACGCTACTCTTGCTCCGTCTTATTCCCATCCTCCTACATCCAATCACGTTCAGGCTGGTCTGGTTCGACTGCACAATCTCGGAGTGGAAGAATACGATCGTGTCGAAACTTGGAGGTACTATGTCAACCACGAGATGATCACAAATCCGTCGCTCATGGAACCCAAGCTAAACATACCAAACGACGAAGCATATTCATCGCCAGTGAACAGCTACAGCGTCTTTGACGACTTTTCAGATAGTACATCGTGGGGCAATGAAAGAAAGATGGGTGATAGAAGTTCTACGCCGTTTGAAGTGGCAGAAGGCGCAAGCAGTGAAGAAGAGAATCGACCGTGGGGCATGTACAGCGGCAATGGTCATGAAATCGAACCTCATTGGGAAGCACCAAAGCCCAAGTTTCTGCAAAGACTCTTCCAATCGGTCGCTCAGCAATAGTTTCTTGTTTATAGTGCACGGCTCCTGTGCCAGAATTGCGGACGCTCCTCCGTAATTCATCTCTTTCTCCGCAAACACTCATCTCCGGCGAGATTTGAGTCGCATTTTGTTAGCCGCTCGTCGAATGAAATTTCCATCGCCGGTTGACTCGACGTTCGATCACTAAACCCGGCCTAGAAACCGGACCCTTGCCCAAGAGTTTCTTACGCCGCCCTCTCATTACAAACACCGACTCTGTCCAACTGACTCAAGTCCAGCTAGAGATTGCGTGCACTTTTGATGCTGTTACTCGTTATCAGTGTTATATCCTTGAATCTGGTGACTGGGCGAGAGGGCAGGGTGCGCAACTCCCCCGCCGACGATCAATTTTGACAGCCCTTCTCTGCAGCGTGGCTGACCTCGCCACGACGGTTCTCACCGCCGTTGGAAATGCTGACTGAGCATTGGATATATAAACCCTGAGTGCTGGCTCTAGGTGGTCCTCACGACTCTCCCCTCCCCTCCCAGAAAACGAAATCGAACAACGTCCCCACTGAGACCAAGACGCCTACCGCGACCACCTTTCTTTGATACCAAACAATGTTCAATGCGTCTGTTCCTCTCAACGTCTCTGTTCTCGAAGCCCTCATCGTCCCAGTGTACCTTCGTCTCTCCTCACCTAGTCTAGCCTTACACTTTCACAGTCCGATGAAAACACTTGCAGAGGCCGATATCCCTCTCAACTCTTGCCTCGACCCAGGTACACTCCTCCTTCTCCTCATGAAATCGGGCGCACTCGCGGCCGACCTCAAGGTCGACGCATTCACGATCGCCCAAACGGCCATTGCAAATGGGTACATTCCCTTTGCTGGAGGATTCTTGTATATGGGCAAGGATTCTCCGTTTTGTACGGCCGTTTCGTCGCCCGCTACGACGACGCGCTCTTTCTCAGAGTCCCCCATGGTCCGCACGCGCCCCTTGGAGGCATCTACCTCGGGCAATACTAGTTTCTGATCTACAGTCTCCTGTTCATGGATGATGTACGGTTATGATTGAATGACATTCCTGTTTCGATACACGACCATGATACATGATTATCTGAGAGAATGTCCGAGATTTACAATAACTTGCACGTCGTCACTCGTCCTCGTCTGCCTCGGGTGGCGACACGACGTTGATAATGTTCTGATAAAACACCGAAAGCTGGGATCGAGGGAACGTGAATGAGCTCGCCAGGTATTGGAGGTCGATACTCGGGTCAACGGGTTCACTAGGATAGTAGACGACGTGTTCACGTTCGTCGGACTCGTCGCTCTGAGCCTGGTCCCAAATCGAAAGCTTGAACGGAAGCTCTTTTCCAAAAGTGAGTCCATGTTCAACCCAGTTGAAGGACGACACACCTCTTTCGTTCATTGTTAGCAGACAGGTAAACGTGACCGCTTTGACATTGCCCGGCTGTCGGATGTTCTCCGTGTAATTGACAATCACCATTTCGGTCATGTTCTCGTACAGCTCAATCTTCTTTTCAAGTTCGTGTACGACGGCGCGAGATGCAGACGATGCTGGAGCGGTTGTAGTAGTTTGTGCGGATGTTGCATGAGGGCGTCGAGACGCTTCCGCTTGCAGCTTCTTCGAATTGGCGACCTCCATGTCAAGTTCCTTTTGAAGTGCACCCACTATGAGGTATATCAGCGATGCAAACGGTGATCAAGAAGTGCGCACATTGCCGTCGTGCATCTGCTGCGTCCTTGCGAGCGATGTCTGCTTTCTTTTCCGCCTCTTTACGAGCAGCCTCGGATTCTTCTAATTGCGCTCTGAGTTCGGCAAGCTCCTTGGCTGCGCCGTCCATGTGTTCATCTCGCAGCCGTTCTGCCCATTCCCGTGTCACAAACTCGACAGCAGAGCTTGGGTCACTGTTGATAAGACGTGACTTTGTATAGTCACTTCTGCGGAGATCCAACAGCTTGTTGTTCTCTACAAAAAAGTTGGTGAACAAATGTCGAGACGAGGGAGAGTTGCCTACTTTCGACGACATTCCTCATCGAGTCTACAGCCTCTTGTAGTTTCATTTCATTCCTCTCTGGTCGTTTCATGGCTGCTAGCTCGTCACAAGCCTTCTGGAGCTCGTCATATCGCGCAGTGAGCTGAAGTACCGAGCATTGTTAACATTGCAAGCAATTCAAGTGTGACGAGAAACAGACATACCTTGCGCAAAGATTGAGATAGTCGCTCGTTTTCCTCTTTGAGCACCTGTACGTCCACCGCGCCGCGTTTGGACGATGGATCCTCCGAGTCTACGTCCATTTCGGCCTCGTTCCGCGCCTTTGTCTTTGGTTTGGCAGTCTTTGCACTTCCCGAAGGAACTCTGGACACGGTGGGTCTGCTCGACGACTCTGCTGTGGTTGGTTTCTTTGCTTTAACCGTTGTCTTCTTGAGGGGTTCTTGTTCTTGTTCAGTGGCTAGTTCGTCGTCTGAATCTGATTCATCGTCTGCTCTGTTATTTGAGAGTGCTCCTGGCTTTGTTTGCTTTGGGCGTGCCATCATGATACTTTGTTAGGCGTGTTGGCGCCGTGTAGAGGGCGTTTCGCGTGATTTGTAGAGTGACTTGACGTGTATAGAGGCTGTTTAGATTGATATACGCGCGATTGGAGGTGTTGACGCGAGAATGGCCGATATTCGCAGAGAGTCAGTGGTCAGGTTTGTTTGTCCTCGACCACCTCCAGCAACATCAACCTGGGCAGCATTGCTGGTTGCATTTCTCGAGTTGGTGGATATATTCTTCGTGGACTATGGCACTCTGAGGTAGGCACATACAGTCTGGACTCAGGGCCCCCTGTTTCAATATCCGAATAGAACTCTTACATTACTCGTCTCCCGCCGGCTTTGACTGGCTACTCAAGCGAGCAGCAGCGTGGAACGTGGCTCCTACGTTACAGGGCTCGTAAGGAATATACACAACAACAAGCCCTTCCCCCGCCTCTGCTGATGGTAGCCATTCAGAAGTAGCGAACCTCTACAAATGAAGGGACTGCCTCCGCACGGCAACATCACGAGGCGACTTCTACTAGTGATGGATCGCATACCAGGCCAGCGGTGCGAACCCTGTCATCTCTGGCTCGCTCACATAATGCCATCCTCGTCGCCGAGTAGTGGAAACATAAGCAATATTACGCCCGACACTTTTTGACAGACCCCCACTTGCGATCGGCAATCGTAGCTATTGGGCGGCGTTAATCACCCTCACGTTGTCAGAAGCCCCCAATACGCGAAGTGAGCACTGCAATCCGCTACCAAGTATTCCAAGATCCGCACCAGACGATAGGGACGTATCCGCGTTCCTGCCAGGTCATGTGCAAAGGGCTTTCTGTCCCCATCCTCTCGAGTTCATCATCCCCTGAAGCTTGGCTGCCACTACCAAGGATGACCTTAGCTGCAATTAGTAGACGGCTATTGACTGCAGCCGTAGCGGGTACCTAGGTGGCGCGTTCTCGGCTAGTGATGGGTGGCATGCTCGTGTGCGCTCTGTATGGGTATTTGATGGACAGCCCCCTCGTGCGCCATCCACACGCTGGAAGGTTCGATTCAGTAAACTGGAACAAGCCGTTGGCCGGAAGCATCCAGAACACAGTCCTATCTCTCGTGGAGTATTAAGGGTCATTTCACCTATCGGCTATCCTTTAAAAATCAGGAATCAGGCTGCCCGCCTGCCAACCTTTTGGCTACCCAACCCCCCGTCCTCTCTCTAGCACGTCGCCGCTCAGTTCCTACTCTAAGACAAGCAAGACTACCGCGGATGGCGCCGTACACCATCCTTGATGAGCTGACCCTTGCCGTTGGGCAGATCAGCATCTCTCGGTATCTATGCGGTACGCATGAATTTTTCCCTATATAATCTTGCTCATGGAGCATAGGAGTCGCGCTCGTCCTTTCCTTGTACGACTGGCTGTTGCTATTAGAGGCCGGTCCGTTCCATGCACATTGCTTCTCTCGTAGCCACTCAACCCGCGTTCTAGAATCAGAAACAGTCTGGAAGGGCCGCTGGACGTTGCCGAAGATTATTTATTACTTTGTGAGTCTCCCATTGGCGGTGGGGAAGCTTCGATTTTCTAACCGATTCATTGTAGAATCGCATCGTCACGCCGGCTGGTTTGATGGCAGCAAACTATCGTACGTATCCATGATACTCGCCCTTGATATCCGGCTCACGTGTTTGACAGAGTTGACTGACCAGCGTTCCGGCGTGCTCTCTGCGTCTGTAAGTATCCATTCTTGACCACAGATGTGAGAAGCTGACAATTCTCAAAGTTGTATGCCCCTCTTGCACCACCCAGTGTTCTGCTCAGACGTCCCCAGTTGCCGTGCTTATACCTTTGCCAACTCGCTCATCGAGTTGTTATCCTTCTTCCTTAGCAATTGGCTGCTCACTCTTCGACTCGTGGCTCTATACAAGCGCAAGCCTTTGGTGGTTTGGTTTCTGTACACCTTTTTGATCACGTCGTATCTCGCCACCCTTGGGCTGATGGTATATACTCTGTATACGTTTGGCCGTGGGTAATCTGCATCCGTTGCGCTCCATGATGCTCACTTTTACCAGTTTCAATCCATTATAGCTCGATATTACACGCCTGCGCATCGAACACCCGATCTCCCCTCATGCCCGCGATATTCCTCGCTCCAGCTGCCTATGAGTGCACACTGTTCGGGCTTACGGGTTTCAAGGCGTGGCAAGACTCTAAGTTATTTTATCAAATTTCTGCGAATGCGCCATTTCTGACCGTCCTGTACCGAGGTATGCATATTTCACTCTCTAAAACCGTGCTCACTTATCACAGATGGTCTCATTTGCTTCGTCATCATGATGGGAGTCCGCATCTGGAACGTATGGATTGTGAGTTGGACAAATCTGTCATAATAGCTCTTCCGCTAATGCCACCCCAGTACGCAACGCAACCGCTCTCCGCTGCATATCTTGGAATCTATCTCCTGTGGGCGACCATGACGATTTTGAGTACCCGCGTGTACTTGAACCTTGCATTCCTCGTCAGAGGACGGCACGATACAGAGACGGCTGCCGTCTCTCGTGTCAAGTTTGCGTCACCGCATCGTCTGGGAGGGATCCAGATGCGGGTGCAAACTACTACTGTCGCGGACAATGACCAAACTATTACCTTTGGAAGCGGTGGTCGGCAAAACCGTCGAATGCTTACGACTTTTGATACTGTGGGTATCCTTTCATTTGTCTATGTTCGGGACTGATGTGTGGATAGACTTTCAGCGTCGATGCGCCTCTACCACCGCTCGACGAGTCGCTCGAGCAAGGCCAAATTACTCATTCTCGAGATTCTTTACGCCAACCCTTCTCCTCACAGAGTTATGCACGAGACGACGACATACATGAGCTACATCGTGCATAAGTATATCACCCTTTCCTCTCTCTCTACATCGTGTATTTTCGTCGTGTACTATAGCGTAATGATAATGAAGAAGAGACATAGCACCTCTTGGACGCAGAGTGTACGCTTTGTTGCGAGGCAGTCACCCATGTCGCCTATTGACTTGATATGAATAGCCGCCTATTTTGGACCGGACACTGACCGGCGATGGACGTCATACACGACAACGACGACAAAGCCAAGCCTACGACAAATAATGAAGAGCAGAGACAGCGAGCTGCCATTGTTGTGCAGCGCGCGTGGAGAAGGCACGCGCAGAGAAAGGACAATCTCAGTACAGACGCACGCTGGAAGGATACGCTTCAGAATATGGAGAAGGAGGTTGATAGACCAAGCTTCGAGTGATTTGGACTAATGAAAACTTACAGCGGGTGATCAAGGAGGCAGGTCAGGATAAAAACGACCCTCGTTCGCGGTTCCGCAGAGGTGTATTTCTCGCGGCGAGGCTTGCTGATGGGAATGCACTGCCTTTTTTCGAAGAGGATCATCGTTGGAGGCATCATAATGAACCCAAGCTCACAAAGGCTCGGCATTTGCTGCGTATTGCCATAAGCTACTAACGGATGGTATAGGAACTGGAGAGCCAGCACATGCTGGAGTTTGTTGATCCGTCAGTGATACTTGCGCGCGTCTATTGTGTTCTCACAAGAGTAGAAAGCACCGCTATGGATCGAACTGTAAGCCTTCTTCTTGGCGTCTCTATCTCTGATATTCTGACACAAATCGGTATAGTAAAGGTACTTTGCACGTCCTGGATGGCCTCAAGCTGACCGCAGCCAGTACTACCACCAGAAATGGATAGCTGCCGATACGGACGTCAACTTTTTCAAATGGTTGGTCCCTTTGAAAATTCGGCTTTGTCTTATCATCCCTTAGGCTTGACGAGGGCGACGGAAAGGACCTATCTCTACCAGAGTGCTCAAGAGAGCAACTGGAATCCGAGGTATGATCTCTCTGTCCATACGACGAACACTAATAAGCGGGAAGCGTATTCTATTCCTCTCAGCAGAGCAGCGACTCAATTACCTAATCAAGGTCGATCCAGAGGGCAAGATTCGGTGGGAGCGCAATAATGAATATGTGGACACTGCTCCTGGCAAGTGGATTGATGCTGGAGATGGTCAGGGTATCGTTCGCTCAGAAGGGGAAGGCAACGAACAGAACAAACAAGTCGATGACAAGAACCACAGAGGCAAAGGACACGATCCCAAAGTGGCCGAGACGGCGCGCCATTACGAAGGGGTTACGGGTGATCGTAGCCTGAATTCGTTTCAGAGAATGTGGAAAGATCGATTCACGACGAACGGGTTGATGGAGAGGCTCCTCAGAAAGACGGTTCGCAAGAACACTTGGCTATACGTCTCGGTAAGTGTCTTTATATCCTGAAACGCGTACTCAGTCAAGATAGGATAAGAACTGTACGTGATCATACTTTCCACTTTCGTCCCTGATCATCCTAGTCAATGTCTTTGTCGGAATAAAGGAGACGGGATACTTTCAACACTCCTCTTTCACTTCTGGTGGCCAAGGTGTGTACATAGGTGCTCAATTTTTCCCGTTTTAACATTTATAGTGACGTCCGCTGGCCTCATCGAGGTCGACAATGGGCTCGTCACAAATTTATCACCTCTGTCCGGGCACTATAGGTAAGTGACTCAATAGGTGAACATGCAGTGACTGATTCTCCTCAGAACTGGAATTGACCACTTCAAGCAGTTCCTGGAGATTATGAACGAGCGTGGCATGGATCTACACAGGATTCATGTTACCAAAGGAGAGGTACTGCTATGGAGGTAATTATGGGAACCTCTGCCTTCTTCCTGATTCCTGACAACTTTAAAAGCTTGGAACACTGGAAGGGCTTTACCAAATCACTCAAACAGTCAAAGAAGAAAGTTCATCACGCGGCTCACGTGGCCGTGCATCCACGCAAAGCCAAAGAAGAAGAAGAAGAGGAAAGGAAAAAGGAAGAAGAAAATAAGCAAGCGATGAAACAGGTCGATGCTGCCGAGGCCGCGGCTATCGAGGCAGAAGAGAAGAATAGGAAGGAAGCAACGGAGTCCACAATACGTAGAAAGCTGGCACATCACGAGGAGAAGAAGGAGAATCAACCGGATCTAGCTCCTCTGGAAAGTGGGACGGCTTGACTGGTCGGGCGCGGAAAGAGGGGGAGGACCAGTGGAAGACTGCGATGGAACGGAGAGAGGAGCAAGATGATACGAAAGAAGGGGCTCAAACTGCGAAGAGGGATGGTGCAGAAGCAAACGCTACGAGGGAAGGCGAGACAAATGTACCTGCACCGAATCATCTATAAGACCATAAGACATTCTAATATTTTCTTAATACGATGCGCTTCAGAATGCGAATGTATTGTGGTTGGAACCGGAAGTGCGAAGTGAAGACTGCCTCCTGAGGAATAGTGACGCTTGACGCTGACCTTCTTCAGGGTGGCCTAGCTCAGGACCCCACTTTTATTACAGGGGATCCCAGTACAAATTATTAAAGGATCCTCGAGCTAGTACGGCCACTGATTGGGACGCTTCACCAACGATTGGCGAGATCCAACCCTACAAAGGAAGATCCCCATACTTGAACTCCCTGACGTCGAAACCGAAGGTCAAAGATTATGGATTTCTTGAGTTATTCTCCGGGAATGATCCGTTGGTCGAGTATGCCGTCCGCGTCGTCACAACTCCTCACCACTCACCTAGCTGCACTATTATCGTTGCAATTCATGGTTTAGACGGTCACAGGGAGAAATTATGGATGTCTGGTGGAGTTCTTTGGCTGTGCCACTTCTTGCCTTTGTCGTTGCCTCGCGCCCGGGTCCTGACGTACGGATACGACGCAGATACACAGAGTGATACATGCGTGTCGACGCAGAATATGTATCGGTATGCCGAGGGGCTCGCTCATGCCCTCTCACGGGCCCGTAAAGACACTTCTCGAGTACGTGATTACTACTGGCTTTGGTCGTGTCCTCTTAATCATCTTAGCGTCCCGTTATCTTTGTTGCACATGATCTGGGAGGAATGATCCTAAAATGGGTTCATTGAACGAACTATAATGCAATTTCACGATGATAATCTCATAGGCACTCGTCATCTGCCACAATCAGAGTCTAGATTCAAAGTGCAATCTCCGAGATATTCTAGTGTCCACACATGGCATCTTATTCTTCGGAACACCACATTTTGGTGTGGATGACACTTTTCTCGCAAGGCTCAAGCGCTCGGCACCCTGGGGCATCAAAACGACCGAAGTTATCACAAAGAATCTTGAGGAACATTCCTCCGAACTCGAAAACCTACAAAGTTTGTACGTCGAGGTGAGTAAGAAGATAAGCAGCGTATTCTTCTGCGAGGATTACGCACCCCTCACGAATGAGAAGCGACCACGAATGGTTAGCTCAACCATCTACGCAAGTAGTCGATACTAATTAGACTCTAGAACGTTCCATATCGCTCGGCGAGCATCCCCGGTGACCGCAATGCCACAACGATTGTCCTCTCTTGCGACCATCAGAATCTCGTTAAATTTTCAGATCCAACTATTGACAGCTATAAAACGGTTCTCTATTATCTCGACGACTGGTGCAAGTGTGCACCTGGAACTGTGAACGACAACTGGATTCTAGAAGATAAATTGCGTGGTTCGTAGCATCTCCATCTCCAGTAATTGGCTCATTCACAAACAGGCCCCCGAAAGGAGGACATCACCCATCAGGTGAGTTGGGCGCTTTGCACGAAAGGTTGCTAAGAGTCTCCAAGTCGACAAATCTCTCATATTTCAATTGCCAATAGTGGACTCGGAAGCCTTCTCTGTCCATCGCACATGCCTCCAAGGAACTCGGGAGGCTGTCCTTCAACGGATCCAAGACTGGGCTAATACGGAGGCGTCAAAGAAACCTATATTTTGGCTATGTGACATAGCTGGGTCCGGCAAATCGACCGTCGCAATGTCGGCGCTGGAAGCGTGGAAGAGGGAAGGAACATTAGGCGGCTATTTCTTCTTTTCGATGACAAGTAACGAAAGGTCAACTATTGACAAGCTCTGCCCTACCATTGCGAGACATCTCGTCCAGCATATCTGGAACATTGCGCCGTATATCGCAGAGGTCGTAGAACGAAACCCTGCGATCATGCATAGGCCATTTGATGAACAATTCCGTGTGCTCATCACTGGTCCACTGAAACGTCTGGGAAGGCGGATAATGCTTGTCATTGATGCTATCGACGAATGCAAATCCGAATCACAACGAAAAGACCTACTCGATACACTGGCCAAGGCGACTCAAGAGAGCGTAGACCTCAAGATATTCATAACAAGTCGGCCGGACCCCGTCATCCAAGCAGTTCTGGAATCACTCTCGATCAAAACTAAGTTAGAGGACCGCCTGCACGATGTCAATCACCACGACAATATAAATGACATCGCGGTCTATGTACATCAATCGCTTGGTGGTGTACTGTCAGAAGACCAGAGAAATCGGCTGATCGAGAAGGCCAACGGGTTGTTCATTTGGGCAAGCACCGCATGTCGAATGCTCAATAGCAAGACCACCTTGAGGTCTCCCCAGGGTGTGTATAAATGTCTCCTCTCCATCGGCGGGGTCATAGACGATCTATACACCCTGACGCTCGAGCGCACAGACCCCGAAGACTGCGGTCATGTATGAGATGCTTGCTTTGCTGCTTGTCGCATTTGAACCTCTCACTGTCGAGAATCTAGACGACATTCTCATTCATGCCGGAGTAGACGGGAGTGCCAAGCCATTAGTCAAGGCACTTAGTAGTGTTCTTAGCGAAGATGAGGCTACAAATCTGATTCAATTTCGGCACCCCACCTTCGTGGAGTTCCTTCGACGCTGCTCCATCACCCCACCTATCGATAGCCATAACAAGATATACATCAATATCGCCAATGCGTATGGTCAGGCCGCATCGTGGTGTTTCAAATGCCTCAAGTCGCCGACCGAAGGTCTGAAGTTCAACATATGTCAAATCCAATCCTGTTTCTATCTAAACAGGGAGGTCCCGAACTTTGATGCCAAAGTATCGAGGTTCATTTCAAGAAGACTTCGATATGCCAGCTCTCATTGGTTGTTCCACATTGTGGAAACTGACAACAACTGGCGATCTAAACTCAAGGATGAACTTCGACACATTATTCGAATTCTATACATTCTATACTGGATGGAAATTCTGAGCTTCACCGGAGGGGTGCCTAGAGCACTGGCTGGATCTCAAGCTGTTACCATTATTCCGCGGGTAAGTCGACCATGGTAATGAAGATCTACTACTTTTGCAACGAATAGCTCGAAGAAGACACTAGAAGGAGGATGAATGAAGTTCGGCAGTTTATCATCGCATTTTCGGTACCGATCCAAGACAGCGCACCACGCATCTATATCTCTGCACTTTCATTTACTCCCACGAGGTCACGAATTCATATTAAGAGGGCAGGGAAATACCGTAATAGCCTCACTGTAAGGCGAGGGCTCGAAGGGATGTATCCAGGAATACCGAGAACACTTCGAGGTCACGAAGGTCCAGTATTAACCGCAGGATTCTCGCCAGATGGCTTGCAAATGATCTCTGGCTCAAGCGACCGCACAATTCGATTGTGGGATGTAGCCACTGGACAGCCGTTGGGAGAGCCACTTCGAGGCCACAAGAACCTGGTCAACACCGTCGCATTCTCGCCAGATGGCTCACGCATCGTCTCTGGCTCAAGCGACCACACGATTCGACTATGGGATACAGTCACTGGACGGGCGTTGGGAAAGCCACTTCGAGGTCACAACGACTGGGTCAGTACCGTCGGGTTCTCGCCAGATGGAACGCGAATCGTCTCTGGCTCCGGTGACCACACGATTCGACTATGACATGCAGCCGCTAGAAAGCCGTTGAGAATGCCACTTCGAGGTCACAATGGCACGGTCAATGCCGTCGAATTCTCGCCGGATGGTTCATGCATTGTCTCTGGCTCATGCGACTACACAATTCGACTGTGGGACGCATACACTGGCGAGTCATTAGGAGAACCACTCAGAGGTGGCAACGGCTGGGTTAATGCTGTGAGATTCTCGCTAGACGGCTCACGCATCGTTGCTGGCTCAGGTGAGTTCACAATTCAAGTGTGGGATGCAGCCACTGGGCAGATATTGGGAGAGCCACTTCGAGGTCACAAAGACTCGGTCAATGCCGTCGGATTCTCACTAGAAGGCTCACAGATCGTTTCTGACGCGAGAAACCAGACGGCTCGTCAGTGTATACAATTAACGGTTGGTCTAGTTCGGCTTCTTCCTGATTATGTTGCCTGACGTGAGAAATTCTCCCAGAACCTGAAGCAAATAAGTCCATCCAGGACGATAGAAGTTCTATGCCTCTAGATCTGGAGGACAAACACAGGACTAGTATAGAGGTTTTCGTACCTGGATTCAGACGCTGCATACTCTCGCAAGATGGCTGGGTGCTATATTCCGGTAAACGTCTCTTCTGGGTACCGCCAGACAATCGGCATGGACTACAAAATCCGCGACTTCTTCTGACTATGCCAACATCAAGCCCCTTCCGAGCAACCAAACCTGACTTCACTCGTTTTCAATGTGGCCTCAATTGGACAAACGTTCAAGCACATAATCCTTTGTAATCAATGTCATCTATATGCTATTCCTATATCAGCAAGCGAATCACCTCCATCTCGAGCCAAACTCATCCATTCTGCCAGAGATAACCCACAGGAACCGCCATTGCCAAATGCCTCTACAGAACCGTATATACTATATTATTCCTTAATATATTTTTCATGAAACATATGTGGAAGTGTAGCCCTGCGTGTGTGAAGAATTCGAGGTCGGCACCTGGAGAAACACAACGCCAAACCTGGTGGCGACAGCAACGCGCTCGCCAGTGCGCAACCGACAACTTGGAAAACACCAGGAATATTGTTGATATCCCAGCATTCACCGACTTCTACGTCTGGCGAGCTCGCAAGTGCTCCAGCGAGGGCGATTCAAATCTTTCCTTGAGCCTCGCTTGAACCCGACCGTCCAGTTGGGCAGCTCTCGATGAGCTCGCTGGACTTTCAAGATCGACCAAATTCTGCAATATATCTTGGGTCACCGTTTACAGCCGCTCAGGACGCTGTTTTATTTGACAACGACGCCGGGAGCGCACCCACCACGCCGCTCACCGACGCAGCGCACCGTCTGGGGACTTCTGGACCATCGCAGCTGCCCTCTCCACCGCACACAATCTCAACGAGCGGGAGTACAGGCGACAAGGACAGCGCCAACGCCGGCAGCATCAGGAGGAAAGCTGGGGTACCTTTGCTATCGGTCGTCCATGACGAGGACGACGGTACACGGTCTCCCAGGATGCAGAATTGCCATGAAATGCAATATGAAGATGACGATGACGACCTTACACGACGACTGACGCCTGCAGAAAAGGCGGCACAGGCCAACAGGATAACGCCAAAGATTGAGCGAGCTCGCAAGCTGACAGAAAAGAATACAGAGGTCAGTACAAACATCGTGAATTGGCTAGACGATGGCTCACTCGGATACTCGATTCTCCTTTCTGCGACTTCTCACGTGCATCTATGGCTGCCATCTAACAACGAAATGTCAATGTTTGCCTCACGATCATTGAAATATCCCCAATTTGGATGTTTCTGGCCCATCGCCCGGCGATTGACCACTACGTTCCTTTGTCCTTCTACAGCTACTTGACAAGCTAAGTCGCATTAGCAACTTGGGAAGTGGCCTACCGTCCGGAATAAACATGTCGCCAACACCTCGAACCGCTTCCCTCGGGCGAACTGCTAGCGCGACAAATGCCACCTCGTCCATGCGCCATGCAAGCCTTGTGCTACCTCGAACGCGCGATGTCTTTGACCAAGATGCAGAGCCGGATCGTTTGATGAACCGTTCTGTCTCCGGCTCGGTTTCAGAAGACGATCGTGCCAAAACACCACCCGCCAAAACGCCAGACAAACGCTTTTTGGAAATTAGTCCCAGACAGAGGCTAGTCTCCGAACCGACGACGCCCAATCGTTTGAATTTGCTGCGAAATACGATGAATGCGGCAACTTCCCTACGAAGGGGGACTGGGCTTCGAAGCGAGTACATACCTGAGGACGATGATAAGAAGGGCCCAGTAAATGGATCTGCGAAGAAGTCGAGGACGCCAATACCTTTAGAGTTTATGGACAACGCCAGGGTACGTGTTTGAACTTCGCACAGACATAATGGCTGATTGTCAATAGACCGCCACTCCATCTCAAGTAGAGGACACAGATGGGACTTTGCTCACGATTGCACGTCCCACTTCCAGTCGACAGCCATCGCCGGGTCTTTACACCTCCGAAGGTTCTCCTTCAATGGGATCTCTCTCGGCAACGCTAGGAGAGTCAGCTACCGTGTCCAGGCGTCCGAGACCCGCTGGTCTTCGAAACTCGTACGACAGATGGGGAGAGCCCTATGAAAACTGGGAGAAAGCGCAAATGGAGTCACAAAATCAAGGGGAAATTAGTCCTGGGACAGAAACAGACGTATCTCAACAACGACGTCCTGGCATTCGCAGCGTCGTCAACGAGGGACTCAAAGCTGCCGGTCTCACCCGCGCGTCCACAGCCGTGTCTTCTATGCGTCGTGCACGAGAAGAAACGGTTACTCGTAGCCGCACCTCCAGTAGCCTAGCGATCCGCAATGAATCACTCGTCACATCACCGACAAGCCTCGACCCCTCCAGCGCTCTCAGCCGCTTGTCTTCCGAAAGGGAACGTTCTCGATCCAGAATAGATGAGCGAGCTACGACGGATATCGACAGTTTGCGAGAGCGTAGTAGTAGCGCGAGGCACACCTTCTTCTCCCCCAACGTCCGCGCCACGAGAACCATCCACAACGTCCTCAGTAATAAACCCCCGGAGAGCCCAAATCAAAGTCCGGATCAGCTGACGCCAATGGATGGACGTGAAACGCCGGCAAACCTTCGACTCTTCAAATCTAATTACTCCAGCACGCCAATGGGCAAGGCCTACACATCACCCAGCGGTACCCAGAGACATCTTCCGGCACGATCCGTTGCGAGCAATGTAGGACTCGACAGTCCCAGGCAAGCTGGAACGGGCCTCAATGCCAACAACATGTCCTCCAATAGTCTCAATCCGGACGGAGGACCCGTCCAACTCCTCAATGATGCCCTTTACATGTTCGAATCCCACGTTCAGCGATTGCCCCAGTCGTCCTCGACACCCGACACCTACGGCGAGGTGCTCCGCGATGCAAAGGGCATTGCTAGTGCTGCTGCTGCACTGAATGTTGCGCTGCGCAGCGCGGCCGGCGTCTGCGTTGACGAGCAGATTGAGGCAGAAGTGCAGGCTCAGAGCGAATCAAACACTGAAAGCCACCTATCTCGAGCAGAGGTGTGGAAAAAAGTAGCCGCTGAATTCCGCGAGGATGTGCGCGTGTCAGACGAGCTTGTTCGCGCTCTGACGAGTTTTATGATCGGCACTGGACGGATGCTTCGATCGGCCAATACCACGAATCACTCTAGGATGCAAAGCACGGGTGATGCGTCTAGTGCTGTCGGAAGCGTTTCACGGGCCAGTGGAACTGCGCTAATTCGGGGCGGGAGCGTTCGTGGCGCCGGAAGCAGTGACGGGCGGAGAAGCGTGGAGGGATGGACCAGGGGGATCGGCATGGCTGGTGGAGATAGGAGAAGTGTCGATGGGCGCCCAAGCCATGATGGACGGCGAAGTGTTGATCCTGCTCCGTATAGTGCTCGACGCTCGGCCGAGGAACACAGAGAAGATACGATGAGACGTCTGAATGCTCGTCAAGCAGCACTCGACCAATTGGAAGGTGGAAGCACTGGTAGTGGTGGAGGAAGCTCTGGTCCGCGGTTCGGCAGTCATCGCGTGTCGTACAATGACTCTCGGTCTCAAACGTCGCTCAGCATGATCCGCGATGTCCCAAGACTGTCCCAAGACGAATCTCTATCGTCACCTGGGCCTCGAACGTTTACCTCGCTGTCATCACGTAGATCCACCGGAGCACCGACACCCGCAATGAGCCAGAAGGCTCTTCCCAAGTTGCCTTTGCCACCCGCCGGTGGTGAGCTTAGTTTTCCGCAGACGGAAGATGGCGGAGACAGGACCCCGATTGAGTTGCCTAGACCACATAATCGACATTCGACCATGCCGGCGCTGGCAGTTCCACCACCTCTCCCGACACTTCCTTCCGAGCGGATCATTCAGCAAAGCAAGACGCCGTCCAAGCATGGAGCCTCCAATTCGGTCACCTCTGCGTCCACAACGTCGACTACGCGGCCAAAGACACTGACTAGAAACACTATGATCCTTTCGTCTCCGTCCACAGACCTCAGTACGCCTACACTTTCATCCACTGGCGAGCGGTCTAGACGCCCGAGCGCATCCTCTGTCACCAGTCCGTTTTCAATGGGTCGTACGAGGGGGAGCGCAATTCTGAATGGTATGAACCAGTCTACTGTCAATGCTCAAAGCCGAAAACGCACCATTTCCATCACGGATGATGATGGCTTCCCGGCACCAAAGGAGAATCAACCCACTTTGACGTCCTCCGCTGATGTGCTTGGCTCCCACTCGAGAGCAGCTGGAGGATGGAGCAGTGCGAATGCTAGCCCGACGATAGGTGCTCGAGGTGCGAGTGGACGGCCGTTGCTCAATCGCCGAACGAGCAGTACACTCTCCGGTGCTCCTCCCGTCACTAGCCCTGGCCTTTCCACTGCCCCTTCAGCTGCAAAGCCCCGAGTTGTCTCCCGCATGTCGAGCACGGGTAATTTGGAGAATACGCAGCGGGAAACGAGTCCAAGGCACAATCTCGTTAGCGCCGAAGCCACTCAGGGAACGGATAGCGGTCAAGACGACGAACGTCGTCTAAGGCGTTCACGCGTAAGGCTCAGCTCCAATGTTGGATCGGACAAGCGCTCTATAGTTTCAGACTTGCTTGCTGCAAGGAGAGCGGGGACGACTCGACCTCGAGGAGGCACCGGTGATTATCGAGATGACCCAAATGGGTCGCCTAGTCTTGGTGCAAGAGACAGGCGAGAGAGAAGGCAGGCGGAAGCTCTATGAGTGCCGGTAGGATTATTTGCGAGTTTAGTTTGACGAGGCTGACGATTTTATAGACCTGTCACAATCCAAGACATTTTGTAGACGTCTAAGTCTATGAATTCGGACTCTAGTATCAATGACTCGCCTCGGACTCTGAACTCGCATTTCGACCTGCAAATACCCTGCCCCTTGCATCCTAACTATTCGACTGATTGCTCCTAAATATGGCTCTTCTAATGAGCACTCTTGCATAGAAAAGTATCCACGTTCGTCGTGGCCTCTGCATTCGCTCCTTCATGTTATTATTTTTCTCTGCATCGCCGACACCGTCGACACCAAATTTGTCACCATACGTGTAGACACCTCGCACACTCCTTGCCCTGCATCATTTTCCATTGCTCTTTGGCCCACCAAGGTCTTGTGTTTCCATTGATATTTGTGTACTGTTACGTCGTTAGCAGTGATGATACTTGTCTTTTATAACTCTTTTATACAAGTCGTGTGCTGAGCGCGAGTCAACATTGCCACCGCCGCGCGCTTGCGGTGCCGCAACGCCTCTTGGAGCTTGCCATGTCCACGGAATCAAAGCCGACGTTGGAATCATATCTCACAAACCGACCGGAATTTGCATCGGTTCCGCGCATCCAATCTCTCTACTCTGATCTGGGCCGGCAGAAGCTGTCCAACCCGAGCGGGTATACTGCCAACCTTGCCTGGTGGCGGACGACGTTGCAGGAGATTGTAAGAAGGCGATTGCAGCCTGATCAGGACGATGCACTTGTATTGCATGTCGACCAGGACCTTAGTGATGCGCTCCGATGGGACAAGGTCGGCCGTCCGGCAGGCCTCAGCACCGTAGTTGTATGTCCAGCTTGATTGCCTATGGATGCAACTGATAGATGTGATGCAGGAGGATCTTACTCAAGATGGTGTGCTCCATCCTCTAGAGCTGTTCTTGTCCTCTTCGGCCTCTATTTATGAAGGAGGCTCTATTGTCGGGCGTGTCGCGGATGTGTTGATCAAGAAATCGTTTTGGTGGGCTCTTGAACATCTCAACCTCGTCAGTTCGGAAGCCACGGAGACGCCTGCGGCGAAATGGAAGCGGGTTACTGGAGATTACGTGGTCGTTTCGGTCCTCAAGGTGCGACACTCTCGCTTAAACACCAAACAATTTGGGACACTTAATGCGATCATAGAATTTGGCGGATAATATCATTGCCACGCAAGACGAAAAGTCGGCCTTGACGCTCTCGGAATCTATCCATAGCCTAGAGTCGTTCAAGAGATACGCCGAGTCGTGTTCGATTTCGATGGGAGGACTCGCTCCGCTCTCGTCGACGGACGTCAAAGTGCTGCTCAAATATCTCGCAAGAGACCGTCGGGTGCTCGTCATACAGGGTGATGTAAGCCAGGCTCGTATCTCCTGACCAAGTACTGACTTTTCTAGGTTATCAAATTTGCGGAAGATGCCATTTCCCAAGAAATCACAACGGTCGACCGCGGCGTGTTTGAACTAAAGTCGACCATCGAGCGGGTAGAACAGCAGATTCAGCACATCGAAATCTCAATAGCATCGTGCGTCTTTTTACTCTTTTATAGAGGTTACTCAACGAATTCTAGACGTACAGCCCAAATAAAGGCTGCTCTTCTCGCGAATCGAAAGGAAATTGCCAAGCTACAGCTCGGATCGCGCAAAGCGCTCGAAGCGTTACTCAACCAGCGAGTCAGCACGATGACGACGTTGACGGCAGCCATGTCTTCTATTGATCAAGCCCACGGGGATGCAGCCATCCTCCGTGCGTACGAGTCGGGCTCCAAAGTGCTCAAGGAGATTATGAGCAGACCGGAGATGCAAAAGGAGCGTGTCGACGAGGTGATGGACCAACTGCGAGAAGGAGTCGAAGGCGCCGAAGAGATGCGACGTCTTGTCGAAGAAGCTGGATGGGAGGTCGTCAACGCAGCTGGTGCCGCTGTTGATGATGACGAGCTTCTCAAGGAGCTGGAGGAGATTCAGCGAGAGGAGACTTCACCGACACGAGGGCAGACTGCACCAGCGCGACAGGAACTTGATGAGAAGCCTATTCGGGAGCTTACTCAACAGTTTGAAGCACAAAAACTGTCTACCCCGGTGCGTACACCTGGATCTGAAAAGGTGGCGCAGCTTGCATAACGGAAACCTATGATGTATGGACGACTTTTGATGACTAATTGATGACTATATTGACTTTGTCTATTGTTTGTATTATCCCAACTGAGATGGGTGCAGGCGGCCAGAGGGTTCGCGTGACGTTGGACCCGACGAAATTGTCTGCCCGCCTTTGAATCTTCTGGGCCTGCTCAGCGCGTTTACAACGACGTTTGAATCTTCACGACCGCAGAGGGACGGATGGGCAGCCGTCCCAATGACGATCGCAAGGAGCAAGGAAGGCTATGGCTGAGCGAAGGCAACCCCATTCGCGTTTTTATCGACTCTGCAGAGTTTGACAACTTTTTAAAATGTATGAGGATTCATCTTTGCTCGTAAATCGACGCTTTACTCGCTCATCCGCCTGCGCTTTTCGACGTGCTCCACACCTCGCGGGCGATCATCCATATTTTTCTGATTTCACCTTTCTGGCAAAGACATGCTCACATACTCGTCTTTGGATTCTATTTTTCAGCTAATAAACACGTCGTTTCCGCTACGACGGCCTCGCTCCTCTCAACGTTTATCGGCTACCCGGTGAGCCGATGCGTCGACCTCCGTCTCTCACTCTCGACTAACCGCCAAACGGTCTTATAGCTCGACTCGCTCAAATCGCGTCTGCAGGCATCTCGTGCACCAATCACTGTCCCGCGATTGGCTGCAAACATCTTTCGTGCGTCTCCATCTCATCTGGTGTTGTCATCAAGGAATGGATGCTGATGGCGTGCAGGCGAAGAGGGTATCGTCGGCTTTTACCGCGGCCTCTGGATCCCGCTGGTCACTATTTCGGCCGTCAGGGCGGCCTCCTTCACTATTTACAATAACACAAAGTCCAAGCTCCATGATCAGTATGGCTGGTCGCGAGAGAAACTACTCTCAGTTGGTGCGAGCGGAGCCGTAGGAGGCGCTCTTGCGGGTTGTTTAATCAGCTTTGGGAGCGTCCGTGCGTTCGTCTCCTGGTGGTCCGAGACCTAAGCTGATAGTACGAGACAGCGTTCGAACTTGTCAAAGTCAGGCGCCAGTTGGAATACTCGATTGCAGCAGCAAAGGGCATCCACATCGTAAAACCTCCAAATACGTGGGAAGCTGTCAAGGACATTGTCAAAGGTCCGACTGCTGGGATGGGCAATCCAAATAACAGTCCAAGAGGCATCACTGCCCTGTGGACCGGTATGAGGTTGCATCTTCGTGAGCAAATCCATCTTTTGCCTTTGGTGATACTGAGACTGTACAGTGCGTGATACTTCGGGGACGGCTCTGTACTTTTTCGAATACGATTCCATGCGACACCTTTTGGGACGACTGCCAAATTCAGAACAAGGACCAACACCATATTGGGCTCCTCTACCGCCTAGTCTGATACCATTCGTATGTGGTAGCTTGGCAGGTGTTAGTAGCTGGGCGATAATTTATCCACTTGATGTGTAAGCTTCTTTTCTTGCCTCTGAGAGTATATTCTGACGTCGCTTACAAAACAGTGTCAAGACGAAGACTCAACAGAGAGCTCTTTCGGGCGATGTGTACCGTGGACCCATCGAGACACTCAAGAGACTGCTCCGCGGTCCAGAACATGCTCCACGTACTATGGTCGCTGGCTTCGCTCGTTTATATAGAGGCCTAGGTGTCTCTGCGCTGAGAAGCGTCACGACCCATGGCATGTTATGGACTATTCTCGATGCCGTCAGCGGATGGATTGACCACCGTGCCGCACGGCGCGGTCTCGAGGTTGATCCATAGTTTTCTGCGTATCTTATCCCAGCCTTACATTATCCCGCATGGTTCCTCGTTTTACATGTAGCGATATCGTCGTCTATGAATCTTTTCCCCCACATTCAAGGCGTGCTAGCATACCCTTTCCGAGTTGCGCTGGATTCATCGATGTAGGATTAAACAATGAGATCAGGACACTGAGATACATGAGCATTTATGGCGACTACAAAGACACAGGATGTGGACGGCCGTCGGCGAGTAGTCCCAAAGAAATATCGTGTCGAGGCGTGAATTATCGTGAGTTAGATTGTCTCCTGGGAGACAGTGGCAGCATTGTTTGCAAAATATCCTGACGATCCATTGAGAATCCTGCGATCCTGAAGACACTGAGGGCAGTGGCCCGAAGCAGGAGTAGCATATTCCTCAACGTCAGGTCCAAAATGCTAGATAGAGCGAGTTAGTTGACTTTTTCGAGATATGCGGAGTGAAGATGGAGCAGGGCAGGGCACACTTGCCAACCAAACCTGGCTGGCTGGTCGTAAGGGCTGCTGGTCGGCACATCTTTTCAGGCATCTTGAAGGCGACAGGAAGGCATATGAGCAAGTATAAAACGTACCTTGTTGCACTGGCAATAAGGAGGTTTACAGTTTGCCCGGTGTTTGTCGCTGATGGCACATTGTGGGCTGGCACAGTCGTAGATGCGGTGAACCTTGGTGACCTAGAGGAATAGAACGAATGATTTAGCGCAATAGAACCACGAAAAGCTCGATTACGAACGATGTAGTGTCCACAGCCGCCATATTGAAGTCCTTCTGTCCCTTGGCGACACATTATAGACTGGCAGAGAGAGAACAGAGCTTGGAGCGAGGAATTTGTCAAAGGAAAGAGGTTTTAGAGGAGCGAGTAAGGGTCCAACCCAGGAGTATCGTGCATGCAAGGCTTTTATACCTGCCAGGACGCCGCGAGGCCTGCCCGCCACGCCTCTGGCATCTTACCTTGGGCTACTTCTCGTCACCGCCACGCGTTTCAAGGTCTCCTCGACTATCTGTATAGGCAATATACCGCGTTTCTGGATCTGGTCCACCTGTCGAAGAAAATGGAGCGGAGATTGAATATCTATAAGACGAACGACGTGTGACCTGAGACATCGTGTACTTTGGCAGCTCATCGATTGGCTGCGTCGTCAGGGTCGAGTCAGGGTTGGCCCGCGATTTCCTAGATAGGGTGTGGCTAAGGATGAGACGGAGCATTCCGAGCGCTTTTGTTGCTTGACAGCTTGAAATCAATGGACATGAAAGGCTCGTTCGGTGCAAAGATTATTGCCGCGTGAGATCGTGGATGCTTCTGGACTATTAGGAGGCGATGTCCAGCTTCCCAAAGTTGATGAAGGAGAAGTCGCTAGAAAGGACTGCACGCTTGGTGGTTGTAAGCTCAATCGGTCGTTGAATGCAGGGACACTCAACCGCCCATCACGGAGCATTGAGTGCATACCTTAATGAAGGGGTCTACTAGATTATTTCTGTCGCAAAGATTAGCTAATTAGGCCAAGCTTAGACATTAGAGAGGCCACAACCAACTAACCGCCTGTCCCAGCCAGTGCGACGCGGATCCACCAAGGTACAAAAGAAGGGGGAGCAAAATCATAGCAAACGCTTGAGTTGAGATTTATGGGGTGATACTTCATTTCACGCCTTGTTTGTCCAGATACATCTGTGCCTTTCGGATGTTCGCCATTACAGCCTCTTGTAGATAACGAAATCGTATCCACTTGTAGGCAATTCAATCCCGATCACCATCTTGTCTCTGGCCGAGCGCCTCTGCCTTTCGAAGACATGCAAAGTAGGCACTTATACAACTCTTCGTATTGAGGACTTCCAATGTTACCTCGTCGTTGTTTCGAAAGCGGGGTGCGGACCCGTAAGCTTCAACTTGTCCCACGCTTCGATGGACCAGTGGCGTCCGGTCGAGCAAAAGCCTCAATATAATCGACAAAACTACAGTGATAGATTTTCAAGAGAGCGATCAGCAACGCCTCGTAGAGACCAAGATGTCGCGCCCCAATGTTTGCTACAAATCTCTGGCCCAGGACGACACGTAGAAGGGATACCGAGGTAGGAAGATTTCAGAAGCATCGGGTTACTCTTTGGATGCATTAATGCAGTCAGGTCGCCCAACTTTGCTTTGGAAGTCCAGGGTTGAAGGACCCACTTGGCCAGTTTCATGCCATTCTTGGTCCGTGCAATTCTTATGCTGGACCAAAGCTTATATAAAGCAGGAATCAAAGCTAACGGAGCTTCAGAATTCATGGTCCCGATGCAGAAGGCGTCGTTTCGACCAAAACACTATGGAGCTCAACCCTATCGCATAGACTATACCGGGTTTCGAGCGTTCTTTTCTCTCTCGCCTGTGGTGTTTCCTCACAAAGATGCGCTAGAGGAGACGCTGCGGCAGCACATGTCGCAGAAGAAAGGCAAAGGTTCAAAGGCGAACAAGCGATACGAACTCGCCACTACCAAATACTCAGACGAGATGGGAGCAGAACAGCCGAGATGTGTCTACGAGCAATGCAGGAACGTCGTACGCCCTTTTAGCTTCGAGCCCTTGTTCTGATCTGTCCTAATAGGCTCTTGATGGCCGGTCTATCCTCCTCGTTGTTCTACTCGCCATTATCTTACGGACTGGCTTCGCCTCGGCCTCCCTCCCCCATGTTCCTTGTGCTCGCATGCAACGCGTATAGGCTACGCGATATCAGCGATTTCCTGGACATGGCATGGGGCACCGTTGATGCAGATTCTGTACGGAGTCAAGCAGACTTGGACGCTCTCAATGTCGACCTAAGGCAAGACATGGATTTCCAAAACGAAATGTTTGCCGGAGGGAGAACTAGACAGGTGAGCATCGTGCCCGTCCCTGGAGTCAATCTCATTGCCTCTAGGCATGCCAAGATGGGACTACTCTGAAGCTTGCCGACTTAGAGGACGAACGGATATCCCTCAAGCCATTCATTCAGAGTCATCTCAGCAGCACCAACGATGAAACATTAATAGTACTAACATATGATTGGAAGTCGTCCAAGTCGTTCTTAAATGCCATTGGCGTAGATACAGGCTCGTGGAGAAGCAACCTCGACGACCTTCTCCGGCCAAAAGAAGTGATGAATATCAAACAAGGTGACCGTTTGTTACCAAATCAAAATTACTCTAATAAAAATACAGAATCTGCGAGACGAAGATCACGCAGCCCTGGTCCAAGGCGTGTATCTACGACTCAGTCCTCGTTTCCAGCAGTGACCAAGAGGGCAGTGGACACCGAATTCAACATCATTCGCTTCTTGGATGTTAGAGAGCTCTACGGGTCTGCAAAAAGATCGGGACATTTGGACACCAACCTCCTCGAAGCATGCAAAGATTTCGACATGGTCGAAACTGAAAGCATCCCTCCAAACACCTTTTGTGCTGGAAACGAACTGTCTCTTATATGGAGCCTTTTCAAGAAGATGGCTCTTGGACCATCGGTTGATGAGATGTGGACAGCCCAGTTCAAGGTATGCCCCGCGGCTTCATGGATCAGGCGTTGATGTTCGATAGGACAAGCGCATATCCGCGTACTCTGATGATGAAGAGGATGAGAATGAAGATGGGGATGGCACACTATTCTCAGCACCACCACCGACGCAGAGCGGAAGCAGCGCTCAAAACTCAGCACCAAGGAATAAAGATCCATTCGGCTTGTGGGATGCAGATGAAGATAGGCTCCTAGATGACTAGTACCGTTCACAGGTGAACACACCGAGTGCGCTGACTTTCACCCTGAGCTGGGGTTTCCTCCTGTTTGATACTTGATACCATGCACGGGAATAACCTTCATAGCGGTTTGCATTGTCACATTTGATGGTGGCCATGAACCTTTCCGGACTCAGGCTTGCTCCCGACCTCGTGAGGCTCCTTAGAAACGTCTTCACCTTTACACCTTTAACAAACCCAACGTACATATTGATCCTATACGGCTGTAAAAATGGCTGAACCGCGAGCGCCGCATGTGAGAGGATACCTTTGCCAAGTTGGCATGTTACTTACTTGCTTTGCCAGCCAGAGGCCATATTGTTGTTTCCAATAGATCTTGCATCTAATTCTCAGCTTACCATTGATCTTGTTTCAGCGTCGCTCTACCGTTTGGCGGCGCTATCGACAACCGTTCCCTACAAATGGGGCTTCATCGACCGCCCGAAAGGTTCTCTCTATATTATCTCAATTCGAACGGATCTCTGATTATTCTATGGCTCAGACAACGACGTTTTTTGCATCCATCATCGTGGTGGACCGCTTACGGATGGACTCATGTATCTCGAGCAGGAGCATCGACATATCATTCCCCGGCATGGACATGGACCAGATATAGAATGTCTAGAGACTAAGCAAGGCTTCATTCCGAACCATGACAACCAAGCTTTCAGGATTCGAAGACGTTTTCACTTTGTCAAGCCGCACGGGAACCCATCACTGTTCTTGGTTGCATACCAAAGAAGTCAAACTCCTGTTCGTGAGTGTTCTAACTCTTTCATCGGCTTGATTTGGTCCTGATGTTGCAACTCCAGCTGTTGCTGCCCATCTTCATCAGCATATTCGACACTACCCACTGCCTCCCCCACCGCCTGTTCATATCTTTTTAGCTGGACCGCGTGCAGGAGAGGCGATTCATGACGAGGAAGCGCGTACTATTATCGCCAACGTCCAGTCTCGCGCACCCGAGTCGTATTACAACCAGCAAAGAACCCAAGCATTCTCGCACCCTGGTGGTCCTGCAGCATATGGTGGCGTCGCTCAGGACATTTCTGCTCATACAGCGGCCCTGAAGGAGCTCGAAAGGAAGAAGCGGATGGCCGCGGCAGCTGTGAGCGGGTTTATTGCTTATTTGATAATGACTAAATTGATCGATAGAGTCGACGTGATGAAGATGATTCAGCAGGTAAGACCTGCAATCCCGACACCCTCATTACTGACTCTGGCAGACGAAGACACTGCTGTCTCGGTTCGAACATTGGCTTTGAGCCGTTACAAAAGGAACCATGAATTCATGGAAGAAGTCTTCCAACGAGCTGCATTCGGTTGGTACCATCTTGTACAATAAGTCCTTCTGACTCGCTGCAGGCGCTCGAAAGGTGGAAGCGACATCAGATTCGAACCCAGGAATGACCCTTGAAGAGATTTTAGCAAAATTGGTGCGTTTTTGGTATTATATATCATCGAAATCTCATCGTATTGTAGGAGAGCACGCAAGCTTCGGTGGACGAGATGGAGAAAAGGCTCAGCGAGCGTCAGCGTCTGCAGGAAGAACGCGAAGAGGCTGCTCAAGCCATGCTTTCTTAGGGAAAGAATGTCCTAGAGTTCCAAATATGACATTGCCTTATAACTTGGACCCTTCCACGACCGAGCCTATGTTCATCTCACCGACATTTGTTGGTCGAGACCCTCCGTTACCAATCTTTGTACCTCCATTATACCGACCGTATCCACTCCGAAACGACGGCATCCGCCAGAAGAGCTTGGCGATGTTCGCGTGCGCGAGTTGTATGATGAAGCACGAGATCTCTCCGACGAGGAGCTTGAGCTCGAAGAAAGAGTGAGAATACTCGTATTTAGCGTTTCCAAGAGTTTTCTAACGGCTATTGTAGTATGGTGACCTTAAGAATCGAGGTTTCAACTATCTCATTCCTCTGGGCAAGACTCTGACGCTACGAGAGGAGCAAATAGATGTGCGGACTCTGTTTTCACATTCTGTTAGTGTCCAATTTGATTGAAATTCGCAACTAGTTGCAAGCTGCGAGCGACAGTGCGTCCGAGGCGCCAGAGCAGCCAGAAGAGGCGTCGGTAGAAAATGATGCTGCTCCAGCAGAGGGAGGTGAAGGCGAAGAGCAGGATCTTGACGCCGAATTAGAAGACCTGGATGAAGGTGATGGCGACGAGGAGGAAGAGGATGATTCACAGGAAGAAGATAATTCTCAAGAAGACGAAGAAGAGGAAGACGCTATGAGCGAGTAAGCAACCCGTGAGTGCCGTCTACTCAATAACCCTCTGGAGCGAGTAAGGATGCACGACGACGTACGGATAGATACTAAAAGTACACCAGGAGCGATAATCGTAATGAGGTACCCACATACGGGTTTTCGCGACTCTCCTTTTTCACCGTCTGTTCGCCTCGTCCTTGTTAATTGTGTTGAATAGAGCCGAGTCGACGAGAGACGCGACAGTAAGGACACCACCAATGATCGCGCAAAACGTCGTGAGGAAGTGGGCAAACGGTTTGCGCTTCTCGGTGTGGATGACTTGCATCGGCGAGACGTCAATGTTGATGAAGAGACCAGGCGCAGCGTCGTAGCCGTGAGTGGTCTCGATGCCCTCGGTGTTCTTGAGATGGTATGCCTCACCGACGTTTCGTGTATGAGAGCTATAGCTGTACAAATGCGAGCTCACCTGTCTCAGATCAGTAACAGGATTTACAGTGAGAAATGAGCTTACGTGTTCGTGATCCAGGTCTCAAAGTCTGCGCTCACAACCTTGATAAAATATTGGAACATATAAGTGGTGATATCAGGGCCACGTCGCTGGGAATAAACGGTTAGCAGAAACAACGAATAATGATCCAAGTACTCACACCGCTATACTTGGCATAGTGCGAATTAAAACCGTTGAGCGGATCCTTGGGCACGCCAAGATGCTTCTTTAACCGCGCTGCCTCATTGGCACGTCTGGGGTCATACTCGTCGTCGCTCTGGAACTGGAGTGTCTCGATGTGATGACCAAAGTCATGGATGAGTCCGTCCTTGAGATATGGCACGAGCTCTTGCGCGTGAAAGCTGTTCGCTTGGAAGCTCCGTCCAAAGCTAAAGATGAGGCTTGAAGCAACCTTTTTGATGCGCACACGACCAGAGATTTGGCAGCCGTCGTTGGCCTGGACTTTGATCTTCTCTGTCCATCCTTCGCGTACACACTGCTCGATATGCTCCGGTGCGGAGAATGCCCAGCCACGGTCAAGATATGACTTTCGAACGTCTTCGCACGTGTTGCAGCATCCGCCTTCTGGCTCCAATCCACCATAACAAGATCCACAATAGCCGGGCTTTCCAATATCTTTGACGCGCGAGATTTCGTTCCTCAAATCTACACGGACATTCAGCGGTGAAGTATTACAATGGTTTGATTCGACACATACCGCTAATGTGGTCCTGGTTGGGATACGGCTTGCCCTCGCTATCGAGGCGAACCTTGACAATGTTGTGCGAGACCTCTCGCATATGTTCACCACTGACATCCGTAGCGTCCAAGCTCAGCACTATGTTCAAAACCATGGGATCAGCAAACAAGAGCGAACTGGACGAAAAGACGTATTGCGACGTACGGAAGCACGGGACTCTTGGGAACGTAATGTTCATGTTGACTGTGAGCCGTTCATCTCTAGCTTTCATAATCTCGATGTTTGTGTCCAAGTAGACCGTGCGGTAGTCGATAAATTCAATGAGCGTGAGGAGGCAGATGATTCCAATCGAGAGAAACGTCACTTGTCGACTGTCAGCGTGTTCCATGTAACAGATAGATGCAGTATACGCACGAAATGCGCCCGTGCGCGTTCGAATCTTGACGTCCTCGAGCGTCTACCAGTCGCCACGTCAGAAATTTAGACGGCAACGCTGCGCGAGGGAGCGCACCTTTCCAAACGCATCAATCGCCTTGAAGGAGCTTGCGGAGAATGGTCCTCTGCCCATTGTTGCTGCGTGCCGCTGCTGGGCTCGGTCGAGGAAAGTGGAGAGTCGAAGGAGTGGCCAACTTATGTCGGAGAATTTGCATGGCAACATTTTTCACCAGACAACAGGATAATTAGAGACATTATTAGACTATATATTTCTAGGTTATATCTTGCCTCTGAACCACGTCTTCTTTGCTACTCGTCGAGTGAGCACAAGACACACGACAGCTAACATAATGCACGATCCTGTAGGTTGTCAGAAGGACAGATAACTCATATTTGGACACTCACCAGCGTAGATACCAGTCCCCCTAAATCCCAGAGGTCGGGCGCGAATGGCACCGGCAATAGGAGAGCCAATGAGGATAGCAATACTCATAAAGCTTAACTGGAACCCTACTCTCTCGCCGACCGTTTCTATGGGACCTAGACTTGCTGCGGGCGACGGGAGTAAACCCACATATGCACCAAACGCCATTCTGTTGGGGGCTCAATTGTCTTTCTATGCCACCTTGAGCTATTTCTCACCCGTATACTATAGAGATCCCGACGAAGCCGCCATAATTGTGAGCATATGGCCAGGCTAACGCCAAGGTGAGCGAAACAAATCAAGTATCGGAGCGGCACGCACCATAGCTGACAATACCGGCGATGAATGTGAAAGGAATGAGCAAGTTTAATGGACCAAATATATCGCCCAAAACGCCAGCAGAGAGTCGTCCGACGATGGAAGCACCATTCATTATGGAAACAAAATAGAAAGCTGAGCTGCGATCAATACCTTTGACCACAGCAGATACAGCAAGGAATGTTAGGACTTGATGCAAATGGTCAGTCAGAATGGCAATGTAAATGGTAGGGCACGTACTCGCATACATTCCGAGGAATGCAAAGAATGAACCGGCGCTATAGAATAGCAGGCCTTGGTCCGCAATGACATCTGCATTGAACCATTTCTTGATTGGCCGAGGAGGAATTCGGGTCTTCGTTGCCTAACATGCCAAATTTGAGCAAGGCAGTTGACAGACGTAGGTAATGAATGCTTACCAAGAATCCAAGCAACAAGGCAAAGGCAACGATGAATGCCAGGACACGGACGGTCCACTTGAATCCGAGTGACGGGAGAAGAAAGCGGATGAGAATAGGAAACACAATCCCACCGAGGGATGTCCCGGATGCAGTGATTCCAAACGCAGTTGCACGTCTCTTGTGAACTGTATCTTATCAGTTGCTATCCTATATAGGGAAAGAACGTACACCACTGAGAGACGATTCCAAGGGTAGGCGGAAAGATGAAGCCACAAGCCAACTGGAAAAGTCAGCACGTTTCACTGTTTTCCGCACTGAGGATACTCACACCCATACCGAACCCTTGGCAGAGAAGGAACTGGTAGTACTCTTTACACTCGGCTGTCAGGAATGTGCAGAGGACGTAGAATGCGGATGCTAGACCGAGCGGGAGCTTGTGGTATCCCATGTCGAGGATGCGACCTGTGAAGACGCCGGGCATAAAGATGAGCGCAAATTGGAGCGATCCTATCCACGAACTATGACGTATTCAGCGTACATGAAACAGAGCGACGAGTATACATACATCGTCGAAGAGCTGTAGTCGTGCAAAAGTGTCTGCTCGTAGTACGACTGGAACGCCCCCCAGGACACTGTCATTCCAAACCTAGATAGCAATTAGTAACTCTTCACGCTGATTCGGGGCGATTACGTGGCAAAGTTGAGTGCAGCGACCTAGGGTATATGAGCAAGGCTTCATTCGAATGATCGAGGAGCGTACCCCCAGTACAACAAGCCATGCCCTAGTCCCACCATCAGGAAATGTTGGAAGCACCTTCTTCACCTCTGTATTTGTTTCTTGTACTGAAACTGTGGCAGCGCCAGAGCTCCCAGAGTTCTTCTCTTCGTCAGGCTTTGACATGGTGACAAAGATGGAATAAATTACGCAATAAAATCGATACAAGAGATGTTTTATATCCCCTCAGACATGTTTTGACTGTCTCGGTGAGTCGGGGACAAGCAAAGTAACGCTCCGAAATATACGGAGCAAAATTGCCGGGCACTAAGTGACTCTTCGGAGGTTTCGAAGCAAAGGTGATTCGGTTTGAATCAGTTTTGCGCCATCTGGGGTGCGTACAACCCCATTTCTTGCGGAAACCAGCAAACGACTGACAACCCCGTCAGAGGCAGCGCACGTGTTATTTATAAGCAATTCAAATGCTCTGTAATCCAAAGACGTAGCATACACGTCGATAGTGGACGTGGTCAGGTGCAAAGATACAGAAATTCACTACCTTGGAAACTCGAAAATGTCCTTGAGGCCGGGAATGACACAACTCTTATCTAAGAATACCAAAAATGCGGACGAAGGTAAATGCCCAACGCTATGGTCCATCTGCCTCGCTGCGACGACGGGCAACAGACCTCTGAATACGGTGTAGCCCGCGAGCGTATCGCCAACTAGGAATCCTTCTTTACTAGCGAGATTGGGCATACGTTTTCGATTATCCCAATACCATCGCGTCAAGATGTGGTACCGCGCACGGCTCCACTTGCCCACATCCTTCCCGGAGACATAGGTCTGCATTGCCGAGAGGATACCTTCCACGACCTGTCCGACTGTCACACCAGACGAGTTGTGCAATACGATCAAAGGTGGAGAATGGAGTCTGGTAAACAGTTCCATCTTGAGCAGCGGCGGCGAGGTTGCTGGATGGGTGAAGCAAGCAACGAGATCTGGTGGAAGGAACGAGTGCGGTTCGAGCACATCAAAGCATGAAAGTGTGGTGTACGTGATGATAGGGTGCAGCGCCACGCCGTTGGGACAGTGATAAAGAGCATTTGTTGGATTGGTAGGTGCGTGCATCAATGCGTTATGAACCCAATCATCCAAAGTAGGCTCTGGTGGTGGTGGCTTTCTAAACTACCTCATGGTGTCAATATTCGTTTGCTCTAAGGGTGAAACGGAAAGAAACCTACGCGGTCGAAAAAGGACTTTGGCTTAGGTGCCTGTTGAAGGATGGGCGGTGGAGCTGGGAGCATGGTGCTAGCATATGGGTCGTAGATACTCCTCGAAAGCTCGGAGCTTCCACGTCTGCTTCCACTATCGCTGCTTCTCTCCAAAGCTCGATCACGCTCGTCGTGATGAGAACGACGTGACCTTGATTCTTCATCACGATGTGACCGCCTTTCCATTCTTTCCTTGCAATCGCATGCCACGTATGCTCGGGGTCTGCATTTGCAGTTGGTGAAACAATGTCCACAGCACTCCTCGACGGCGGATATACGGCTCGATGTATCAGAGTTGTGAGTCACTGGATATGAATACTTGAGTGCACCTGAGATAGAGGTCGCATGGCTGACAAAAGGCAGGGCGGAATGCCGTTTCTTGGTAGTCTTTGTCGATACAGGGATACACCTTGGTGGCTCTTCATCACTGTCCACATCTTCGTCCTCGTCCTTGTTTTCATCCTCTTTGGGAGCACCTGTAACGACTCCAGCAGTTGGAGTGAAGGTAGAATTGACAACACCAGGCATAAGCGCCGGCGTAGATGGCAATAAGATGGCATCAGAATGGGATGAATGTGGCTGTATGCTCATCGGAGCCATCATCGGGAGGGTGGTCGTTCCAGCGATTGGAGTCGCCGTGGGTGTGCGATAGCAAGAGGCTGAAGTCATGCCTGCTGGAATGACAGGTGGTTGTGGTTGAGCTGCAATGGATGCAGTGTCGGGGGCGTGGATGTATGGCGTCGCGGTCGAGAGAGGGCGCGCGTTCCAGTACCCTCCAGGGGTTTGTATCATGTCTGAGATGCAAGCCTATCAGCACCCAATCCAGCTGTCATGGCGAAACACGCACGTTGCATAACGTCTATGAACCAGTAAGAATAAAAATCAAACAGTAGTGTAACAGGAGGGAAGGGGAAGAAAATGGGCGGATGGGCTCAGATGAATAAGTATGTATACGTACCAAAACAGAGGCAGTCCACAGGGAACAAAAGGCGACCCGAATGGGTTATCGCCCGTCAACTGGAGCCCTATATAGTGACAGATGGGCGTTGAGCGCGAGGATGGGCTCAGCCTCTAAAACGAGGCAGAATAAAGTTAAATAGAGCATTGAAGCCATTTGAATCGCGTCACTGTCCATTCCTGCGCAGAAATGCTTGGTAGGGTTTGTGGAGTCAACAGCGGCGCGGTGCGGGTCAAATACGCAAAGTGTTCGCTTTGATGGTATAGCGCTTATCGTATAAAGCTGGTTGGTTATCGCTGCTTGTTGGACTGTTCGCCTCTGCATCCATTAATACATGGACGCTGAACCTGCGTCTATGAGGCGGTACAAATCCCAGATTATTGAAGTTGAGCGTTGTCACATCAAAATTCCTGAATTATCTGCGCAGTCGCTTCTCGTCCAGGTCAACGCGGAACAAGGGTCGAGCTCAAGTTGGACCTGGCCTAATCCCTTGCAACCTGGAAACGTGCTTCCATGAGATCATGGACTGAATTAACTAGTTGGTGAATGAATACACGAAGCCGTCTGCATATCGGGGCCCCCGTCGCCATGCACGGTCGCTGTGAACGGAGAGCCAGTGGCTAGGACGACTGGACATTTCTCGGCCCGACATGCCCACAGATACTTCTGGGACTTGTTTTTTTGGATCGTAGATGACGAGTTGGCTAGCAGCTGGCTCTGGGAGGAGATTACGAACAAAGACGACGAACAAGATAATCTGTAGATGTGGATCAGCCGTCAATCATTCCACGTGCGGTCGGAGATGGTTGCTCTTTCCCATCGGATACGTCGCCACGGACGACCGCCCTTGTTTCCTAGCCACCAACCGGTCCATAAAAGCCGACCACGAGTTGGGACGAATCCTTACAACACTTGCTCTCCATCTTTTTTTCCTCCCTTTTCTCCTGCGAGACAGCGTCTTGCCTTTTTGTCAGTCATTTGCCCTTCTCACCCTCCTTAATTACTGACACAAAATGAAAGCTTGCGAATACTCTTCGAGACTCACGTTCTTTGACACGCCCATCTTTTGCAACTATTCATCTTGACAACATGCTCTTCTCTTCATTTGCAACTCTCCTTATCGCCTCGACCGTCCTCGCGTCGCCGATCCCTGCATGGAAGCGCGAAGTGCCTCAGGAGCACTCGCACGACCCAATCCTCATCGCCCTCCGCCCGATTCTTGCACTTAATAATCCCGACAATATCCAAGACCCCGTCTTTGGCCTACTTGGAAATGCCGCAGCTCAGAACGGTGCGGGCAACATTGCTGATCCCGACTGCCTCCAACAAGGTATGTAGATGCACAGTTGACTATACTATGTGCTGACTTTCTTCTCCCTCATCAGCTACCGCCGACCAAGCCTTTACCAATGCAAAGGCCAAGGGTGATATCGCGGGCATGACCGTCGCACTTCAATACCGCGCACTCGAGCGCAACACTGGCTCTGTGGGTCTTGCATCCGTACAATGCACCTCTATCCAAGCCAAGAACCCAGAAATTGCCGCTATTCAGCAGCATCAGGATCCCGCTTCAGCCAACGCTGCCGCAATCAACAAGGCCATTGTCCTCGAACTCGCGAAACAGATTGCATCCATTGGCGGTGACCCACTCAAGGCGCTCGAGACTGGCACTTTCGCTCCTGGTCAGATTGGCGACCCGACGGGTCGTGGCAACACTTGTAATGACGAGGATCCAAATGGATGCATTAACACCAAGAACCTCCTTGTCCTCGACGCCACTGAGGAAGAGATCGAAGCGGTATGTCCCTTTTCATTGCTGGCTGGCGCTGCTTTGCTCATGCGCACCCTATAGGCCGTAGCTGGTGTCTCCGCCGGCGGATCGGGTGATGCAGCTGCTACCACGACACAGGATGAAGCTACTACGACAACACAAGACGCAGCAGCGACGGCAACAGACTGCCCAGACGCCACGGTCACTGTAACGGTCACAGCAGGAGCCGAGGATGCGGGACAGGCAACATCGACGGCTGCACCAGAAGCCACCTCGAGTGCCGCCCCAGCTGCCGATGCAGGCGCGGGTGGAAATCTCCAAAAGTTTACTGGCAACCTGGGTGGCATCACTGCCCCGGCTGTTGTTCCCGGTGGACGTGGCTTCCAAGTCGTCGGCAACAACTCTGATTTCCTCAATGTTGGTGCCGCCCTTGGTCGTTCGTGCGACGTTCAGCACAACCAGTGCGCCAATGCTGCCAACAGCAACAGGAACGCTGGGTTCACCGTGGGGGATTGTGATACGCAGAATAATGCGTGCCGAGCGTTGATCTAGTAGAGTGCGAGTGAGTGATAGATGGACAGTTTGCTTGCTTTCGACTCGACTTGTATTCGCATATCCCGTTCCGACTTACCCATTGTATCTCCTGATGGAAAGCATTTGTTCCCCTCAAACGTCTATAAGGAGTAAGGGTACCTGAACAAAAGATTCACGACTTCCAATACGATACAAACTCTCTAAAGCAATCAACTACCTCTGCCGCAACCTCCAACTTTTCGTCTTCATCATCTTCAGTCCCTTGCATCCGTGCATCCTCACTTAGCCATGCCACTTTCGACCGCGCGTCTGGTCCAAAGGCCGTCTCGACCCCTGTCAGATGTGCATCGATGCGCTGCTCGTAGCCTCCCTTCGTAGCCGATAAACCAAAGACGTAGAATTCAAGCTGCTTGGAAAGGTGAGCGCATAGTGATCTCCTATTCGGGTTCATAAGACTCGGCTCCAAATAACATGATTCCGAAAATGCACCTCGCGTCTGAGCTCGTCATACGACTTTGACGCAATCCAAGCTGTTCCCATACGTAGTCTGGACCATCTTCACCAACGCCATGCTTGAGGCCCGCCCAAATTGCTCTTCGTAATCTTTGTTTCCCCTCTTGACGTACCGAGATGGGAATTTTCTGAGAATAAGCCGCTTCGAGATCATCTTCTACGTCTTCTTGAGAGGCTAGGGGCCGTATTAATTATCAATATAGCCAGATATTGCGCACGCACCGGTAATGTATGCATCCGAGCTAAACGCTCCCTCTCGCGCCCTCTTTACGGCCGCTTCAAGGTCTTCCACTTGTTCATCCTCTGCTGGGTCTTCTTGCATCTTCTCCTTGCGTGGTGGCCCAGCCGGGTAGAGTACATCCCGTTTCTTGACTCCGGGCAGGTTGCTCCCACCAGAGGAGAATGCAGGAGTCTTTAAGCTATGTTTTGTCGGCGCCACACTGCTTCTTATGGTTGGCCCAATTGCAGCGCTCTTTTCTTCGATGACTTGCGGCTCGTCGTCACTCGAAGATGAAGAGGACGGAACCAGTGCACCACGAATGAACCTCCTTTTACCATTCAATGGAGCTTCTTCTTCTGAGCTGGGCTCGACTGAATGTTTCTCTGCATTTCTCATTTCTTCTACTGGTGATGTGGGTATGAATAGAGGAGATTCGCCCCCTCCCAGGTCCTCCTCCGGTACAGAGTTGTCTTCAACGACCGCAGCTGGCAAAGCCGGTACTTTGAAAGTAGGGGGCTTGAAAGCCCGCTTGACATGCATTGCACCAGGAACCTTGTTAGCGGCGCCGTTCATTCCACCTAGCCGGGGAAGACTTCCTTGCGGGTTGTTCGTGCCATATTGAATACCAGAAGCAGTACTACTCTTGTGCGAAGGAGGACGGGAGATGTCACTCGCTTTGCGGAATCCAGGCAAGTTCATGTTGGTAGCGATCCGCGGTGGAGGCTCAAAAGGTTGTTCGTTTTCCAGCTCTCCAGCTTCTTCCTCGAGTCTTGTTCGTTGGGTACTGACATACTCGTCACTTGATAATGCCTTTTTGCGTTCTCGTGTCTTCTCAGGGGACTTGCAGATCTGTTACGAGGTAAGAGACGAAGCGAGCAATGAGGGGAACCTTTACGTCGCAGAATTCATCACAATAGGCTTTGGCTACGGCCACGTCACTTGTATCTATTACTTCACCGAAGAAGCGACAAATGGACTGAAAAGTGAGCACATGCAGGTCGTATAGTCTACACTTACGACGTGTCTGCATGTAGTTGTAGATTCGGCAAACTTGATGAGCTGCGAACAGTCTCAGAAATAGACCGGGAAAATACACTCAAACTAACAGCTGCCAGGCTCTCCTGTGCATGTTTGGCGACATTCTTGCCAAAGGATGGTGCCTTATCTTCACCATTACGGTTCGATGACTTTGCGACAAGGTTCGACACCTTGAATGCATCTTCACGAGCTGACTTCTATTAGCAACACCTTTACGGAGTGGCTTGCTCACAGTAGAACAAGATGCACTTGGAAGCCTTTCCGTTGTTCAGCATGAAACAAAGGCTATGCAGGGTCACTCACCTCTCCATCGCGACCAGCTCTACCTGTTTCCTGGTAGTATCCTATCCAGATTTAGATACGCCGATTGTCACGCAGAATCATTACCTTCAAAGGACTTTGGTAAGTCGGCATGAATTACGTATCTACTCTTGTTTGAGTAGAAATCTGGCTTGGAAGAAGACCGCCAACCGAACGTCACTCTTATCAATCCTGCTGTATATCAGAACATGAGGCGCGGCGAGGATTGGGACTCACCCCATCCCAAAAGCGACGGTTGCGCATACAACGTCCACGCCGCTACCCTCTGACTCCCATTCGTGAAGAGTCTTTTCAAGAACCTTTGGCCTATAGGCCTGTGAGCCTTGGACACAGAGATGACAATACACTCACGAGAGCCCTCGATGGTAAGGCTTCGCCCCAATGCCTTGACCTCGCAAGAAGTGTGAAATCTCATCGCAGCCTGCCTTAGTACGGCAGTACACGATGCCAGTACTTGGGCATCCACGACGTTTATGAAGTTTGTTGATGTACTCGGCTACGGCTTGTGCAATATTAGTGGAAGGTGCTATGTACTGAATCTGGCTCAAATTAGCACACAAATGAAATAGGATGGAGCAAATACCTCGTAGAACAGATTCGGACGGTTGAAAGGGTGCACGACTTTGAAGAAGTGGTCCCTGGACATCTTCAGGCTGGAGACGATGTCTTCTTGTACGCTACTGAAGTTAGTACTATACCATAAACTTGTTTTGCACATACATTGGAGTCGCACTCGCAGTGAGGGCCATGATTGGCACGGTAGGAAACCTGTCCCGAAAGGTGCCCAACTTTCTATAATCTTGGCGAAAGTCTGTCCCCCATTCGGAAATGCAGTGTGCCTAGTAGTGTGTGTTATGATATGTGCGCACGCGTTGAACAAACTTGCCTCGTCTATAACGAGTCGATTGAGTTGTCCTTGATCATGAAGCTTTGCAATGAGTCGATGCGTCTCGGATGAACACAGTTTCTCTGGTGTAACTAAAAGGCAAAGTGAATAAGTTCCTTTGCAGATGTGACCGAACTGACTGTAGAGAAGGCGTGTTCGAGGGTGACCTGATGCTAAATCTCTGACTATCTGTAAGAGGTCACTTTGGTGAGCTCCAATTATGAACGATGACAAGTACCTCTTCGCGTTCCTCCGCTACTGTTTCCGAGGTGAATGCACGAACAGGTATTTTGAGTAAGTAGAGTTTAGCAACCTCTGGAGGATGTAAGAGGGGTAGAGAGGCTGGTAAACATAACTAACGATCTTTCATGAGAGCTGGAGACGAGTTAGTAAGCAATGGAGACATTCGTTCACTAACAGAGTAGAGGCGAGACTACGAGGGTAACTCCATACTATAAGCTATTAGCTGGCGTTCAACTAAATCAAATCGGACAGACTGACCTTTTCGGCGACAGCAGGCACTTGAAAGCACATGCTCTAAGCCAAGATGAGCAGGACGAGACCTTGCTAGAGAATGCGTACCTTGCCCATCCCAGTGGGCGCTACAACCAGTATATCTGCTCCCTGAACCGCAGCTTCCATAACCTCTTTTTGTTTTCCCTTGAAACTATCCTTGCCGAAGACTAGCGAAGGGTGAGGGCTGCAATATTGGAATCCTTAATAGCTACCTTTACGCAGTACACTATTGTCTTCAGCAATGCATTTGGACTAGGAAGAAAATGTCTCACTGTGCGCAATCTATATCACTGCTCTTGATGCGCCTCATCTTCTTGGGCTGGATCATGTTCTGGGTAACTTGTAGATTTGGGTATTGCATATCTCTCGATGCTTCTGATACTCTCGGTGGCGTACTACTCTTGTCCGTGATCGGTGCATCGTCCATCTCTCGCTCGTAGACGTCTCTCGTCGTAGCGTCACGTTCTGCACGAAACTCGGTAGGATAGGGGTTATATAGCATTTCAGGGTCGTCCATGTCAAAGGTAGTGTCAAAATTCTCGTCACTCATGATGTTGATAACGGCCTTTCGCCACGGCAACCTTATGGCTTATAACGACGCAAAAGAGGAGTAGATTAGCGCGTTTGACGCGTAAAATGAGCGTGCAGGACGGCGAGACGTCCGGCTTGGAATCGTGGCTGCAGTCCAAGTTTTGGAGCCAACAACCATGTTCGAGCGCCAAAGCACGTTGGCCTATGGCTTCCTGCTGGCTTCAGTTGCCAGCTATACACATGCATTTTCACCAAGAACAGCTCAATCTATCAACTTTCAACGGCTATTGGCAAGGCAGTATGTCTGGAAACATTGTTTCGAGGACCTGGCTCATCATCACAAGCTCATTCTCGCAGTCTCAGCATCCAAGTGATCAAATTATCCTTGGAAATCAGCCGCAATACCCAGAATTCCCGCCCCAGATGTTCATTCAACCGCTCGACCATGACGATCCATCGTCGCCGACCTTTGAACAGAGATATTGGGTAAATACTCGTCATTACAAGAAAGGTGGACCTGTTATTGTCATAGACGGAGGAGAAACAAGTGGCGAGGACAGACTGCCCGTGGGTTTCGACAGCCCTGTTCACCATGTGCTCAACGGCGGCTGGTTAGTTCTTGGACACAGGAATCGCAGACATTCTTGCAAAGGCCACACATGGTCTTGGAGTGATTCTAGAACACCGCTATTATGGTAATACATCCCTCGACTCGCTCCAATGCCTGACCTCGGCTCGTAGGAGAGTCGGTTCCGGTCAAGAATCTGACCACAGATTCGCTGCGGTGGCTTAACAACTATCAAGCACTTTCCGATTCGGCACGTTTCATGAAGCATGTCAACTTCTCCTCAAACCTCTTTCCGAGCTCGGTCTCCAGCGAGACCATCTCCAATCTGAAAGCACCCAACTCGCCATGGATATACTACGGTGGTTCGTACGCGGGTGCTCGAGCCGCGCACATGCGCGTGCTGTACCCCGAAATTGTCTTCGGCGCCATTGCATCCAGCGCGGTGACCCATGCTACAATCAATAACTGGGAATACATGGATATCATTCGTACAGCCGCTCCCCCAGCCTGTTCAGCACTCATACAAGCGTCTATGTCACATGTCGACGCCATGATTGTCAATGCTACTTTGAGGGAACCTGTCAAAGCCCTCTTCGGACTCCAAGGGTTAAAGCACGATACAGACTTTGTCTCTGTGCTTTCATGGCCACTTGGCTTTTTCCAGGGCAAGAACTGGGATCCAAACGTCGACGAGCGCGGTTTTGATGAATTTTGCTCCAAATTGACCAGTAAAGGAGACGATTCAGCACTTGCTAAACTGGAGTCGGAATGGACTACTTCTCTTCCCGGAATCCCTATTGAAGTGGCAGTTCTGCGGTACGCAAAGTATATTCGCAATCTAGTCGAGGCACTATGTCCGGCGACAGAAGATCAAGAAGATGTAGGTAAAATGATGCATTGCGACTGCTCTGACAGCTTCTATAGTGCTTTGGAACCCACAATGACGAGAAGTTCCACGGGACGTCACTCCAGGAGACTTGGAGACTATGGACATTCCAAGTTTGCACCGAGTGGGGCTACTTTATCGTACGTCGATCCTAACTTACGACGCCGCATCTCTGATGAAGACTCTAGACGGCACCTCCTGACCCGGAATGGCCGAGCATGATATCTCGACTGACAGATCTTCACTACGAGTCAAAAATCTGTCGTCAGGTGAGTTCAATAGTAGTCCAGTTCCGAACTGATAAAACATAGGCTTTCCCACCCGGAGAATTCATGCATGTTCCAAAGTGGCCTAACGTCACCGTGGTCAACGCGCTCGGTGACTTTGGGTTGACCCATTCTCGACTTGCGTTTATAGATGGCGAAATTGATCCTTGGAGACCATGCACTCCACATAGTCAATACGCTCCTGAACGTACAGACACCGTGTCGCGGCCGTTCAAGTTGATCCCCGGTGCGTTCCTACTCTCACGTGAGGATGAACCTGACACGGTTACAGATGGTGTTCATCATCACGATCAGAATGGCCTCAAGAAACACAAGGAGGAGCCGAAGCACATTCAGAAGATCCACCACGAGGAAGTCAAGTTTGTGAAGGCGTGGCTTAAGGAGTGGAAGCCTCCGAAATGAGAAGTTAACCGAGTATTTAACTTGTGAAGACCAGTCCAAGGGAATATTTAGCACGAGGATGAACAGATGTCTAGTACTTTTCGGAAATAACTGTCGATCGTCAGTAGAAGAACATTGAGCATTAATTTGCTCACTCAAGGTAACCAGCGATGTCCATCCAGTGAAAGGATGGCTTCTTGCGCCTTCTCCTGTCATTGCATTGTACTGCTCCCACACGTATCCGGTTCTCTCGTACTCCTAAACACCGAGACAGATGAGCCTTCAGATCGGCGGTGAGCTTCCCTACTAACCTTGAAAACATTGTGAATCACATTGTGCCGTAGCTCTTCGTAAATCTTGCGGGCTTGTTCTTGGTATGGTCCTGGTTCAGCCGCATAGACCTAGATCCAATTGATTGGTTTCTTGCCTCTTAAATCGCGCAGGGTATCGTACCTTGTACAATGAACTGAGAGCGAGATAGTTCATCTGAATCCAGATGGGTCCACGCCAATAGTTTTCGCCCTTGCCAAACAGTTCGTGTGCGGCGGAGAGACTTCGAAGTCCATAAGGTGACCACAGATGGTTTGGATCTCGGAGAAGGTCAAGCACAGGTCCCAGATGAGGTGAGGAAGATGGAAGGAGACCTAGGAGCAGTGGGAACAGCGACAGGTAACCCTTGTCGCAAACATGCACAGATTCGTCTGTTGGAGGTCAGCGACATGGATTAGCAGTCCCTTCTAAGACTTGCCTTCATCGCTAATGTTCAAGTCGCAGTACATTTGCTTCTCCTCGCTCCAATGCAGGTCTTTGAGATAGTCAGTATTGTCCTTTATCGAAGGAGACGACTAACCCTCGATATTGTTGAGAATGTTGGTCTCGATGTCTTGGAAGTACTTTTCATCCTTTTCTTCGCCGAGGAAAGAGGCGATGCTCTTCATAGTCCGCGTGAAGAATCCCATCCAGCTGATAAGATCCAGATGCAACTCTCCTGCATGCGGTTGTCCTCGCGGATAGTCGTCCATACCGCTAGTGAGGACATGATCCTTGGAGCGGCCCCTCCAGCGGTAGGCTTCTGTCCTCGAGCGCGCCTTTCTTCCATAAGCCTTGATCTGACCGCGCTGCGTACTACGGAACCAATCATAGTGACGACGAAGCGGAGGATAAATGGAACGAAGGTAAGAAATTGCAGCGTCGTTATCCTCAAGGTGTCGATTTGCTTGCTTGGAAAATCCATAAGAGTCATTTCCGAGCTTCGTGAAGACCTTCTGTGCATCGCCCATTCCAAGCTCTGCATCAGACGGCTGCTGACGGGCAAGTAGGCGCTCGATAAACGCAGTCACGGCCATTGTGAGTGTTGGGGGGTTTGCATTGGATGGGTACTGGGCCTGGAATTCCGCAGGAACTTTGCTCCGCGCTTCGTCTCCCAAGATCTGTTCTCTACCAACCCATCCATCCTCGTCAATGAGATTCACCCAGTCTTTGAGGATCTCAAGACTCAGGTCGTTGTCCCAGGCACCAATCAATAACAGGTGGAAGCCTTCGTCCCAGTAGAAGCCGCGAGGGAAGAATGAGCGACTGGGAGTTGCAGTAAGCAATTCCGTAGGCGGTTGAAGTTTTGGGTCTGGTTTGGCTGGTGTGCGATCATCTTCCTCTTCCTCGTCCATATCCCATTCAGCTTTGTAGGCTCTGTCGACGATGGAACTTCCGTAAAAGTACCCAATACCACCCATGAGATTGGACGTGATGGCCTTTGAGAAAGCTAGTTCACCCTTTGGTGCATCGTGTCGAGTTGGGAAGAGTGACTGGAACTTTGCATCGTAGTCTGTGACAAACTTTTCCACTCCTCGCGAGATCATGTCACCTGCAGAAGATTAATAGGGTTCACTGAATGTCAAATTCCGCACCTGTAATTGCTGTGCCTGCGCTCTTCGAATCGAAGACAACGTCGAGAATAAAAGGACCTTCGTATGTCTTCTGGATAGCATAAAAATTGCTGTCTTTGGCAATAACGTTGCCCATGGTTAGCGTAAACGATGGGTCTGGCATGATCTGCTCTCCCTTATAAGGCATGACGATCTGAATCTTGATGTGAGAAGATGTTAGGCAGAGCTACTATACCGACCTCTTGGGCCCGATACCCAATGTGCTGGTAAAGATACTCTTTCGCTTTCCAAACGTCGCCACTTGGCATTGCATGTCCAAAGTAGTGCGTTTTCCCTAGTCGGACTTTGAAGTCCTCCGAATGTCCTCCGTACATCGGAGATCTATTGTTTATATCTGTAAGAGGGCGTTAACGATGATAAAGTGGTTGCAAAGGGTCTAACCATCTTCAATACGAATCGTAAATTCTCCAAGGTCCGGAGATGAGCCAGAGAGATGAATAGGTCCAGTGATTCCCTTCGAGTGGGTGAGTTTGGGTGATCCAGGGAGCGTTATACGTACATCATCATTCTCGTCCGATTTCCAGTCGAGCGAACCTAAGCCTTCGAGGCCAAAGTAGTAGATGAGAGACACCCTAAGAGGTTTCGCTACCGCAGGTTTAGTAAATGTATCACGATAAGACTGGAAGCTACCTGGTACGATCGGAGTCCCATGTATTCTAGCAGCCCAGCTTCCGCCGTGGTCACCTCCTGGCACTTTGAGCCACTCTATCTTTATATTGACGTTGTTTTTTCCGTCTTTGATGACTTGGACGCCCCCTTGTCGCATGTCATGTTCCGTCCAGGTGTATTTATCCAGCTCATCCCCTTGGGTACAATCGTGACGGATTTCTGTTCAGAATAAGTATTGATCGCATTTACAGTAGATTGCATTTGATCCGGGCAACAATTTGATAAGTCACTACCCGTCAACAGAAGCGAATTTGGACTGACTCTGAAAACCGTGATAGTCTTGTGTTCCAAACCACATAAGTCCGCTCATAAGACTCTGAGGAAGGCGCGGTCGTAGGCCAAAGTAAAGATTTGGCCGGTATGTCCCCCATAGAAGGGACTTGTCGTCTGTAATAGATCCTTGAGCACTTGTCTTTGAGGCCAGAGATCCTGGAACGAGGCCAATGGCGACTGTTAGGCCCAGTAGAGAGCCTAGTCGAAAATGCATCGTGGCAGGCGGAGCTGGGAAGGATTGAATGGACGCAACTTTGGTCCCAGACGCTGTAGAGCTGGGTGCAGAACACACGCGTATAACACATAAACGGTATTATAGAATTCTCCTACATCTCCTATGTGCCAAATGGATTAAAAATTGGAGGTTTAGGCAGATTCCTTGCGACGGCGGAGAAAGTCAGACTTCGGCGGAGGTGAATTCACTAAAAGATGAACTAGCACACCTCCTTCAAGTGACTCTCAACACTGAGCAACGCATGGCTGCGATTCGGAGCCAAGTGGTCGACAAACGGCAGAGACTATTGAGTGGAGGAGCAGTATTCGGGTCTTAGGAGCAAGAAATAGTATCATTAAAGTGCTCATTCATGCACCTGGGCGCTCAGACGGACCTTCATGCTAGGGAGATAGATTTGTGGAGCTCGTCATAACAGTAAGTGTGTCTTACGATTGAGATTTAGATCGTGACCAAGGTCTGTGCTATACATAATCAAGGCGTATGGGCCGTCACGCCAATTGTTGCTCATTCACAGTTGCGACGTTGGATTATTTCTCATATACTTGATTCTCGTAAATCATGAACAATAAACCAGTCATGAGGCGAAGTATACCTGCTGCGTCTGGTAAGCCGAGGGCACGTGTTGAGAAGGGACTGACCCCAACCACGACGCCTGGACTTTCCAGCGCGCAGTAAACTCTGACTCATTACCCTGAATTAAAATGTCGCAGATCTACACTCTTCCAACGAAAGAAGAAATGGCCAGTCTCCGGCAGGAAATTCGCCACATGGAGGTGGCTTTAGACGCGCTTCGTGAATCTATCATCAACGCTCAGAAACTCGCCGATGATATGCAAAAAGATATATATCGAAAACAGGCCAGAATTGCTCCTATTCGAAAGGGTTCCATGGAAGTCCTTTCTCTAGTCTTTATTGCATGCAGCCAAGGGCAGTGGAATGCACCTCAGGTAATTGGTGCTGTGTGTCGCTTGTGGAGAAACGTCCTCTTTTCCACCCCTCGTGCCTGGGCATACGTTCGCCTTGACGGTCTCGGTGTTACTCAAAGACAGCGTTGGATGAAAAGAAGTGGCGTAGTTGGCGTACATGCGCTGACCAATGGTTGGATCTCATCACCAGTCGTCGGCGCGGATCGCATCCGTTGTGACCTACTCACGACATTATCTGTCAGTTCCGATGAACAAAGTTGGTTAGGTTTACTGGACGGATACTTTCCTCAGCTCAAAACTCTCAAGCTTGCAAGTCAAGGGGCATACACTGGCCCTCAGCCTCTAGATCGCGCCTTGTACAGGAACCTCCTAGATCGCGACTTCTTTCCATCGTTGAAAGAGTTGCATCTCATTGAGCTTAGTCTCTCTGGCGCTTTTCTATTCAAAGGAAAGGAACTTCCTTCTCTCGAGGAACTCGTCTTTGCTAGGCCAAAAGGCAATGCATGGATACAAATAATGGAAGATGCAGCCCCCTCTCTAGCCTCGGTTGGACTTTGGCTTGGTCCACAAAACTCTCTCAAGGGGGACGACAAGCCACCTGTAATCTGCTTACCAAGGCTCACGCATCTAACATTTATCATAGAAGGATCCCCTTTTATAGGCACCTCAGATTTCCGGTTTCCAGTGGATATATCTACACCACGTCTACGCTCTTATCATGAATGGACTTCAATGCTGGTCACGTCACCTGTACACCAAGACGTTGCTTCCGTCAGCGAAGCCTTTATCGATTCAAATTCGTCCCAAATCGATCTGTCCCAGTTTGGGTCACTCGAGAGGCTCACTATTAGCCTATATTGTGAGCACAGTTGCAGCGATGCTTTACGCCGATTAGACCATTGGGAAGTCCGTCACCTCCAATATATATCCGTTGTCGATGAACTTGGCATAGCTTCCATGGATACCCTAAGGAAAACTCAGGAGCACCATAAGCTGGCCGGGCGATGCTGGGAACTTCTGCAAGTCAAATCTTTCATTATAAAATACCGCGAGGCAAGTACCTAAATGCACTTTTATACTTTACTGATCAGCATTAGCACGAAGAATGGGTCCAAGGCGAGGTCGGGCACTCCTTTCTCCAGAAATCAGCGCGCGACCTCTAGGAAGAGGTACGGTGAACGAAGGGATATTAAACATCGTATGCTACTCGAACATGAACCTTTTGAAGATGTCACTTGTGTGAGAATGAGACGGAGAGATATCTCCAGCTTGAGTGGTTCATGCATCGCGTGTTCAATTGTACGATGACAGCAGGTGGAAGGAGGCGTTCGACAGGATGTTGGCGGCGTTCCGGTCGATCGTTCTTTGGCCTCAACGATATCTGGAGTCAAATTTGAGAGCATTTTGTCTTATATTCAAGATGGGGAATCATGAGTCTTGTCGACTCCAAGATCGTGGCGTGCCTGTACTAGCTCTGGGCAAGCATCTTCTCCTTGACATTGGTGATCCCAAGAATGAGAAAAGTCGACGATTGCCAAGGATCAGCTTGTACGACCACATTCCGGGGCTCAAAATCTCCATGAGTGACGCCTGCCCGATGAATACTGCACAGTGACCAGTAAAGATGTTTCCTAAACATGCCTTAGCGGCGGTCATATTATACGCCAAGAAATGTACCTTTGATCAGAGTCGAGCCCATCGAAATCAAGTAGCTCTTCTCCTTTATCGTCCAATACGAGTGCTATATCATTGCCAGAGCGAAATAATCCGTGGCAACGTGAGACAGCTTGGATTCCAGCGGAGGCGAGTACGTCGTACCACTTCAACTCATCGAGAAGCATCTGTTTTGATGCCTGGGTTCCATTTGCGAGCTTGAGAACATATCGTGTAGCAGTGCGATACACGTGTCCACTTCCACCTTGTCGAGGTTTGCCAGTGAGCAGAATTTCGAAAGAAACCGTTGGCTCGGGAAGCGTCGAGGATAAATCGGATGCGCGGGGCATACAGATTGCAAACGAGTCCTCAGTGTACACCAAGAGACCGTCAGACTATCGGAAGGTGAATATATGAGATCAAAAACATGAAAGTAGCATGCACATTTTCGGTCGAAGGGGAGGTTAGGCCGCATCGTCGGGTTTTGGAGGGGCCATGGCATGGCAAATGGCCATTCACAGATATTTTCAACGTGTCCTGGAGCAAGCGCGCACCATTAAATTGTACTGATGCCACCATATATAGTAGTGCACTCCAGATGGGTAAACTGCTGTCGAATACTGGAATTGTCTGGGAATAGCGAAGAACTGACCGTAAATGTTTATTACTGTCGGTGCAGTATGAAATGTGAACGATCATGTAAATCTTTCCAGAGAGAATAACGGCCCACGAAGGCTTCCCATCAACATCCATGGCGTGCCACGCTAGCTAGCTAGTTTTTAGTACTATAAGTAGTGAGTGTCAAGCGCACCTTAGCAAGAATAGCATGCTCATCCTTCCATCGCATTTGAGATTTGAGGAAAGTGATAGACCGAGCAGAGACCATTCTACACATATCCTTTTCCCCGGCTTCCCATAGGATGATGGGTTCGCGGTTGCTGTACCAAAAGACACATCTGTGCAAAAATTACGGTCATATGTTCTTTGCCTAGTTGAAAAAGTAATCGGGTTGAGCCCCCAAACAGAACTTGATTGAGGGCTCCAACTGCTCGACGGATGTACCCTATCATGTCACTAAGATCGCTCTCTTTTATAAAACAAGCGTCTTGCTGTAAAACTGAATGCACAAATTCTGCAGCTTGTCGAGAAATCTTCGAATGTTGCAGGCCGGATTCGCGAACGATTTGTTCGAGTTCCACTCTAATAATGGTAGGTAAATCGGTAAAGATCTCACTGCTTGCGGGTAGTGCATCTGGTTCAAGTAACCTCGGTTGAAATTGCGCCGTACTGTTGTTTTGATCGGGTCCAACCCCAACGACCGGTGGTCGCACGATAGAGAGAACATTGGAGAGATTTGGAAAGAGATAATCTTGGAGGGTAGGTGTCAAGACTTGAGAGATGTTAGCCAGTGAGCCCGCCGTAAAGTTTTTGCTAACTTTCAGTTCCTAGCCAGGCATAAACCTTGCGCTCGTGCACGACTCGAAGCAAAGGAACGAGACGAAAATGAGAAACCGTTTGATCAAAGCCTTCTTCAGTCTCCATATCCTGGGGCCAGTATGTAGGAAGGGGACGTCGTCGAAGTATATATAGAAATCGCGCAGCTGTCTGTTCATCAACCACATCGAGTCCCCATAATGTATCCATATAAAATTTTGCAAGAGTCGCCTCCGTGCTACAGTCTTCGGCGGGCACGGCATCGGGTGTGGGGAACGGCATCAGGTCCAAGTTAGAAACGCTTATTTGCCACACAGTTCACCACGTCCAATTTCGATGGAAATACAAATGTTTGATTCCTTGTATCATCCGTTATTCGAATGAGTGGAATTCAGGCGGCGGCCACGGAGGTCGACGTACTTTGGCCTCCACCATATCCGCGGTCAGAACATTTACACACAAGGGAGGTCTTCACTCATCCATGTACAATCACATGTCCCAAATTCACCACTTACAGACGCAAGATGGCTCCCTTCCAACGCCCAAAGAGATAGCTAGCACTAGCCAAGAAATTCGCAGTTTAGAGGACGCCTTAGACACGCTTCGTGCATCTATTCTCAGAGCTCAGAAACGCGCCGAGGAGTTGCAAAGCCAAATAGACAGAAAACGAGCCAAGATTACCCCCCATCCGAAGACTTCCACCGGAGCTACTTTCTCTCGTCTTTATAGTGTGCAGTCAAGGGCAGTGGAATGCACCTCTGGTAATTGGAAGCGTGTGTCGTCTATGGCGGAACGTCCTCCTTTCCACTCCTCGCTCTTGGGCCTATCTTTTCCTGAACGGTCTCGCTCCTACTCAGACGAGGCTCTGGATCACAAGGTGCTGCGACGTCGGTGTGCATGTACTGTGCTTTTCTTGGTCATTTACGATCGTGAATGGCTTCAGTGTCCTCGGTGACATCCTCGAGACGCTCTCCATCAGCTGCCAGGAAACAGATTGGTCAAGATTTATAGTCAGACCCTTCCTCGTCTCAAGGTTCTCAAGCTCACAAGTCGTGGAAACCCTGATAATCTACAAGACCGTCCGCCCAACAAATTCCTCGATATTATCTTTCCATCTCTCAAGGATTTGCCACCTTTTGTGGCCAAGTGCGATTGGCGTAGATTTATTCGCGAGAGAAGGTTTCCCTCCGATCAAAGGACTCGTCTTGGCCAATCCGCAGGATCGTGCATGGATTCAACTACTGGAATATGCAGCACCGCATCTTATTTCACTTGGTCTCTGGCTCGAAACGCGAGACTCTCTTAAACAGGACGAGAGTCCGCTACCTGTCCACCTGCCAGAACTAACACACCTCACACATGTCCTCGAACTATCATGCTCGTGGGATTCCCTCAAATTTACACTCGCCTTGTCAACACCACGACCACGCTTTTACTATGAAGATTCGGCTTGGACCGCCGATAGGAACATGTCACCTATACACCAAGACGTCTCTTCCGTCAGAGAGCGTTTACTGAGATGGATTCGCTTAATGCCGACCTTTCTTATTTCCAGTCACTCGAAGAGCTTACCATTCATAAAGATAGCGTACAGTGCTAGAGCGACGCCCTGTCATATTCCGACGTTCAGAAATGTCCTCATCTTCGATGTGTCCGGGTCCGTCGACAGACTTGGAACGGCCCAGTTGGATCCCCTTCGACAGATACGAGAGCGTTACAGAATGGCTGGGTGGCGTTGGGATCTCGTAGCCGTCAAATCGTTCCCTGAAAACTACTACATAGTGAGCATCAAATATAACACTTGATTCTTGTCTGACGGACAAACAGTGGGAGGAGGTGGGTGCAAGGCGCAGTCTGACGCTCGTTTAACCAAAAATGGTGAATCTTTGTCACTAGGAAAAGCTACAGTGGAATAATATCATATATGAACGAATAATTATACAGTGGGTGGAAATGCTACATGAGTGATGAACGACGGTATAGATACAATTTAATAAAAACCAGCACTCTCATAGGCAAGATACTCCGACTGGAGCGAGTCGTGCCTCGAGGATGGTATTCTTGGATACAGCGGTGGCAATAGAGGGAGAGAGCACGATCGAAGGGCGGCGACGGCAGTGTCGATCAACGCGGCCGTATCCGCCTTTGAGCAATAATTAGATGTGAGCATCTTGTGTTCACCAAATTTTGTTGATTCCCAATCTGTGGGATCATATTCCTGTCGAGACTGTGTCCACATGGAGAAATTAGGGTTGAGGCGTATAAACGTCCGTCCAAATGCGCGAGATGGTAAATATTTGTTTAATGCCCGTCTTTCTTCGCTGGTTTGCTTGGTAGACGGGAGTGCTGGTCGATTGGGTGGTAATGGGTTAGTCGTGGATGGTGTTTGCTGGGTATTGGACAAAAGTCGGGAGACTTGCGAACATGCAGAGGATACATAAGATGGAATCCAAGATGACGATGTTGATTCCACTGGCGCTGTGCGCGTCGACTCGGGAATGTCGCCAGAGCCGAGAGAGAGCAAGAGAGTAATGCCATGCGAATTGGGACAGACAGAGCGAGCAAATGGAAGAGTGTAGTGTAATGTATCTACCTGGCCCGAGAGCTCGCGGAACATCTCAGCGGCAACTAGTGGGAGTAGCTTTCGCCTCAATGGCGATCCGGCGGGAATTTTGCGAAATGAGAGAGATTCGGATCCCATGGAAGAAGCTTGCTTGCTCGCTCGACGCGGCAACCAGACGTTGACGCAGCTTGGGGAATCGATGGTCCACTCTCCAGCAACACACATTGGCCCGCTTCTCTGTATCGCATCCTCTAGTATACTCTCTATACACTGTACAGAGAGTGCGTGTACGATGCGAGGTGCGGCGTGCATGTAGTGTTCCCTCGCTGCTTCCACGCTGAGCCCACAGGTAAGAAGAAAGGCGACAAACGCGCCCATACCACCTGCTCCAATCTCGTCAAAAAAGTCGGCTGGAGCGAGGTTTTGCGTGACAGAGTGTGGTGTCTTTTGGTCGATGAGGCCCATGTCCCATGCGAGTCGGTGGGTAACCTCGCCGAGTATGAAAAGTTGGCATATTGTTCTTGTTCCTCCGCCGTCTAAATCGAGTATGCTATGATTAGCGATGGGCTGAAGTAAAGGGGTCGTCGGCTCACCAAGGCAGAGTAACCGCGAGTCTTCTTGGTATGGAGGAGGTGAACTGGATGTCCTATAGTTATACGAAGACATTCCACGTCGTAGTGACTGGTGGAGAGAATGAGGGAAAGGAACTAGGCGGTACCGAATGGTCGCTCGGAGGGACTGCCAACTTTTATAGATCATCAGCCTCGCGAGCAGCTTCAGCGCCTCGTGACGGCCTGACTTGCTCATGCGAGCACTCGTGCGCCGCAAGACGGTCAAGACCTAGGAGGCTGCACGCTTGCCATAAGGTTTTGCTTGATCGGGTTTCGAACGCTGCCCGGGCCAAATCGAGACGCAGACGTCCGGTGGCGACTTCTATTCAAACACCAGCGCTTCCAAGGAAACGAATGAATCCAGAAACAGTCTTAAGGAGCCTACACGCGGGGCGAGAATGCTGAGGCGGCTCTTTGGTTTGCGCGGAGCCCAGGCTGTCAGCCGGAACTTGTCTCGACATTATAGAAGGGCATAAAATTCGTAGTAAAGACGTCGAGAGCACACTTTGGAGGAATTGGTGTCCATCAGCCGCGCGAGACGACCAACAGCACAGCTCGGCCGCGCCTGGGGTGACTTCGAGTCACTTGGGAGTACGGAATTTAGGAAAAAATCAAGTCAGCCTGTAAAATGCAAGAAACTGCCAATGTTCTAAGTTGCAAAGCTAAACTGCCAAGAGTCGTCGGAAGCGAATGACTATGCCACCCAAAGATTGGTACACGGCTAGTAGGTAAGCCGAGAGGCGAATAACTTGATGATGATAGTGGGCAAGATTAACATCATTCTGAGTGGTCATATAAACCATGTGAATACAGGCGGCTGTATGTGCATAGGTGGACATGATGGCAGGCTCGGCGACAGCATACTCGATAGTGTCTACTCCTGTGCTGGTGCCTCTGCGCCCTCCATGAGTGCCGCCCTCTTCTCCTGCTGACGTGCGAGCTTTCTCTCGCGGGCCGCCTGCCAGAGTTTGTCAGAATATCCCCCGCCTCGATGAGACCAGGAGCAGGACGAACCTTGTTCCTCTTACGCTGAGCGTCTCTCTGTTGCTCAATCAATGCCGTACGGTTCTTCTCCGCCTTTGCCTTGTGGATGTGCTCCATCAAAACACGCTTGTTCTTAAAGACGTTACCCTTTGACTTTTGGTAGAGCTCGTGATATCTAGCAGCATGTAAGTGGGTATATATAATGATAGCAAAGAGGGACGCACAGGTGCTTGTCAATCTTGCCAGCTTCTCTGTACTTGCGCAACAGTCGTCGCAGAACACGTTGTCGCCGCATCCAAAGGACCTTTGTGGGCATACGAGCCTCTGCAGTACCCTTTCGCTTTCCTGCGCCCGTGTGTCGTCCCTTGCGTTTGGCAGCGAGCAAGGCCCTGGTCCGAGCGCGCGAGTGGATAGTCGTGGGCTTGATGATGATCCTCCCGTCTTTGATCAGCTTGCGGACATTTGTTCTCGAGTTGGCGTTGCCGATTTCGTTTTGCTCGGATGGGTCGAGCCAGATCTTGCGCTTGCCTACGCCGGCGACGGACGCGGCGAGACGCTTTTGGGAGCGGAGATTGACCATCTGGAATTTTAGAGAATATCGCTGTCAGCGTCGAGCCCGCTTTAATGTCATTTCACTCGACCTTGTGTGGTGCTGGAGGATGATGGGTGACAAACAGCGAACAAACAAGGTGCACTACTCCACTCTGAAAAAAACTATAGAAAAATGATATTCTGTAGTAGATATAGCATATTTACAATGTTTGTATTACATTAGGATTCCTCTACTGGAGTGGGAGCGGCGCCGCACTTGCAATTTATTTGGAGACAAACAACTCTCGAACTCGCCCGCCACCCACCTCTGCCGCCAGTCAAGAGGCTCGTTTGGAATCGATTTTGTGCGTATTTGTCATCCAAGTATGCTGTTTTCGTGTATCAGCTTACAATCGCCACCCCTTTTTTTCCAGCACTTTCCAATCCTCACAGTCAGCGGCCCACCGTCGCAGCTGGGGCTTATAAACGCCCATTTATTGTTGTTGGAGATTCATTTTTCACGTAAAATCCAGCAGTTGGAGGCTACACGACGAGCGGGAGCAGCACCACCAGCCAACAGTCTCAACGTTGATCCCAAACGATGCCCGCGCCAAATGCTAAGGCCAGCAATCCCGTCAACACCACTGCCACTGCACCTGGAGGACAACCGGGAGCGGACGAGGACGCTGGAGGTGGCGAGTCTGAGCCCTCAAACGACTCGAATAAAGGCCCGCTAAACACAACGACAGCACCTACGAGTAATCATAGCAGGCTAAACTCGCCCAATACAGCCCAGAAGATGCGCGACGCACAGGTCAGGTCGCCCCGCTCGCCCAATCGTCCCCAGATCACGCTCGAAATCACACCCGCGACGCCAAAGTTGAGCGCAAGCAGCGCCGTTCCACCATCCTCGACGGGCCTTGTAAGCCCTAGGAGCGAACGACAGCGTCAACTGGGCGCTGGAGCCCAAACGCCTGCAAGCGCAACGCCTGGCGTCGCTCCCTCCTCGTCGGCGCACAACCACGAGGCCGTCCAGTCGTGGGTCCAGAGCCAGGGTACTGGTGCCAATGGCGACACGTCGACCAATGCCCATTCCAAGCATCCTCCAGCGCCGTCGAAGCGAGATAGCGTTCCGGCAACCCCCAGTGGCGCCATGCGTGTCCGTCGACCGTCGGAGAGCAGCCAGAAGAGCGCCAAAGACTTTCCTCGCCCCCCCTCGGCCTCTGGCTCCCAATCAGGCGGAGAGGGCAAGTTTTCATTCAAAGATCTCCTCTCCAGCGGTCCCAAGCTGTCCAGACGCAACAGTACCAGCTCCAAAAAGTCGGTCAGTTCCGGAAAGGGCGGTTCCGTCAAGGGTGGCTCCACTGCCGGTGAGAGTGCCCAGCTCGAAAGCAAGTATGGCATCTATGGTAAGATGGCAGTTGGCAAGGGCGCTACGAGTGTCGTAAGACTCGCCCATAAATGGGATCGAACTGAAGACAAGCTGTATGCAGTAAAGGTCAGTGGGTTCCACCGATTCAAAGTCACGCGCTCGTGGAGTCCAATCGCATAGTTTCTGACTTGCGTTCCATATATAGGAATTCCGACCGCGTCGCAGCAAAGAGTCTCAGCGCGACTATGTCAAGAAACTCACGTCGGAATTTTGCATTTCGTCCGCCTTGAGGCATCCAAACGTCGTCGAGACGATCGATCTCATGCAAGACCAGGAGGGGAAATGGTGCGAAGTCATGGAATATTGTGCCGGTGGAGATTTGTACAATGCGATTCGCAAGGGAGGCATGTCTGCTGCAGAGGTCGAGTGCTCGTTTAAGCAGATTCTCAACGGCGTCGGTTACCTCCACGGTCAGGGTGTCGCTCATCGCGATATCAAACCGGAGAATTTGTTTTTCGACGCCAGAGGTCAGGTCAAAGTCGGAGACTTTGGCGCGTCGACCGTCTTTCGATTGCCCTGGGAGCACACTATTCACAAGTCGAGCGGGCTCTGCGGCTCCGAGCCTTATATCGCTCCAGAGCAGTTTACACAGCCTAGTATGTCTCTTTCTCTCTTGTCACTTTTCTACATACTGACCGATGATGAACAGACTCGTATGACGCCCGGCTCGTCGATATCTGGGCATGTGGGATCGTCTACTATTGCCTCCATTTCCAAGAACTCCCTTGGGGAAGTGCTCAATCCTCAGACCGATCTTATGCGCATTACGCCCAGCAATGCGCGACGCCACAGCTCAGTATTGCCAACGTACCATTCCTCAAGACTGCAACGACTGGCGTAAGCACTCCAATCACGCCAGGGCCCGGAACGCCTCATAGACAAGATTCTTCGACCGCGACGGCGACATTGCATTCCGTTATGACGCCGCTCTCCCCTTCGGGACCGTCGACGCCGTCGGGGCACGCACCGCAGTCTCGCGCCGAACGGGAAAAAGAGGTGGCCAAGGAAAACGCGGCGGCGTACCCGTCAACTATTTACAACCTCAGCCCTCGCGCATGTCGGCCAGTGTTGAGGAGAATGTTGGAACCAAAGCCGGAATTGCGCGTTACGATTGAAGATGTCTTGCGACACCCGTGGATTCAATCCATCGAAGTTTGCACGGATCCCGGCGTCGTGCCAAAGCATATTCACCCCGCGGCGATTGCAGCCGCGGCCGCAGGTGGAATTGCCCAAGAGAAGTAAACCTCTGCCACTATTGCTTGTTCGCTTGGCGTACTGTGGGGTTTTCCAACCTGTCTCGGGCTCGGCTTACGACAATGACTATTACGATTTTCTCAATGCGCATGCTTGCCACGTAATGACTTTGCGCGGCCAGCATTTGATGATTCCCCTCCCTCCCCCCTTTGGCGTCTGGTCTTGTCCTGTCCATGGATGGACAGATTGGCGCCAAACCCACCTTGCCTGTGCCGCCAACTGGCTTGCTTTGCAGGGGTGTACCCTTGACCGTTTATACCGTGTAATTCCCTTGTCTTTTTTTGTGTTTTGTTTGTGTCTTGAATAAAAAGAAGTGAATCCCTTTCTGAGTGTAAGGGGCGCTGAGGAGCCTGCAGTGATCTGCAAATCTTGGAATGATCTGACTCATTCGGTTTGACACTTGATTTGGTTGACTCTGCCGGGATTTGAGATAACTTGTTGTGGATCCCACCGGAGATCTTGCCCAGAGTGGGGATGATCTTTTTGCCATGGAAATGCTGAATTTCCATTCACGGCTGCTTGGCCCTTCCGGCGTCATGGACCTGTCTTACTCACTCAAGCTCCGACGGAATCCTTTCGTTCAGGACACGTAAATCTCGTAAATCTCTCGTGGGTTCTGATAAAAGACGCCGAGAAGTTTACCTAGAATAGCCACTGCTCTCTTCAGTCACTCAGCGCCCGGTCGATAATTGGACAGCACCACGACTACTCGTTCCCAGCGAGAAATACAAGAAATAATCTATACGGCTACAAAGCCGTATGTATGGCCGGAAATCTCTCAAACGGGAGACTTTACTACCTGAATATTCACCTACTCCACCATTACAACTTGCAGTCTCTGATATTCCACGCGCCGCAAGCCCTGTCTCGTCTCCTTCTCAGAACTATAGTACATCCCTCTCCAATAGTGTCTCGAGGAATAATCGTATCCACTTTGGTCGAGGACTGGAGCGAGCAAACACACCAGGAAGGAGCTGGAGCCAGGACACTGACGCGAGCGATCATGGCTTACATTCGCCGCTATCCCCGACATCCCAACGTCTCGTCGCGGTAGCAGCTAGCGGTGCGATGCGGTCCAACTATAACGCCGTTGCAGGGCCTTCGCGACCCATTCAACACCAACAGCAGCCAGCCCCGCCATCGTATTCATCCAGCATCAAGCCTATGCTCTTATGGCTAGGTGAGTCATTGTTCATTTCCATCGATGGCAGACGGTAACTGATTTCGGGCTTAGATGGCGGTGGGACACGGATCATGACCGAACTCGTCTCTCTCGGCGACCTCATGCACAGGTTGGCTTGGGATCTCAAGTATACCAACGAGCGCCCCGATAAGCTACCGTGGGGACAATATTACATCCCGCCAAAGGACTGTTTTGACTGGGTCGCCAGCTGCGGATGCGGCGCGTAAGTTTCGGTTCTTTATTACTCTATCATATGTATCTGACGATGAATTCCTTCGCATATAGTATCGTGGTTTATGCGATTGCCGCTGGCATAGCCGTGCCGCTTGCCCGCGAAAAGCTCGTTGAGATGGCGCCGGCGCTTCAAGAGGCGGACATGGACACAATCGAGCGTATTCTTGACAGCATGACACCCCAACCTACAAAGATGGTCTCCAAGGATGGTGAACCCCTTCTTGATGTGTACTGCGAGGTCAATGTTTGGATGCCAGCTGCCGAGAGGGTGATGGAGAACTCGGGAATAACGTGAGTGGCTTCAAATACAGATATTAAAAGGTGTACTCAAGTTGAACAGGGTAAGAAGGGGAGACCCGCTTCTCAAGACCCTCAAGCCACTTGTCCTCCGTGAGATTCGCAAAGAGCTCGACGGAACTGCCGAACTATTGGATTGCAGCGTCCAGTTTCTCTACGACGTCTGCCCTGTATTCGAAGAGTGCTCCTTTTTCCTTTCTCTCGGATCTGGCATCGTCCCCACTGCACCACCATCACCCCAAGTTCAAAGCTGGTGGGACTGGTTCTGGAGCTTCAACTCGTTTGCCCAATCCCCTCCTCAATCTCCGACTCAAGGACGAAAACAAGGTCAACGAGCCGCGTCACCTCTCCCTCCGTGTCTACCCCAGAAACGGAACAACATCATCCCACCACGCGCATACGTACCACCAGAGACATTTGTCCGGCTGGATCCGGATCTGGCAGTGTATGACCCGGCTACGCAAAAGCTCGAGAGGCCAGATGACTGGGATACCAACTTTTCGCGCCTAGTGTCCATGACTTCAACATATCTATCCAAAGCAGATACGACGAAGCGGATAGAGCGCGTGAATACGATGCTCAAATGGAAGGAGATCCCACCGCCGCCATTAATGAAGAAGTAACATTTGTATTCACAGCATTTTGTGTTTTAGTTTGCGAGGGTTATTACGCGACCAACCCTATTTTGTTCATCCGAGCTTTCCTTTGTACAAGTTGTACGATATGGTCTTATAGAGGTACCCTATTGCCGCCTATTACATGCGTTGAACGAGAGATGGTATTCGGATGTATGAACAATGACAGGACTATCTTCGGCCCCAGAGCACCAGGGTCGATGGTAGCAAGCGCTTTTATGAGAGTGCCTTGAGGACGGCATTGTATGCGGCCTTTGGCTTGTAGCTGCTGTCGTAGAGCAGCGGCGACGAGCTCGCGCGCCACGAGTCCTTGTCGCTAACACCCCAGACCTAAAAAAAACCCCCAGAATTAGAATATTTCTGGAGCAAGGCCAAGAATAGATACGTACCGTGATACCGACACACTTGGAGACAGCCAAGCACGCCTTGACGGCCGTCACATAGTCGTTCGATCCGCCACCTGCGATATCAAGCTCGGTGATGGCAACCTCTGACACGCCGGTACCAGCAAGCGCAGAGAGCGCACCCTGTACACCGCCGGCGCCTCCAGACCCAAGGTGGCTTTGCGAGCCAATTCCGTCAATGGGGACACCCGCACTAATGAGAAATTTTCTGGTTAGGAGCGGAATTAAGAGTAGAAGGTTGACTTACGACTTCCACTTCTTGACGCGCGAGACCATTCCTTGCGTCTTGCTGTAGCCAGCACTATCAAGGTTATAGTCCTATACATTTCTTAGCCTCGAATAAAATGATGCTGAGCAATCTTACGTTGATGTACAACTTGGCGTTGCCATCGACGCTGCGGGCTTGCTTGAATGCAATCGAGACAAATTCTGCAAGATTTGTGAGCATAATTCCCAATGTCGGTAAGGAATCACCTTCTCCGAGAACCCTTTGGAAGACGGAAGAGCGCATAGATCCATCTTTACATTGTATTAGCCAAACAGTCGTATTTATCACCTGAAACCCGACCTTCGTTGAGGACTTCATTGACGACGTCCCTAGACCCAGTTAACTTGGTGCAAAATTGTAAAAACTCACGTACCATGCGTAGATCTTGCCCTTCCACTGACCACCTTCCTTGCTGATGTGGGTTTGGATGACTTGGGTCAAAGTGCTCGCACTGGAGATCGACGAGACCCAGCTAGGGAGCTACCCAACGCTTTAGCATGATTCCATACACAATCAAGTGGATAATACCTGGCTGTGCCACACTGTTCATCCAAGTCAGTAAGGCCCTCGTACTTTTATAGTACGCACCAAAGGTATGTCCACGGACCAATGCACCCATGCTTTGCGCAAAATTCACCAACGTGTTTCCACCGTTAAAGTTGAAGTTATTCCTGGATGGCTCGATCGCATCCCACTTCATGGAATTCTCGGGCGTCAGCTGGTTGAACTGAGCCTTGATGATTGCAGCATTTTGGCTGTTTGAAAGCGTTCCGGCGTCGGCGCAAGTTCCTATGCGTCCCAATAGTCAGTACAAAGGTAAAAGAGAGGGTGAAGGGCAACTGACCGAAGTACTTCTTGCCCTTTGCCTTGAACTGCCCTGCAAGACTGGCGCTCAGCACGCCTGGGAGGAGGGCGAGGAAAAGGAGAGTGAAAACGGCCTTCATGCTGTAAAGAGTGGGCGGGGGTGTTGTGTCGAACCTCGATCCAGAGTGTTCACTTTTAAAGGTCGAGACGTCAAAATGAAGTGACCAAGTGGCCATTATGCAATCCAAATTTTCACCGGCATAGTCGCCATAGCCACACTCAATGAATTCTGTAGCGGAGCGGTAGTCCCGTTGGCTCTGGGCAACAGAGGTCTTCGAGGATTTAACTCGGAGTCCCGATCCCAGGGTGTTGTCTGGGTGTTGACGTAGATGGCCGATTGACTCAGGGAGTTCTTCCATGGAGATCACAACTTCCCCGCACGAAGGGACGCTGGGTTCCTATTGCATATACCGCGGAGTGTCGAGCATCGCCTCTGAAAGTTCTGACAAGTTGCAAGTCTCGGACCGCTAATACATCCACTATTTGTAAAAAACGTCAGCGAGTCTCAGTAATGTACCGTCAATTCCGCTAGAGTCCCTCATAGGTTTTACTGTGGAGGAGGTTTGTAATCTTCAATAGCCGCCAAAGTAGTATCGAATTGACCGAAGAGGCTGGCATCTATTCTCGGACGCATGGGAGAAGATGCTCGCTGGCATATGATATTGAACCATATTGGCTACAGTATTATTAGGAAATGCGTCAAAAGCAGCGCAAACCTGACGAATTGGCTTCATCCTTGGAATTATCGCGGGGGCCCGGTTGGAATCGCTGGTGACGGCGGCAAGTCCGGGTAGTCCACATCCTCTCCCATTTCACTCGCTCTTCTCCGGTTCTCTCTGAGTGGTCGCGCAGGTTCTTGCGTCAAATGTATCGACTCTGGTGCTGGTGAGCTTCCGTCCCTAATCATAGCCTCTCCATCTTCATTCACATCGTTTTGCACCAGATTGGCGGCAGCAATTGCGTTTGCGAGTAATTCGCCCGTCTCGTGATCTCCAACACCGGCGCCGGCGAGCGTATTATCCCACGCGAATCGCCACTTTGCCGCAATCGTCTCCAGTTCGCTAGCCACTTCATCGTCTCCGAGATGCTTGAGGATCCCCTTGTCCACCACTCTCAGTTTCCGTGTGCGTGCAAGCCACTCCATTGCCCCATGATTGGCCGCACTCGCCACGCTACCGGCCCTGGATCCCGCCACGGAAGGTGCACGAGAGTTTGACCGTGAACGGCTGTCGCCAGGATCCTGCCCGTCAATATCGGGAGTGAGGTACATAAGTCCGTGAATCCCACTGCGCCTCTTTCCACTTCGGTCGCGAGGGAGTACCGGGAGTGCTCCGAGGTGTTTGGGATCTGACGGCAATAGAAGAGGAAGCATGTATCTCGAATCGAGGAGTTCTCCAAGCACAACAGGCGGTTTGGCAGGTTGCCAGTCTGACTTTTCAAAGGTGCGCGAGAATAGGTTGTCAATGGCTTTCTGTGCCACAAAGTCGGTCGATGAAGATGCCGAGAGCGAATGACCTTGAGGTGGAGAAGAGTCGTTTGCCGGATCCCCCCGTGACGAAATTGAAGACTCGCGTTCTCCCATCTGATTCTCTTTTCAGTCAAATGGTTCATGCTGTTCGTCGATACTTGCCTCTTTTTTTAGCGCTTCGACACCCATTTTGACTCGTTGTCTTTCCCAGTCCTTCTGCAATTGGGCCAGGTATTGCGTGCACTCATCAGTCATATGCGATTCTCCGACTTCGAACCGATAGTCTCGAACCACGCGCCGCATTTGAAGTGGATTTAGTTCTCGAAAAGTCTGAACCGTGGCAATGAGGGATGCGAATTGATCAATGGAAGAGCAGCACTGCAATGGTTTGAGTAAACCATTAGCGAGAAGAAGTTAGTGCTCACTTGGACCCATGTGACGAGCTCTCGCACAACTTTGAAGTGTTTGCCAACCTCGCGCGGTAATCCAACGCCAACGCCTCCGCTCACCCACTCCTCGAGGACACCAAGGTTGAGTGCGATGTGCAGAGCTCTGCCTCTACACAAGTACTTTTTCCGTTGTAGAATGCGGTTGAACATTTCGCATGACGACCAATACAGCACCTAGTGAACATTGAGTATGACGGCCTCCTCGGCTAGTCCGACACACCTGACTAAACGTCTGTATGATCAGCGCTGGGTTGATACCGGAGAGACTCATGAAAGTATAGAGAGCCGATAGCAAAGTGGTCACGTCGGAGGGCGATGGGCCAGGCGGTTTCTTCACAATCTTGGACAGGAGATTCGAAGCTGAATGTGAGGGCGTATGACCCGGTGTAGACTTTCCAGAGATAGACTGCGCAGTACTACTCGGCGTTTCCGCACCTGCGGTCCGAGCGAGAGTGTTCTTGATAGAGGCAAATGCACCAGAGTTGGAGACTGACAAAGAGCCTTGGTTCGGAGGAGAGCTCGGCCTAGATGGTGCTTTCAAGGTCGAAGGTGTGGATTTACTGTTCGGGATATTTGGAGGGCCCATCCCGTTCGTCCGCGAGCTACTTGGCTGTAGCGTTGAAGTACTCAACTTTCGAGTACTATTCGTCGAGGAGCGCACTCCACCCTGCGCCATAGATCCAGCTGAAGATGATGTGGATATACCACCGCTTGGTGGTCCCATTTGCTTGGAGTTTTCGCTGGCGCGGGCTTCTTCTTCGGGCTAATGACACGACCAAGCAGACCGGTCCAACTGTCCCATTCTCCTTCAAATTGAACTGCATCCCAGTCTTCTTGAAGCTCTGGAGGTACGTAGTCTAGCAACGCAGAGTCTATGAGGGGATCTAGTCGCCGTTCAATGATGCGGATGATCAAGACTGCAACCGGTCAGGAACTGTAGACATAGACGACGCAACTTACCAAAGACGACATTCACCAACTCTTCCATTAGTCCGAAAAGACCAAGGATCTCACAAATCTGTGCAGTCGACTCGTCACATCTGAGTAAATGCAACAGAAGAGTCGTGTTGAACAGCCAGTGAGTCAGTGAAGCCAGGTCATCGGGCTTTGCCTTGAAAGAGTTAGAAGGCGAACAGCTGGTGAGACCTGTGCATACCATAACGACCTCTTCGATCCTATCCATCCCTGCGACAATGAGATCCTCCAGCCAGTTGTGATCGCATGCTATACATGCAAACCGGCAGTGGAAATACAGAGCTTGAGCCGGCAACGGATCGCGCAGCTTCCCTACGGTCACTTAGTACTATAAAATCATGCCTATAAACACTTACGAGGAGTCGTGACGGTAGAGGGTAGTGGTATTAGCGCTTGGAAGAGCCGATCAAGTGCAGGTGGCGAGAAAACGAGCATGGTGCTATACGAATCCGGTGGGGTCTGTATTCACGGGATCAGTGACGCCTTGAGGAGAAGGATATGTATCCACCAAGAGAGTATCAGAGTCATACCCATCACTATCTTCATCGTCCAAGTCGCTAGGCTCGAAAAGCTCGTCCTCACTAGACGAGTCGGCATTATCTCCCCAGCTCCAATTCGAAGTACTGAGCTCTGCTTCTAAGACGGCCGTCACATCCTCCTTTATCCGCTTCTTTCTGTACTTCCTTCGTTCTCGTCGTTCATTTCGTAGGCGTTCCATTTCGCGCCGCTCGTCTCCCCTCCAACCAAGACTCTTGAGTCGTTCCCTCTCCTCGAACGTCATAGCATTCCTCGTCGCCTCGCGAAGAACTGTGATAGCATCTTCTCGACCTGGAATATCTTCGTATGCGGTGATCACGTCCAAAGGAGTGAGCTTCCGTCTGGAAAGCGCAAGAGGTGACGCTCCGTGAGAGAGTAAATGGGAGATGAGAGAGGCAGGTGCGAGTAATGCAGCATGATGCAGGGGCGTCCATCCAGCTATTTAAGAGTCAGCTCAATGAAGAAAGAACTCTTTTAGTGGCTAACCATGATCTGCACTTGAAAGGTCTGCGCCTTCCTTGACAAGCAGACGAACACATTCTTCACGTTCCAACTCGCGTTCTACATCGTTTCCTGCTTCGACTCCTCGAAATCCGAGTATGCATGAGCTGATCATCGAGTTTCCATCTTCGTCTTGGGTTTCAAGCTCCAGCCAGCGGTTGCATCGGTCATCGTAGAGGAGAAAGGTAAGCAGGACCATGTCTGCAAACATGCATGCGCGTCAGACTGTGGTTGACGAGCGTCCTTCGTTCATCAGGCGTAAGCGTGCTCGAAGCGGAGAGATGGTGGGATAAGAGGGGTGGTGTAGGATACAGTGGACGAAGATCAAGTTGTAGAAAATGGGGAGATGCTGCGATTTGTTGTTCCAGAGAAGTCCGAATGGACATGATTGGCTAGAAGGTGTTGAATAGTGCTTGCAAGTGAAAGTAACAAAAGGTGAAAAATAAGTGGGAGAGTCGAAATGCACGCTGGTGTCCAAACCGGGCCTCGGAATGGAGAGAGGCGTGCAGCACACGCTGGCCGTGATCGCTCCTTGGGTTTTCTGAAAGCGGTAGCTAAAGTATTCACTAGCCCAGGTTAACAATCATCCTCCTTGGAGAGCAAAGCAGACTTGCCTAGATGCCCAACGAGTCGTCGCGGGTTGATTTGGCTGGACTGCGCGGCGATCGTGTTCTATGTTTGAGGATAATGAGAGTTCCAGTCGTCAGAGAGAGCAGGATACAGCGCCGAATTCGCGTCAAACGCGTATTGTTGTGACCTCTGCCGTCGTGGCTCTGGCCAAGGCTTGACACTCCCCGCGTCTGTCGTTGAAAGGCCGGACGCGACAAAGACCAAACAACGTTCATGTAATGAGATGAAAGTAAGACTATATTAGTGTAGAACTCAAAATAGACAGTCTTATGTCGCACATCAAGTGGTTTAGTTGTCTCTACATCCACCAGCTATAAATATGATGCCCAAACGTGGATTCTCGTCGCCTGTTTTACCTCGTCAGTGACATTCTCCGGTGGTCGGTGCCTGGCCAGTCCTTCGACCCGACGACTTCCACCAGTTTCCCTCTTGCAAGCCGTTTGTCCAACGGCGGGACCGTTCTTTTCTTCTTCACCCCTTTTATCTTCAAGAATTAGTCAAATATTTCCTCAGCTCACGATTCCGTCGACATTTGGCCTCTAAACACCCCCGCCCGTCGATCCTAGAGCCATTCCGCCATACTTTTCTTCACAACGCCCTTGATACAAGCAGCCAATTTGTTCAAACATCTCAAGCATCTAGATTTTTGAGCAGTTATACATCCCAAAGGTGAGCAGCAGACCAGTCTTTGGCGTGCGAGGGCTATCATTACCCACGGATATGGCCGTGCTTAGTGCTGGCTGTGGAACAAGCACAGTTTGCTCATTTGATGTTTCAGGGTTCTATTTTTCGCATCATGCGTGGAAAGCAGCTCATTGCCTACCTTCCTGGTCCATCCACCCTCAAGCTGGTGGTGAGTATTCCTACCCCTGCCCAACACCCCCGACAAATAGAGCTGCATCATGCCGGAAACCTAGCGGGTGTCATTCTATCATGGGCAGTTGACGACCAAAGGCTCCGATGCTGAGTGGCTAGTAGGGCGACCTCCGTCGTCAAGTCGACTAAGGCCTGGCCCCGTTCCCATATTGAGTATTGCTTGTCAACCCATTATTGACCTATTTTTAAACAGTACTCGCGTATCACTTCTTCGAAGCTTACACTCGCATTCTTCTTGGTGTCGGTCCTTCACTTCATTTTTCAAATCTCCTTTCAAGGCTGGGCTTTTTCTATCAATGCATCCGCCAGCACATTTCTTTCAAGCATTCTAACTGCTGGTGGACTCCAACCGCACGACAATTTTGCGGTGCTCATCCCTGGTGGCGAACTCCGCCTCTGCTCAAGGCAGGATCTCGTCTCACACAAGAACATTTATCAATGCGAGGCCGTTTGGAAGGGACGGACTGTCATCACTAATGGAACATTGGACTATGACGAGCTGCTCTCGACAGATCCCGTCACGTCTGTGTCCGCCATTCCCGCCTCGCGTGTTGATGGATCGACCACGAGGTCTTCATCGACTACCTCTTCAATCACCACACTCCCAACACTCGTCGTCACAAAGACTCCTGGCTTAGTGCAGCCCACCAGGTCTGCTGCTCCCATTGCCGACGAACCCAAGAGGGAGGATGAAGAGGATGATGAGGACGATGACGATGACGATGACGATGAGGAGAGAGAAGACAAGGTGAAGCTTTCAAAACGTCACGAACTTGCCAATGTGCCGCGCGTGAACATCTGGCGTCGCAATTCGATTCCCATCGTCCCTATTACCAATGCCAATGCGCAAAACGTCGTTGGTACCGCTTCTACCTCCGCTGTCAGTCTTCCTACTATGAGGAATTCCACTACGCAAACCCTTGGAGTCGTGCTCAGCAAGCAATGTGTTCAAATGATCCTCTGGCCAAATCAGATGTGCGTTCAATACCAGTCACTATTTGGTTTTTCTCATGTTTCTTCAGCATCCACAACACCAAACGAGAGGATGTCACGTTTATGGCATTTCAATTCTGGGTCCTTGGAATGTCCATTGTCGCCATTCTCAACGAGTCGATCCCGCATATCGGAGCATCCTTATTCACGCACATTCTCGCAACGATCTGGTCTGCCTATCAGATGTACAACACCGCGTCATTCCAGGAAGAGTTTGTTCGCTCGACTATTCGAAGCGGTCTGTGCACTGGTGCCAACTTGCTCCCTGGATACTGGAAGGAACGAAGAGCTGCGGAGATTGCTGTACTCGTTGTCAACTGCGTCTCGCTCTTGGTGTTTGCATTCCTGAGCTGGCGCCTGATCAAGGTTTGTGCTTTTATGCGTGAATTTTCTCATATTAATCTCGGAATAGACATTTGGATGGCAGACATTCAAGCGCATCGGTGCTTCTTGTCTCGTGAACCGAGTTTACAAGATTGTCCTCACGTTCTCTATTGGACTCCAGCTGACGTTCTTCTTCCTCAGTATGTTTTATTGTATGAACTCGGACTCGGATTGACCTACTTCACTAGTTGCATCCATGGGTATCTGGATGGATCTACTCTGCAATACCGTCCTTGGATCATATGCCGACTTGATGTCGCTGTACCAGGCATTTTCCATCCTGGCATGCATCGTGAGTCACCACCCGCCTCGCTTTCTTAGCGCTAATAACGATCGTAGATAATGGTGCCTTGGCTCTGGCTTGGATGGACCGCCGTTCGCCATGAAACTGAACGATGGATGACAACATTCTTGGTCGTTTGTTTGCTGCTCGTCGCTGGTTGGGCTGCCCTCTTTGGCTCTCAAACCTTTAGGTGGCAGTTCAACGAGTGGAGGTTCTTTTCCACCATTATCGTCATTGCCGGTATGCTTCTCATGATCACCACCCTTCTTGGTGTCGTTTGCTTCTACAACTTTGGCAAAGGTCTCAAGACGTTCTGTACGTTGGCTACTTGTTGACTAGCGCATACTCATGAATTTGCAGTGCTCGAAGCGGAAAATGACTCCTTTGATCCTAGCAACTTTACCAATATCACTTCGAGGGACGTCGAAAAGCAAGAAGTTGTTGGTTTCCCAGTCTCCGGTCCGATCCCAACCTACGCAGTGGCCTTTGGACACAAGTCGAACACCAAGCAGGACGATTCGGATTCAGCACGCTCGTCCTGGTACTCTGGTGGCGTTGGCTCACCTCTCCATGATCCCACATTCCTCGAACCCGTTCCACCCGGCTATTACAGCCAAGCCTCGAGCGCTATTCCTCCGCGTTTCCGATCCCAGAATGGCAGCATCGCAGATTATCCGCCGACGCCAGAGGCACCGATGACCGAGTTGCGCCAAGGTTCAGACGTCGCACGCTCGGATTCGACCGCCTCGTCCGAGTCTGGAAGCCAGCCATTCTCGCTTGACATTCAGAGGAGCAACTCGAATGGCACGTCGTTTAGTGGACGTACCGGGACGAGCAACGGTTCCAATAAGCTGTACGTTGCACCTGGAAGCCATCACGTCCCGAAGATGGATATTACCGCCAAACATGTTCGAGACGATAGCCATGCGTCGTCGAAGAAGGGTTGGGTGATTGAGTAAATCTCGTCGCGTAAATCCGTCCATGCTACCTCCGTCTTTACTTTGATTCTTTTACCCTGCTTAGGTTTTCACCTTCGTCCGTGCTGATGCACACCTTTATACCTTTTGGACAATGTCCGCAACTCTCCTTGTAGCTCAATCCGCCCAACCAACAACACGCAATGCTGGTGACCAACTCGTGCTTATCTGTGTGCTCGCAGCCTCTGGTCGACTGCTCGTTCAATTCTTCTCCCTTCACTAGATAGGCTCCATTTGTTGTCAGCTTGTAATGTCGACCTTTTGAATCTCACTCCTAACTCACACTTGCGATTCTCGACTCTCAGTCCCATCTCGAGATTTGTCCACGTGAGCTCTCTCCATTTCGTTGGAAATGTTCCATGGAAGCCGTGCAGCTCGTTGCGTGAGGGTGCTCCATGCGGTCGCCATTTACATCCGTCTGTATAAGAACGCCTTGTCGATAAGTTGAATGCCCGGCTGATGCACGTCTTCGCCCGCTGTTTACGCCCAACCCTTGTCCTCTCCCGTCCACGCTTTACTCGGTCCTTTGGAATGGCCCAGGCCTATCTTGTAAGCCGCGATATACCAATTTTGATATCTAATTAATTAATAGCCTATCAAGACTACACAAGAGGGCGCAGTGGTCATCGACTACCCGACTTTGGTATCTACGCCGCTTGTCCTGCAGGAGTCGATCAAGAAGGCGTTTGGATCGGAACCGGATTGCCTTGGAATTATTGTAGTCAATAATCTACCACCGGAGTATGTGCGCTATCGCGAACGTCTCCTTCTCCTTGCGGAGAAGTTTGCCTCATTGAAGGAGGAGACACGGGAGAAGTACGCAGATCCAAAGTCTCGATACAGGTACGATAGAGATATGATGCAGGGCGTAATATGGCTCAGGTATCTGCAGCTTTGGCTGGAGCCATGGAAAGGAGATTATGAACGGCAAACCTGATACCCTCAAGGGAAGCTATTATGCGAACCCGATTGTGGACTATCCGACAGTGCCTGAAGAGCAGCGTAAAGAACATCCAGAGTACTATGGCCATAACATCTGGCCTGCACCAGACGAAGCTGGCGTCGAAGGATTCGAACAGGCCTTCAAGGACCTCGGAGGTAACGGATCAGCATTCTACTGCCTCGGTCACTCAAAGCGCCTAGATTCATCTTCAAAGTCGGTACAGAACTAGCGACTGCATGCCAACCATTTGGTGCGCTCTCCTTTCATCAATGAGCCGCTGATTGATTGACCATGTAGCCTCTGCTCATCTCACGGACAACTCGATATCACTCTCAAAACTCATCTCGACCTCGCAAACGACCAAGGCAAGGCTACTCCATTACTTCCCTCCATCTCCTGAAAATCCTCTTCCGTCCGACGACGAGCCTGTTGACAGCTGGTGTGGCTTCCATCTCGACCATAGTCTGTACGTTGTCCCAGTGATTGTGTATACACTCATTCACATGCGCCCACAGTCTTACAGGACTATGCTCGGCAATCTATCTCTCGCACGAAGGAAATGGTGTCGTCAAACAGGTCTCCTCCCCCTCCCCCGCTTCTGGACTCTACATTCGCACCCGAGGTGGTACGCTTCAAAAGGTGGGGATCCCACCCGACTGCCTTGCGTTTCAAACAGGTGAAGCACTCGAACTGGCGACAGCAGGCAAGTTGCGTGCAACCCCACACTGTGTGCGCGTTGGTGCTGGCGAAGGAGCGGAGAAAGTGTCGAGGGAGACATTTGCATTGTTCATGCAGCCCGATACGACGCAGGTCATCGCCGAAGGGGAAACGTTTGGAAGTTTTTCCAAAAAGGTGTTTGATGAGCATTACGAGCCTCAGATGTAGAGCAAATGTGAACTTGAAGGATTGATACAGCTCTTCATAGAACGGAAGCAAACAACATGAATGTGTCAGTCGAGTAGGAAGTTCCACAACCCATCAGGGTCCTTGAAGTTGTGGTGGACGAGACTGATTAACCAGCGTTCATCACGAACACTGTCTAGCAACTTGCGCTCTGCCGAATCTGGTGGGTAGAATAGACCCCATTCTGTCCAGTACCCGAAAGCCTCGTCCTGAAATTCATCAGCTCCACGGAGACTAGGGTAGAGATTCAACTAACCTTCCATGCTAGGAATGAGTCTCGCTCGATGATCGTCGGAGAATTTATCTCTTTGCCGGGAAACACACCCCAAGTAACCGCATTGCTCCCTTCATCAGTCATATTTGTCGCATAGTCATCCTTTGCAACTGTCAGAGCACGTAAACAGAGACAAATAGTTTACCATCATGTTTGCTGCAAAGAAAGTTACCCATCCTTTTCCCTTTTCCTTGGCTCTGGCTTCCAACGCCGCCACATCATCCCTTGTGCAGAAAAACTCCACGAATGCCTTTTGGAATACGTAGCCTCCACGTGGGCCCCATCCATGTACCTCATCTTCCGATGGCACGGCATCGACAGCCGGCTGAGAACCAACTGTCCACCAACCTCTCTCGTTGAGCTTTGTGAGAAGGGGTACTAGCGATTTACTCTCAGGTGAAAGTGGAGAATCTGACCAAGGGGTAGATGGCACCTCGCCTCTTAGGTAGCGTAGAAAGACGGTGGTAATATCAGCAGTGTGCGTCGGTCGACCCCAAAGCTCGACTGCATTGCGAGGCTAACTTTGATGTGAGAATACAAGTAAACAGTGCACTTTAATGCTCACCAGCGCCGTGATACCGTGGTCCCAAAGGTCTTTGACACCGAATGCCGGGCTCTTAAAGTCTCCAAAGCGGCCATTCGGGAACTCGTCCCATGTCCCAGCAGCGTTTAGCTCCCCCTATCCCATATTAGTAAAGCAGGTCGAATGGGGTCCTCCTGACCTTTCCAGCAGAGTTGTTCGGTCCATTGCCTGGATGAGCTTGTTTCAGTGAGTACGACGTGGATGCAGCGATATCTGATGCAGTAATGACCAGCTCGGGTGGGAGTGATCCAGGCTGATTATTTCGGCTAGGCGATTCCTGTGGAAATTCAGGAAGAATTAATGCAGGGTTCACGTGACTGACGCTGATGACCATGTTGTGTTGTTCAACGTGCCTTCCAACCCAACCAAGCTGCTCTAATACCCGCTGTACGCTCTTCTCGAGATTGAAAGTGCAAAAATGAAATCCTTGCACGCCAATCTGCTGCAGTTTACGAATCATCGATACAGCAACTTCGACTCCAAGATCCTTAACTAGCTGGTCGTCATTCTGCCCAATATCAGCGCATCACAGGGGAGGAAGTATCGACATACGCGGATGGGAGTTATCTGTGCCATAAGTGAGTCTGGAACTTTAGTTCCGCAAAGCTTTATGAGTCGCATAAACGACGCATAAGTTTGTATCGGCATAATCCCCGGGATGACGGGAATCTTGATGCCGGCTTTCCTGACATTCTCTTGCCAGGTCAGGAAAGATTCGGGATCGTAAAATAGCTGTGTGATGATAAAATCAGCCCCCGCGTCCACCTTCTTTTTGAGATACTGAATCTGTTCCTCCTCCGAAGCAGTAGTTTCGGCGTGTCCGTCGGGATATCCTTGACCGTATCATTATGTAGTCGGAAACCTTTAAGACCACGCACCCGCAACGCCGATGCAGAAGTAGTCTCTAAACTCTGGTGTAGTCTTGATGAACTTGACAAGATCTGTGGCGGAAGTGAACCTCGGATCTGATGGAATCCAGCTATCTGCCCCTCTCGGGGGATCCCCTCTCAGCGCGAGTATGTTTCGGATTCCTTTCTCCATGGCCGTCTAGAATCTGCTGGTGAGTAAAAGCAGAAAACTCGAGGTGGCATTATACCCTCAACGCATCTTCAACCATTCCTGGTTGCATATTTGTGCAAGTTAAGTGCATGATCGTATCCACGCTGTGGTCATTGCGGCAAATGTCCGCGAGCTTCAAACTCCAATCCTTGGTCGATCCGCCAGCACCCCAGGTGATGCTTACAGCCAAAGGATTGAGTGTCGAGAGTCGTCCTATGCGACTCACGAGATTTTCGAATCCCTGGCTCGGTGAGGTTCCTAAGCTTCATGTCCAAATGGGACATGCGAACCTGTTCTGTCCGAGGAGGAAAGAATTCAAACGTATAGAATGGAGTGAAACTGTCCAAATTGTCGATTTTCTCTGATAATCGCATGATGGAGTACGGGTCCAAGTTGATACATGCTTTGGCCCTCACCATCCCGACTCGGCCTCACTCGGATCTCTAAAATGTCTTCCAAACTCCCGGTAGTCGCCGTTATGGGTACCACCGGAGCAGGAAAGACCAAATTATCTGTCGATATTGCCAAGGCATTCGATGGAGAGGTCATCAACGCAGATGCGATGCAAGTGTATCGAGGTTTGGACATCATCACTAACAAAGCAACAAAGCAAGAGATGCAAGGAATCCCTCATCACCTGATGGACATCAAAGACCCTGGCGAACAAATGCATGTCACGGAATGGGTGACAATGGCTATGCGGACGGTGAGTATCAGTCATACGACAGGAGGATCTACTGATAGCACTAGATAGATGACATTCATAGTCGTAAGAAGCTGCCCATTATCGTTGGAGGAACGTCTTATTGGCTCCAAAACTTGCTCTTCACAAATCGGCTGGTCACCAACAAGACACCAAATTCGGTTACAGTGGATGAAAATCTTCAAAGCTCTCTGAATCGACTCGACTCCACCCAAAGAAATCTGTACGCTCGTTTGCCAGATCCACCGCCGCTAGCTTCTGTAGACCCGGAGGGAACCCTTGAGTTATGGAAACTGTTAGAAGCATTGGATCCGGATATGGCATCTAGATGGCACTGGAAGGACTCAAGAAAAGTATTACGAAGCCTACAGATTATAGCTGAGCACGGGCGCATGGCCAGCGATGTGATCCGAGATCAAGATGACAATTCTCCAGACTCTCGGTAAGAGGATTCGGTATACCTAATATGATATTTACTTGGTCAAGGTATCAAACGCTTGTCTTCTGGCCGTATACCCAAAAGGAGATCCTGGATGAACGCTTGGACTGTCGAGTTGACGATATGGTCAAGGTTGGTTTACTACTTAAGATAAAAAGTGCTCACACAGTGTGCTAGTCAGGTCTTCTGGATGAGATTAGGACCCTCCATCAAATAGCGGGACCTTCCGTCGATCATACCTCGGGTATTTATCAGTCCATAGGCTTCAAGGAGTTTGAAGAGTATCTTCGGAATCCCTCTGTTGAAACATTCCGGGACGGCGTTGAGGCAATGAAGCGAGCTACGAGAAAGTATGCCGTCTATCAGACTAAGTGGACTCGTCGCAAGTTTATTCCTCTGGCGAGCTCCTGCCCCGACACATGGACATATATATTGGATACTTCAAGTATGTCAAATGTCGAAATCGTTTTACATTACTCAAGCATTACAGATCCTAGTGAATGGGAGCCAATTAAGACGCAAGGCGTGGATATTACGAGTAGTATGTCGAAAATATTCAATCGGAAGATGATCTCACCTTATAGGTTTCCTAATGGGATCATCACTCCCCTCACCCTCGTCGTTGAGCCCACTGGCCGAGGAATTGCTTCTCGACACAATCAAGATATTGAGGTATGTCAAATATATAGTTGATAGCGCATTGAATGGAACTATTCCCAGTCCATCTGAGGTTATCTCTGCGCAGAAACGAGTTCCGTGCGACGTATGTACGCAAGATGCTAGGGACCCGTTTCTTGTGATGGCTTCAGAATGGGTCGAACATACAAAGTCAAGGAACCACCAACGAAAAATTGAGAACAAAAAGAAGAGGGAGCGGAATATGGAGCGACTCCGGCTGAAACTGGAGAAGGAAAGGATACAGAACAGTCAAGTCAGCATTTCACGTATATCAAATGACAGAGCTGGCAATCTTTTAGGAGCCTCCATTGGTATCCCTGGATGAAATGCGGGATGTATGATTACAGGCCGCCTAAACCCTCGTCTCATTTTGGCCCATCCACCAGCGACACCGAGTGGACTCTGCCAAGGGTACTACTTCCACAAAGCTCGCTGTAGAAGCGCCATTACCGTTAAGGTCTTCGCTCATGACCACCCTCCTTGCACCGGAAAAGCTCGGCCATTTAGGGGAAAAGGGCATCTTACGTGCAGATGGATCACCAAGTTGTGAGAAGGAAGTCCAGTAGCCTAAAATCTCTTCAGCCACTGGTTTCTCAGTGACGTTAAACGGCGCAAAGAATGGCGTAGTTCCTCTGCAATAAAGATTGAGAACACCCTCGACGGTGATACGGCCGTAACTCACGTAGCTCCATTGAACATGTAGTAAACATCCGAAGCATGCATTGCGCCCATGAACGGATTTGCAGCGCGGGTGACGGGATTTGGCACGTTGAATCTGCTCAATAGTGAATAAGGCAACCGGCATATACTGGTGACTGTTACCGGTAGGAGTACACATTCTTTCCACCTCGAGATATTGTCGCGTTCGCCCAGTGTTGATCCCTGGGAAGAATTAATGAGGATCATCTCCTGAATCAGACGACGAACATGCAACCAAAGATTGTATCTTGCATGATAGTCTGCAGTAATTGTCAGAGAAGAGTATCATGCGACACATAGACTGACCCAGGTTCTGTCATACTGGGTCGCGAACGGGGAGCCAGTCACGTTGGGGCTAGGGTAGAGTTCCAGAACCTTCTGAAGAGTAGAATTTGTCTTCACCCCAACATTGAGAACCATCCTCGCAAGCAAAGAAAAGCTTACCATGTGTCTGTACCGCTTCAGGATTGTAGCAACCACGTCCGCATCCGACTTGAGGTTCGCAGGATTACCACCAGCAAAGTTTTGTCCATCATTGGTACAATGGCCCGCAATGAGATCGAGTCCAGGACTAAACTTTCTAGCTGTAATCAATTTTGAGGGAAGATCGGGGATGAATCCGCGAGGTCCGTCGATTGTAGGAGCTAGAAAGTTGGTGCGAACATTGTTGATAGATTTGATCAAAGTGGACAAGGGTGCGGATCGTAGACATGCCATTGCCTCGGCGCCACCACTGGGGCATCCTGCGGCGGTGGTGACATTGTCTAAGGGAGATAATGAGTAGGTGATGTTGCAGTTGATCATCGCTTACTAAATACTTGCTCAATTTCGGAATCCAAAGGGAGTGGATAAAGTCCGATAGACTGCGCAATGGCGCGCTTGAATGGCGCGGAGCGAGTACCACCATATGCTGTAGCTTGCAAGACCACCGATGCACCTCCTAAATAGACATTGAGCTATTGCTTGTCCAAGTACAAGCAACTACCCACCAGCCGACTCTCCTGCAATCGTGAGCTTTTTTGGATCTCCACCAAATGCCGAGATGTGGCGGCGAACCCATTCGATAGCGGCGCGCTGATCCAATAATCCAGCGTTAGGGGTTCCGTCAGCCCTCAAGGCGAGCCCATCAAGGAATCCGAAAAGATGAAGGCGATAGTTCTAAGTTACATTAGATGGCTTGAAGATATGTGAATCACTGACCATTGATACAGCGACTACTTGCTGGTTCTGGGCAACCCAATCGTACATTGGGAACTGTGGGGAACTCTATGGTCAAGGGTTAGACGTTTATCAGAAACTGGACTCGAATGCTCGTACGCCGAAGAAGAATCCTCCGCCATGTATATAGATTACTACTGGCAGTTTGTCACCAGGTTTCGCCTTGCTGGGCTTCCATATGTTAAGGCTGAGACAATCTGGGAGATATTTGAATAAGATGCCGTGGGAGTTTAATTCTACACACCTTCTACTCCCACCCCTTCGACGGCCGGTTGCTGGACGCATGTGGGGCCCCAGTTCCTTGCATCGGAGACGACTCTACTCGAATTGTATCTCTCGTCGAGTTGCTTCGGAGCACGGAAACGTAAATCTCCCAGAGGAGGTTCAACATAGGGAATGCCACCAAAGAAGGTGACCGAGGAGTTGGAAACGCCGGTGGGAGAGGTAGCATTACCCACGTATGCAGCATATCCCAGATCAACAACTGGTCCCAGTGGGGACGAGAGCGGGCTCCAACTGGCTTTACTGAGACCAACGCTGGCGAAGAACCCAAGGAGGAGACGGTATATCATCTTGAGAAGAGTACCGGCAAGACTACTCGGTACGGTAGAGCCGTCTTAAGTAGCATGGACGGTGCGCAGAAGTCGAGAAGTCGTCGGTTGGTCGGGCAGGCGGAATCTGCGGAGGCGGCGGACCGTGCACTAACATCGTGACTTGGTTGTAGAGTTGTGCCGAATACAGTTCATACAAAGCATTAGTGTCGAATGAGCGCAGACTTGCCCTGTGCCCATGGCAATTACAGTCTCCTCTCTGCGCGGCAGCAGGAATAGCATATGCGCGACTGAAACGGGATGTAGTAGTGGTCTGTTCAATACTCAAGAGGCGCCGCTTCCAACTACGGTCAATGAGGCGGACGTTGCCGGGTCTGAATGATCGATAAATACGCGTTCATATCTGATTTTGAGATTTATATGAGCCATCAGGCATTATACCGGTCAAAGTCAGGCGCAAGCTGGGTCGGTGGCTTGGACAACAAAAACGACGCCTAGTGGTATGATTCTCACTTCACGCTCTTCCACCTCAACCTTTTCGCAGGATTCGGCGGCTTCAAAATCGGCCAAAATCCTTGAATATTCAACTTGTATCAACCATTCTAACCCTCTGGAATAGTGTAGCAATCTAATCTCATACTTCGGGTTCTCGTTTCCCCATCGACCTTACACAATGCATCTCATGATGGATTAGGTCAAGAATATATCGCGTTTTTATCGTCCTATGATACGTCGAGCTGCAACACTCGCGTTTGACTTGCGGAATGCTGGCCCAGAATTAGAGCAGAGCTCTATTACCTGATTAAAAGGGGCGATATTGGACATTATATGATAAATGGGGTTCTCATCTGACCTACGATGCGCTAATTTATCGTTTCGGACGTGAGCCTCCTCCGACTTCCAATTCAAGAGGGCGGTTGGAATTCACCCGTCCGCAATTTGATGCAGGTCACTTTGACTATGGAAAGCTTCCCGGAAAACTGCAATCTCCGCTGGGGTGGAGTACATAAAGGGCACGAGAGCTGTTAGCCACTGAGCCTTTTCCTTCAACGACAATGTCTGAACAACCACCCACCAACCCGCAAACGGAAAAAGGTCCTAATGATTCAACGACCAGTCCAGCAACCAGCCCTCCACAGGCAGGGAGTCGTCCTTCTGGGCCGAGCCTGCCAACTCCTCCTGTAGGCAATGGTCTCTTGATAACGGTTATGAGCGAGTGGGTCTACCAAAAATTCGATTCCATGTTCTTACGGCCCATAGTGGCAATTTTCCCATACTAACTGTGGCTTTGGCGATGGTCCTTGCTCGATATAAAGACACCAACCCCTACGTCTGTCCAGTTGTTTACAAGTAGGCTTTCCCAGTGCTGCTCGGGCTGATAATAATAATTTATTAGGAGGTCTCCTCCATTCATACCCAAAGGTAGACACTTCTAGCCGCTATAACTTTATAACCTTGCCATCCAGTCCTGACGCCATGGCCTATCGTTTACCGCAATCAGTCCGCCAATTTTCTTTGGTTATATCGGCATTTCTCATATCCCGAACAGGCTGGCCTTTGGTCATCCGACGGTTGAGGACGACAAAATCACGGCCACCCCCCTACTCAGGACAATACAAGTAGGGCACCCGGGACATTCTCAACTTTTACTGATCATCTTGCAGAAAGGACAAATTACGGAACTGCAAAAAGACGAAAAAGAGAATTACTCTTTCACGGTAAGTCGCCTGGTTTCCAGTCCGAAATCTCATCCCGTTCAGGATCCTGTACCAGCCGGCAAGGGTTATGAGCGTGCCATAGTTGCCAAAAACGACTGTCCACTACTTGAGCAGATCTCTATCAGTGAGTGATTGACATTCAGCTTCCCAATCTTAACAGTTGTAGACGTAAACGATGGCACGGGGTTTCAACCTGTGCAAATTTGGAGGAGCGTAGGGTCAGTTCGGTTCTACTCATTCGGTCAATATACAACTAACACATCACGTAGCTCCACCTACAAATTGGCCACAAATTTTGCACCTATTCTGCGCATTTATGGTTGGATTGATCCTACGATAAATGTGTCTCCGGGTCAGATTCTTCAAGAGAATGGACCCGGGGACCTCCTTTGGGAGGCGGATCCCAGTACCCTCAGGGTAGTCACCATGCTACAGCTGACATTCGACCTCACTACGCAAAAGCTTGCTCTAAAGCCATCACCTTGAGTCAATGGAATTTATCACCGTATCGCTAGATATAGTGTGAATGCTGGGCTCTCTCTTTATACGTTCTCTTTTCTAAACTCTGCCTCCACCATGTCGTTAAAAAGGAGAAATTAGAGGCGCTATACTCAGTTGATGAAGGACATGAAGATGATTCCACTTTCTGAGGGTACCAAGGTTCTTCAGAAATGCAATGGAGACAAGCAACAGAACTCGGATCGGGAGGGCAGAGTATAGGCGCGACAATATATACGATTGAACTGCAGTATAGAATTAACTCATATCGAATCATGTATGGGGATACAGTGAGAAACATCCATTTCCAAACGCTGATCCGTTACGTGACAGAATTAAGCGTCCGCGCTTCGTCATCTGGAAATTCCCCAGATGTCCGTCGATACGGTGAAAGAGGATTCGGTGATGACATGGATCTCAACTGGATATGCTCATCCTTTTGAGTACCGTCGTGTTCTTTGCCACTTTTCTCGAGGCGTTTGGATTGGTCGTGAAGTTCAATCCCTTTTCCTTGCATTGTAACGCGTGAAGACTCGCCAAATGAGCGAAGTGAAGTGATGGGAATATGGAAGAGCCGGTCGAGATACGACCGTCGTTCGTGCAGATCATCAAATGTTGAGCTAGGTCGTCGCCGCCGACCGCATCTGTTCCCATCCATCCGGCGTCCAAATGTGGTAGTGCCGTGAGTGGGGATCGCAGATGATGTCTCGCCCGTCATACCTCCGACATCACTCTCGTACAGTGGGTCGATGGCTTTTAGTAAGTTGAGTTGGAGTCGAGAACAAGCAACGGACATGATCACCCAGAGGATGAATATGCCCGTAAAGGTGAAAGAGATGGGTCGGAGGTTCCACGCGACGAGATTCCATGTCCGGAACAGGCAGATTGAGACGTAATAACACACTCCGTCCCGAAACAGGACAGAGAAAAGGCGGGATCCCAGGCAGGCTCCGTGCTTCCTCGTCTGGTAGAGCTTCACAGTCGTTATGACGAAGATGGTCGTCTCAAAGAGCATGGGCCAAATCCATATTAACCCCATTTCCTTTGGATGAATAGATGCAGAGCATATCCGGATCGTTGGTGAAAAGAAGATCTTAGTGCGGAATTGGAGCGAGGTGAGGATGACGAGGACGCCTGTGATGGTGTACGAAAGGAAAAAGTAGGCGACGAGCGCGGCGTCCAGGATAGGTCGCTCACACCCGACAAGAGCGCGGGTACGTGCTAGAAGCATCCAGTTGCACATAGCAAACGAAATAAACGTGGCAATGCCGACGCCTATGAGGTTAAAAGTGCAACTGGTAGAAATATTAGCAAAATGGAGCGGGACGCCAAATGAATACCTACAATCCATCAGACATGCTATTCATGCTGATAAATTGCTGAGCGCTCATCATCGTAAAAGTCGCACACAAGGCCCGATTCTAGACGGGAAGGCTGTAAGCGTGCGGACTCCGTGCCGATGGTCCGACATACCAGGAAGTAAAATGCTTTGATTACACTCCACCGTTTCGGCCATAAGAATTCGACCTGGAAAGAGCATGGTCACAACAGCCCCGCTACGCTTGAAACAATATAGACCTCATCACCGAGAATCAGGCATGTATCATATATGAGAAGGGCAATTGCAGCTCCTACGAGTAGATATATCAGCCGAGGCTTGCAAACGAGCAAATACTACCAACCGTTCATCCAGCGCATAAGCTGAAGGTTGCGAGCTATTTGAACGAACGACAGGCCATCGTTGTGCATGGCCTCGATCTCGATGGGACGAACCATTGGGGGCCAAGGTGACGCGAGGGTATGGCTCCGTGCTGTCCATCTTTATCCGCCGCTTCGAGCTACCCTAGTTGTCGCGGAACCGCCAGAGTTTGAGGTTCCTTTGACATTGAATAATGCCGAGACACCTGATCACAGCTTCCGGGGCCCCGAACAGCTCGGTATGGGCTGAATTCAGTCCCCTCATGATTCTTGATTGCCAAATTGGCAATGGATACTTGAATGTCTCTCAGCGGGATCCAAGAAATCTGAACAAAGTGGGTTTTCTCACGCGTCGCTGTCGAGGTGGGGGTTGAGGTTTGACGAAGATTGTCTGCAACGCTCTGCGGGTCTCATAATCCTTTCGAGGGCAAGGAAAAGAACGCCGCTTGACTCATTTCATGGACAACAACACGCGGCGGTAATTCTCGTCCTCTGAATCCGCCTCTCGAGAGCAACGAGTTGGCCAGTAAGCTGAGGAGTAAGCTGAGGAGACGATTTATCGTTTTCAGGTCTACACTGAGATATAGCTACCATGGCCTGTTTGAATGTCAGTGGATGAGCGCGACTTGGCGACCTGGTCCTGTATTCTCGGATTTAGAGGTTCTCCTAGGAAAGTGGCCCAAAGAACATCTTGAGAGGTTACTGGAATACACACCAAAACCGAAAGTGTTATCAGTACCTAGCCCCTCAACAATCCAAGAAGCTACGTCCGGTTGCGAGTCCTTCAACATCCAGTTATCCAACAATTGACCCACATTTCTATATACCTCTCCAAGGCAACCTCATCTGAACCTCTATTTATCCCTATGCTCACCTTTCTTCACCTAGATTTCGAGCCTGAGAGCACAGCTCCTCTCCCGCAGACATTTCCGTCTTTAAATTGACTGCATATTGGAGGATATATTTACACGACAACGTTTGATTTCCTCAAATCCTTCTTCGTCGCTCACTCCAAACAGTCACGCGCCTCTTCAAGCATGCCTACATTACAGGCTCATCTTCGTCAATACTGCAGTATTTCATGCGTCTAGAGGTGTACGCAGTTATGCCGCGGCGAATCTCAGGGCACACCGCATTTCCGCGGCACAACTGCCACTACGAGAGGTGGAACACGCTCCGCGACCGACCGCTTTCCGTACTTTGGGTTAAGCCTGAGGTTTCAATGCTATGGATGCCACCAGAAATAATTATCTCAACGATGAACGTAGGGCAGCAGAAGGGCAGCTCATGCATCCTATCTGGTGAGGAAAGTTAATAGTCCTCGACCTTTCATGGGATGATCTAGAGCCGGACTCCAGTGGTCCTTTCAAAATCAATGGAGTTTTGGATGTCATCAGAGCCATAGATGGGCCCAGTGCCCCGTTTTGGACAGGCATCTGGTTCGTTTGGCCCTGGCGTCGGGCGAGAATCTATACCCGTATGACGCCTGAGCTAGGATATAGAATCAACCACGTCTGTAGAAAGTATATTTTCAAAACGGTCAGATACAACTGGTTATCCCCAACCAAAAGCATCTTATCCCGTTCTGCGAAGATTCTATTGGACGGCAGCTACGTCTAAACGTGAGTTTGGATGCTATATACAATGGTCAGGAGATTCGCTGTGAGTATGGGGTCGGCAGACCCGTGGGCCAGAAGGAGAGCCATAGAAGGAATGTTCCTCTCAGACGGTGACCACTGAAGGCCTATTTGTCATGTGTATTCAGCATATCATATCTTCATGGCCTGCAAGGTACGCACCACCGCATTGCTTCCTTTTGAGCGACCTATACATCAAGTCGTTTGGATCAGAGCGAGTTACTGAACTACATGAGTACGCCGAAAACGGGTCTATAATCGGATTTATACGTGATTAGACATGGTTTGGCGCGACCCGGTTCAATCATTGCGATGTAGTCGAGAAGAAGCGAAGCTACATTCGCCTCGGAATGTGGCAGGCTGAAATCTCAACGTAAAATCATAGAAAATAGATAAAAGCTATCTGATAGCTGTGTATCGTTATAAGACAAGTGTTGACACGCTTTCTAGGAGACATGGCGTCCCACCGACTTGCAATGCGGCAGAGATCCCATGCAGAATTTAGAGTTTCAAGCACCGACGCATCGACACTATAAGAGGCGTGCAAGCGATTGCTAGCCTCGTCTAGCAACCCTCTCTCCACCGTCGTGCCCAGGCGACACGCAGACGCGCCGTCGCTCCTCTTTAGGTATATCTTATCATAAAAGTCTCAGGAAATCCTTTTCAAGCAGACGTGCCTTGGCACGAATACTTCGACTTTGGGCCAGGACGATGATAGGCAGTCGTTGGAAATCACGAAGCCCAGTCACTCGTGATTACTCCGTGGAAAAACGAACTCGTATCGAGTATGTGTTCATTACGCACCGCCGCACTTACTGACAGGCTCAGAGAAACGGCCGCACATCTTGCGGGCGTGAAGAAAACAAGAAAAGAATTGAGTAAGAAATCTGTTATATATTCCAAACATGCAGTTAACCTCAGATGTGAGAGATATCCCAACGGTACGATGTATACCTATCGCGAGGAGCCACTAACGGATAGCAACCAGGGTTCAGTTTTCGAGTCGGAGCTCGATCCCCAGAGGACCCAGCTGGCCCCACAGAAAGCGCCAAGTTGCGGCTCGACGGATCAGGAGGAGGAACCAGAGGATCGCCCAGTGGTTCTCGACGGACGCTGCAGCCTAGGTATCTCCCTCAAATTCCACTGGCAGGTGTATCTCCTGCTAGCGGACGACTCAAAACATCGCCAATTCACGACCAGACGCAGTATTGGGTCGTGACGCAGGCTATCTTAGGCAGCTCCGCCGCCAGAAAGTACAATCTCTGCGTTATTGGATGTCATCAATTGACAGTTGTCTTAGGAAAACGGGCACCCCTCATTCTACTGGCAGCTCGCGAGGACAACTGGGACGAGCCAGCCCTTCGTACGTTTTCGTCTACTCTCCTGGTTCGAAATACAGCTTAATTTGCCGATAGCAATTGGAGATGATGGATACGCCTGCCCATACGCCTCACTCCGGCGTTTATCGGATCGGCTGAACGCAGCCAGCGGTCGGAAGCGTCTCCAAACCGAATGTTACGATCGGCCCTTCTTTCCCCCAACAGATAGAGCGAGGACCAACTACGTAGCGGGGACGATCCGATGCGACTATGGGGGGTCCATTTGCGCACAAGGGAGAAGCGCGGTGGTGTCGATGAAAGAGCCATGCAGAACGAAGGTGAACAGCTGGGAGAGCTACAGCAGACACGTCATCTGCTCCCATATCGTCGACGGCCGTCCTAGCACTGGAGAGACCATCGATGATAGGATCAGTGAGTTTCTCACCGAGCCCACGAAGACTGTTTACTGATCACGTATATAGTCCATCGACTTCGTAGATCTTTGGTCGCCATTGGCAACGTTGAAGCGGCGACCAGCTCGACCCTGACGACCCAGAAAGAGCTGGAAAAGCGAGAAAAGGGCTAGAGCAGAAATGAAGGGAAAGGAGGAAGAAAATTGGCTGATGAAGATGATGTATAGTGAGGATGATGAGTATCTGCCGTCTGCCCACAAAACGTCGTCGAGCCGGTAGCCCGTAAACACCAGGTGTCATCTAATCCAATGTTTATCGTGCCATATATCTCTGCTCATGTCCACCTTTGTCAAGTCTTGGGTGCTTGAAACTCCTCGTGCCGCCATCTTGCAAGATCTCTGACGCTCTATCGGAGCGTCGGGAGATCTGGTCCTGCAGTGCTCAAGGTCAGGATGTCGTATTGATCGCCCAAACGCGAGTAAAGGGCTCGAACCACAACCTCTGGGTTCCGGATCGAGACGGTCAGGTTCACGTCACATTCATTACGTCGTATTTACCACAATGACGGGGAAATGCCAATATGAAAGGCATTCTCAAAAGGGTACTATATTAATCAAATTAGACATCGCGTTGGTTTCTCGTACGGGGACAGTGGATGATGAGGGTTGGGAACTGCCAGATGCGTTTACGACTCATTGACTCAGGTACAACGCATTTGTCAATGCATGATACCGGTTCCTCCAGATTGATATAACCGACCGCAAGCAAGCCTTGTCTCGACGTCAATCCGGACTTGCGGAGGGACGCTACTTTTCCAGGAGAGAATGGGCCATAGAGTGAGCTTTACCGCCTTTGACTATTCTCTGGCGAGAGTACGCATGCGAAGCCGATAAAATCGACATTTCCCAAATCGAGCCAATGTACCTGATTCTCTTTCATAACTGGAGCCGACGTGCTCTCCTCTGCTTCAAACCATCTTCATCATTACGACAATCAGAATCTACCAGATGCGGGAACCGTCAGAAGCCTGCTTTTCATCTCACCTTTTCATCATCCTGCTTCGGGATGGAGTATTCTATTACGCCTCGATCTGCCTCTTCCGGACATGGAATCTCATCGCATGGAACCTCCGACCTATCTCGTTCGCCTTTGCGGGCATCTTTATCCTCTGGGTGATCATGTCTGCTCCCTAATCTCGACCTCAACTCAATCTAATAAAAGCTGGCAGCTCATTGCGCATCTCTAGCGACAGGAGCATGAGCTCGGAACCGTCGACACCGCTCAAAGGCACCAACGACATTCGCCAGCATTGGCATAGACGGCAACTTTCTGGCACTTATCATCATCTCTGGACTTTTTCATCCAGTATGCTGTTTACCCATGCTCATCGCCGCAGTAACGTGACCACAGTCGAGTGGCATAGGGAACGTGCCGTGCTCAGTCAGGCGATTCCCATCTTTCAATGTGTTGGGATGGGACCGCAAGAGAATCTTGGAATTCTTGGACGCAAGCACGGTCTCCGTGGTGCGTTGGTGCTGGCACCTAGGTTTAAAGGGAGAAGTCATTGCGGGAGCGGTGGGACGAGGACTGGGGAAGAATCGGGGAAGAGGGAAATATGTGGTGTGTCTGTTGCTATTCATTCTGATGGTTGCGTAGATTGGGATCAGGTCGTGCCAATTGGCCTCTGAAACTTTGGTGACCACTCACGGACTCGCATGATTGATAGACCTTGGATAACATGTAACTGATCTAGAATATGAAGGGGTACGGTCGGAACACGATGGTCATGGTATAAATGGCTCATCCATGCACGTTTGAATCGCAGAATTACGGTGATTATTTGCAGGATCAGATAGCTGAGCCTCGTAGGTACAAAGGTAAGGTAATGATTCTTCTCTCTCGCTAAGGTTCATTGATTGACGCTGCCTTGGACTTTTGTCCAAGAGGGACCACAGTGGAAATGAGTGAAGTCAAGTTTGGTCGGGTAGGGAGGGCTAGACGTTGGTAATTTGAGGAGGAGTGGAGACGTTAATGAGAGCCGATTGTCTGGTGGAACCCAAAATAGAAGTTTCCCTGAGAGATGTACCCAACCGTCATCAGAGAGAGGAAATGTTCGGAGCTGGGAGAGCATAACTTTCAATAAGGCCAGGGTATTTTGATGCGAGATAAGGCCACCCTGATTTGACTGGCACAACTGACCATTATGGTTGGATAACTCGGCTACGAAAATTTGTAAGCTTCCAGAATCACGGGGGGAAAGAAGTGAAGTGGAACGAACCAAATGCGGTGTTCCACAGTGTAATTGTGCTGTCAGCTAGACCCGATGCGATTTGCAAGCTGTCTGGTGAGAATGCAACGGTGGTGACCGAGTCTGCGTGGCCTCGGAGTGGGTCTCCCAGCGAATGGACCATCTCTGCATTCCATAGTCGAATCGTGTTATCATTCGAGCCAGAGACGATTCGCGAGCCGTCTGGTGAGAATGCGACGGCCCTGACCCAGTCTGTGTGGCCTCGGAGTGGGTCTCCCAACGACTGTCCCGTCTCCGCATTCCATAGTCGAATCGTCTCATCCCATGAGCCAGAGACGATTCGCGAGCCGTCAGGTGAGAATCCGACGGCCCTGACCCAGTTTGTGTGGCCTCGGAGTGGGTCTCCCAACGACTGGCCCGTCTCCGCATTCCACAGTCGAATCGTGCTATCATTCGAGCCAGAGACGATTCGCGAGCCGTCTGGTGAGAATGCGACGGCGGCGACCGAGATTCTGTGGCCTCGGAGTGGGCCTCCCAACGACTGGCCCGTCTCCGCATTCCATAGTCGAATCGTATCATCGCTCGAGCCAGAGACGATTCGCAAGCCGTCTGGTGAGAATGCGACGGCTGTGACCGAGTTTGTGTGGCCTCGGAGCGGGTCTCCCAACGACTGACCCGTCTCCGCATTCCATAGTCGAATCGTCTCGTCCCATGAGCCAGAGACAATTCTCAAGCCGTCAGGTGAGAATGCGACGGCGGTGACCCAGTTTGTGTGGCCTCGGAGTGGGTCTCCCAACGACTGGCCCGTCTCCGCATCCCATAGTCGAATCGTGTTATCACGAGCTAGAGACGATTCGCGAGCCGTCAGGTGAGAATCCGACGGCGGTGACCAAGTTTGTGTGGCCGCGGAGTGGGCCTCCCAACGACTGGCCCGTCTCCGCATCCCATAGCCGAACGGTATGATCGCCGGAGCCAGAGACGATTCGCGAGCCGTCTGGTGAGAATGCGACGGCGCTGACCGAGTTTGTGTGGCCTCGGAGTGGGTCTCCCAACGACTGGCCCGTCTCCGCATTCCATAGTCGAATCGTATGATCGTACGAGCCAGAGACGATTCGCGAGCTGTCTGGTGAGAATGCGACGGCCCTGACCGAGTTTGTGTGGCCTCGGAGTGGGTCTCCCAACGACTGGCCCGTCTCCGCATTCCATAGTCGAATCGACTTATCATTCGAGCCAGAGACGATTCGCGAGCCGTCTGGTGAGAATCCGACGGCCCTGACCCAGTTTGTGTGGCCTCGGAGTGGGTCTCCCAACGACTGGCCCGTCTCCGCATTCCATAGTCGAATCGTGTTATCATGCGAGCCAGAGACGATTCGCGAGCCGTCTGGTGAGAATGCGACGGCGCTGACCCAGTCTGTGTGGCCTCGGAGTGGGTCTCCCAACGACTGGCCCGTCTCCGCATTCCATAGTCGAATCGTGTTATCATCCGAGCCAGAGACGATTCGCGAGCCGTCTGGTGAGAATGCGACGGCGGTGACCGAGTTTGTGTGGCCTCGGAGTGGGTCTCCCAACGACTGGCCCGTCTCCGCATTCCATAGTCGAATCGTGTTATCCCGAGCCAGAGACGATTCGCGAGCCGTCTGGTGAGAATGCGACGGCGCTGACCCAGTTTGTGTGGCCTCGGAGTGGGTCTCCCAACGACTGGCCCGTCTCCGCATTCCATAGTCGAATCGTCTATCATCGTGAGCCAGAGACGATTCGCGAGCCGTCTGGTGAGAATGCGACGGCGCTGACCCAGTTGTGTGGCCTCAGGTGGGTCTCCCAACGACTGGCCCGTCTCCGCATTCCATAGTCGAATCGTATTATCATCGACAGGCCAGAGACGATTCGCGAGCCGTCTGGTGAGAATGCGACGGCGCTGACCGAGTTTGGGTGTCCTCGAAGTGGCTCTCCCAACAACTGGCCCGTCTCCGCATTCCATAGTCGAATCGTGCCATCACGTGAGCCAGAGACGATTTGCGAGCCGTCTGGTGAGAAGGCAATGGCAATGACGGAGTTTGTGTGTCCTTGAAGCGGCTCTCCCAGCGACTCGCCTGTCTCCGCATTCCATAGTCGAATGGTGTATCATCATGCACCAGACACAATTCGCGAGCCATCTGGTGAGAAAGCAACGGTTCTAACAGAGTCTGTGTGTGACCTCGAAGTGGCTCTCCCAACAACTGCCCCGTCTCCGCATCCCATAGTCGAACGGTGCCATCACGTGAGCCAGAGACGATCCGAGCCGTCTGGTGAAAATGCGATCGCGACATCCTTTGTATGTCCCCGAAGCGCTTCTGGAAGTCCCTGGTATGACTTTTCCAGCCCTTTAGTCACTTTGAGAGTGTTCTTATACATTGATAACCCCTCCATATGCATATGCGATCCTATAGGTGTGAACGGAAGCGCCGAAATGTAGATATGTGGAGCACTCTCTTGAATAGGTACTGAAAATGCCATCATAAACCGCATCACTTCACTTATGCGACCCTTAGTCTCTTTTTCAACCTTTCCTTTGTTAAAAAATTTGAATATACCGAGGCGAGCCACTCACACTATTGCGCATCACAGCTCGGAGCCCATCTATAGCTCGAGGCAGTCCTCCAATCAAGCTCAGAACCTCCATCCAATGTAGTACATATGGGACTCGAAGCATATGTTCAACTTCATTCTTGAGCTTGCTTCTCCATTTGCTATCCGTTTTCTCCATATGAAACGGCCAGTGTAAACTCGCATATCGAACGTTCATTCTGATGAACTTTGATATTCTTGCCTCTAGATCCGGCATCTCTCTGTTTCGATAGAAGGACGACTCGATTTCACATATATTGAACTTGAGGCCTTCCTTCGGTGCTTGAAGTTTATTGAAACCCCACGATGCAATTTGACCGTGCGCATTGGCGATGTCGATATACATTCCACTCGGCTCTTTGAGGTCTGGGCCTAGACAGCGCCGTCGCAGATATTCCACAAGAGTAGGGTGACGAAACTGAATGACTTTTGTTGCTTCATCTTCGATAAGAACACTTCCAAGTTCTCGAATCATGGAAGTTGTCCCCGTAGTCTACTATGCTTGAGAATGTTGTCTAGATCCTCGAGGTAAGTGGTTCGAATGCAGCGAGCAGTAGTGCAAGCATGCTCCACATGATGGTATGGAATTTGGGATCTATCCGCTCGAAGATGAGCTTGTATACGTCGTCAATGTCTCCTTTGGTCCAATAAGACCAATGAGTCGTATATATTCTCAGGCGTGTCCCATGTTGTTTTTGTTGATCATTCGACATGCGGTGCTCGCCCAGATGAACAATCCCTCGCCTTCTCAATCAGCCGCCGTCTCTTGTCCTCGGGTAGAACAGTGTAGAGTGATTGATGGACATACGTCGCGATGTCATCTACGTTGTCACGATGTTTGACATCATGCAACCGGTCTTCCAATTTACATTTGATCGAGAGTGGTTGAAGAACCGATTCGATGACGGCATCTGGCCGACTCGTGATGAATACCTTGAGGCTCTTGCTTTGTCGAACGGCTTTAGCAAGCGTGTCCACAAGTTCCTTTCGCTGAGGTCCAGATTTGCATTCGTCTATGGCGTCAACGACAAGAACTACGCGTCCATCTCGATGACGGAGTGGATCGATGATGAGTGTGTGGAATTGTTCCTCTAACGAACTCCGCATGATGGATGGGTTCCGTTTGACGGCATCTGCGACGTGGGGTGCGAGTTCCGGAATGTGTTGGGCAAGATCTCTTGCCATGGTCGAGCAGAACTTTTCTATTGTCGATGTATCGCTATTGCTATGGAGAAAGAATTGGCCTCCTAGTGTTCCCTCGACATGCCAGGACGCGGCTGACATTGCAACTGTGGACTTGCCAGAGCCGGCTATGTCGCAGAGCCAGAATATTGGTTTGTCTGAGGTATCATCCTCAGCCCAATTCTGGATTGTCTGAAGGACAGCCTGACGCGTTCCTTGTAGACAGGTTCTGTGGACCGAGGATGGGGCGGATGCCACCATCAGGAGTTGGAATATAAAGGATGCGTCGACTTGGGCATTTGAGTGAACGTCGTGCAAGCAAGTCTAGCTTACCGTCTGAGGAGACTGCTTCTACCTTGTGTTCGATGACATGAACTCGGTAGCCCGTGAAGAGGGCCAACGCTTCCTATTTAGGGTGTCAAATTAGGATGATATAGCCTGGTGCTCTCACCGTGAACTGCCTATGCCGGTCCTCGATATCTTGGTTGAATTTAGAATAGCCCTGCGTCGACCTTTACTTTTCCGATGGCCGTAAAAGCACTGTGGCTGGTGCGGGGTCGCTATGCCTATCATTGACGATGGCAATGAATATCCTCGAAACTCTGCGTCAATCAGTCGACTGCGCCAGAGTAGATGTGCCAGTACCTCGACATAACGAACGAGTGGCTGGCTAAACGCCTCGTCGACAACCCTATCCTGTGGAGGATACTTCTCGAGCAGTCGATTTGGTTCTCAATAGCCCACATGTATTCCTCCAGACGGCGTACAAGGTCCTCCAGTCTCCTTGATTATCGTCGATGGCCTATGATAACCGTCAGGCGACATTATGCGGTTTGTGCTTACCTGCTTGACGTCGATGATTGACTTTGTTGCTCTGCAGGCTGCTTTGAGAGGGCGAGGATATCCGAGGCCTCTGCTACGTTTGCGACTACATCCAGTGCGATACTGGCCGTATTTTGGACTTGATCCTTCTTGCCTGGCGATCGTCCTGCAGCATTCGAGGGCCCTGATTCGGTTTAGTCGACTTTTGAGATGACATTTGGAAGTGGAATCAAGTCAAGGACGGCGTCTACCACTCTCTGCCGCATATTCTCCACGAGCCAGTCAGATCTAACTATAGAGTAACAATACATCCAGTCTT